TTTTTATATCTAACGGCTTTTGTTTCTTTATTTTCATTCGTTTTGCGTTTCCTTTTTCAATATTAACCAAATATTTCTCAAAATCTAATTCTTCATCATTGGAAGAGAATGATAGAGACGAGTTGCAACGTCTGCAGTCTGACTGTTCTTAGGATAAACTACAATGTTCTTAGGATGGATTCGTGCACAGTGAAAGTTCATAGATGGCTTTCTATTTCTTTTTAATTGGTTCATCATCCGAAAAATTTCGCTGTTATGGATCTTCACATATTGAACCCAGCAAGATTTCATTTTCTTGCAAATTACTACTTTCTTTTTTCTTCATTTATTTAATATGTCAATGAAATTAAAAAATAACTAAATATTTATTAATGTAAATCATGTATAAATCAAATTCTAATTGCCCAACAAAGACTGTAGTCGGTATTTTTAGCGGATATCTGGTTTTCCTTGTAATAGTAGGACCATTTAAAATACAAATCTTTTTTTTTTTTNGTTTTCGAATTTTATTGGTTATCCTGTTCTTTTTTTTTTTTTTTTTTTAATTTTTAATATCATTTTTGGTGTTCAAAATAAGGACTTGTTTAACTTATTTATATCATGATTAAGATTGTAGATATTTTTTTTAACGAACCGGTATTGGAAACCTTCACAGCAATCCAGGTATGCTTCTTATGAAATTCTCAAGTAGAAGAGGGGGAAAAAAACATCTTAACGTATGCACGTTTCCTTCCTGTACTCCTTTTCCGTAATGACAATGTCCTATTTGACCCTGTCATTTCCTCATCTAAATTGAATTCATGAATCCTGCCATTGATTGATCTTACCTTGAAAGTCAGATACAAATTAGATCAGATCAGTAACACGTTCGATTTGGTATTACTGATAAATCATGATATTTAGGTTCGTACAGTTCTGAAAATTAATTATTGGTGTCAATTTGGTTATAAAAGTTGCACATTTTTTAGTCATACCTTTCACTTTAAAATATAAAAGAATTCGGAAAATTATTAAAGTATTCTGTTGGTTATGAATTTTATAAAATTCAATTTTTCATCTTTGCTTTATAACCACTTTTTAAAGATGGTATGAGATCCGTATTTGTTTATTCAGACCACTAGGCAACATTTGTTGGTAATATTATCGGCAATTAAGTAAACACGACAGATTAATTGTAGTGAAACAATTCGATTTGGTGGTGAAGCGAAAATTGCTTTGAATCGGTGGTAAAAATGATCATTATGTACATTTTTCAATTTATAAGGCATTAGGAAAATATTTATGTTGCTTAATCCCCCCCCCACACACGTATTAAAATGCAGTTTTGTGAAGTTTTTTAATTTCTTCAATTGCTTAAGTAGGAGATTTTTTTTTGCCACTGTACATTCGAGTAACTTTTATATTTATTTTTTTAAATTTATTATTTTCAAAGGCAATAAGAAAAATTCACGTTTATGATAAAAAACAATCTGATTTTCTTTTTTAAAAAAATGGCCTACATTTTCCTTTCGGTAATCGGAGATTCTTTTAAATTAATAAAGAAATAAGAGGCATTGACCTGCAATTTCGGCTTTATGTGGGAGCGGGCAAAAAATAATCTTACACAATAGTATTCGGTTTTAAAAACTACTTAGAAAAATTATTTTTTAATGCATACTTTTCGATAGGGAACCGATGGTTCTTTTATTTTCCATCGGTATATAGGTTTTATATATAGTTCAAGTTATTATATTTGATAGGTTTTATACTAATTAGCTTATGGAAATTATTTTGGTGTCGTACTCATAATAAAAGTTTAAGCTTCTTACTGTTAAATCAAAAAAGAAAACTATTGATGAAAGAAATAAGCTAATTGGTGCATGTGGCATCGGAAATGTAAAAGGCATTTAAAATATTGGATGAAAAGTATTTCATTTTGGGTTAGATGTATTTGTAAATTCTTCTTTATAAAACTTAATTTTCTTTCGTGTGGAAAACATAAGGAATGCCATGCGCTGCGTAAGGTGAAGGGGGGCAGAAGGTGAGAAACTTCTGTTTCTTCTGTTTAACCTAGAAATATCCTTGCTGACTTGTCCTGCGGAGATTCGAAACTAGAATATTCCGTGGTAGAAAATCCGAATTATTGAACTGCCGGCATCGCGTGTGTACACGGAAGCATGCCTTTAAGAGGGCGGGTCGTGAATTCAGCGATTTCATTGGCTGCTAAATCTGGCCTGATACGTCTGCTGATGACGAAATGAATCGCGCGCTGTGACGTGGTCGAACTTGATTTTGATGTTTCCCCTTCTGCTCTTCACTGCAGATGGTGTTTAGCGTAATTAGTAGTTTCTAAAAAGGTTAACAATAAAATAAAAAGTTTGTCCATCTGTAATATCTTCAAATCTTTATTACTCGCAAATGAAAAAAATTAGAACAAAGTTTTTATCCACTTTAGAAAACCTGTTACACACTTTAATTTGTTTCTTAAAACATGGCATATTTAAAATGAGAGTTAAATCTGAAACATTTTAATAGTTAAACATGCAGACATATTTCATGAGTGTGATATTCTAATTTACTAAACCAGGCAAATAAAATAATAAAAAAACTTTTTCTAGAAAAAAAGTAACCTCCATTTTAGCGAAATTTTGTCTTATTTTCTTTTTGTTTTCGTATTGCCCTTGTTTTATCTTGGAAAATATTTCCTAATAGTTAATTTTTCCTTTACGCATTTCACCACATAGTTGGAATTGTATAAGCGTATCAAAACATTTTCTACTCTATCAGAAAAATCATTCTTCCAAGGATAGTTCAACGCAAACATGTAAAAAAAATTGAATTAAAATAAAATAATTAACAATCAACATAATTATCATTGTTAATTTAATAATTTACTAATGCTTTTTGTTTTAACTAAATTTTTATTTATAGTGTGTTCTGTTTAATTATTTTGCTCTCTGTACAGTGAAGGAAAGAAATATTACTCTGTATAACTATTGTTTTATTGATTGTATTGTCATGTACTAAAAACCATTCTTAGTGGTTCAAAGGTTTGGCTAAAATATGCTTTCTAACAATGAATTAAGTCACAAAATTCAAACGCTTTTCTTTGAATAACTCTACTCAACTTTTTTTGACGGATTTCGATTTTTGGCCATTAAAGTATGAGGGATAGTTGTATCCTGGAAATTATAGTCCAAATTGAAGTGTCGAAAGTTAAAGCTTCTTAATTTTTATTTTTCAAGTATTTCCCTTTATCTTGGTAACTTTATTAGTGAGAAGAAAATTTTTTGCCCACATTTATAATAATTGTTTATCCTACAATAATTCCATGTAAAAATAATTTTTAATAATTTATTTTTATGCAATAATGGTAAAAGTAATTTGAATTAATATTTGCTACTTTTTATATGCATTATTATAAATGGCAAAAAATTTGAATGAAATATGTTGAATATGTCTTGAAAAATAAGAATTTAAAGGAACGATTTTTTGAAATTTTTTTAGCAGAGAAACTATTTTAAGATTTGTACTAATTTTGTATATTTTCATTTAAAATTTCTTATTTTAAAATGAAAAAAAATTTCCTTTACCATTCAGACTTTTTCCCCACCATTATTAAATTAAATAATAATTATTGAAGTTATTCATTGCATTAAATTATCTTCAGAGAAACAAATTTTATTATAAAATAAAAAGTTTGCAAAAAGTTTTCGATTCACTTCAAGCTCCGGAGATATAGCAAAAAGTGAGAGTAACAAGGGTCCCAACTTTTTCCCCTTAGAGACCATAGTTATGAAATAGCAGCTATCCTTAATATTTTGATGGTCAAAAATATAAATCCATAAAAAGAATTATATTTATTCTAAGGATGAAAGAAAGTTTTTGTTTCTGATTTTGTAATGTAATTAATAGTTAACACAAATTAATTAGCATATTTGAAGTTTACCTTTTAAGCCATTGAAATTGGTACTTAATAGATGAAAATTCACTTATTAGACCAAAAATTATATGGTAAATTTTTTTTCCATTGAACAATATTATTTTTAATTATCTGTTTAAAAATTTCATTTGCTTTTTTTTGAAATTAAAACCAAGAAAATCTTTTCAAATATTCAGTATAAATTAGGAGATAAAATAATTAATAAATAGATTTTGATAATTTAATGTGTGTAGCCGAACTTTAAAATGCCAATTAACTAGCACAAACTGTTTTTTTTTTCATTTAATTTATTTAACATTAAAATTTGTGCTAAATTACAGTTTAGTTAGTTAACATATTTTTTTAGACTTGATATTTGACTGCACAGGAAAATATAAAAATGATAGTAGTTTTTGTAAAATAAATAATTTTTTATTATTGTTATTCTTATACAAAAAGAGGATATGGGATCTCTTTAGAATCAATTCGGGGTAAGTGTCATTTGCATAGCTTACTTGTTTAACTGTCTTCTTTTTTAATTGTATATTACTTCATTTGAACTTTCGTAAAAAGCTTAAATTTACTTAATTGAGCATTTTTTTAACGACTTGTTAATAATATTAGTATTTTTCTTGTTAGGAATATTAGTAGTTTTGATCAGTGGTCTATTCTCAAAACAATTTCTTGAAACCTTAACTTATACTAAGCTCTGGACTAAGCCCATAAAATGGGCTGTAGATGTTCCTTTTAAGTGTTTTGAAAGAAATTGTATATTATCGTGAATTTAGATTTGTGTAGGTATAAAACTGTTTAAAGAAAGTTGGATTATGTTATTTGATGTAAAATCTAGAAAAACATATATTTCATAAAATCAGCAAAATAGGATAAACAGCTGCAGTAAATGTAAACAAGTACCAGCATGAATTGTGACATTTTCTGACATTCAGTCTTTCGAATTTGCTTAAAGTATCTTGAGTGTGTTAAATCACAGAAGTCAGCTCTAGTGTATTCTCTCCACAAATTGTGGCTTTATTTTGTGGCTTAAGCTAGACTTATCTTTAAGTTGCTTTTGGTTTTAAAGTTTGCCTTTTAATTTCAGAGGCTAGAACATGCTCAGATACCGAATTCCGATGTAAAACTAATGGCAGATGCATTCCAAATCGGTGGCAATGTGACAATGAAGATGATTGCCTTGATAATTCTGATGAAGACCCTGAAATTTGCAGTGAGTTTCTGTGCTTTCATTCCTAGTAAAATGTGTACTTTTAATTGATGTAAAAATTTGTCTTATAGTATTTGGAAATTTCATTTTAATTTTCTTTGAAAAAATTCCCTCTAGTCTGTGTTTAAAATTCTTATTTCTGTTGCTAATAATATTAACCTTTTGGTTATTACTATAATTAAAACCTAGTTATAAACTGCTTTATTTTTCAGGTAACCGAACTTGCTTAGCCAATCAATTTACATGCCTGTCTCCTGCCATGTGTATACCAATATCTTGGCATTGTGATGGACAAGAAGATTGTAAAGATGGATCTGATGAAAAGAGCGATTGTCGTAAGTGACATAACAAACTTTCATTTTGTTATTGTGTTTAATATCTATTTTTTATGAATATGTTTCATTCATATTTAATATATCCTTCTAAAAACAGCTCTTGAATTTTATTTTTATTTCTTTAGAACAAATTACATGCTCTGAAGATGAATTTACCTGTAGTAATAATAAATGTATTACTAAGCGATGGGTATGTGACCAAGACAATGATTGTGGAGATAATAGTGATGAAAAAAATTGTGGTAAGGGAATTAATATCTTTTATAAATTTGATTGAATTATTTATTTATTCAATGTTGAATTGCTGGTAATCTTGCCGGTGAAAAAAAAGAAAGAAAAAAAAACACATAGTATAATGTCTGAACAGTTCTTGTTTTACTTAATTTGTGTTAGGAGTAAATTATAAAAAACAGTTTTTTATTTATTTATTTTTAATATGTAACTTATAATTAAAGTTCACGCCATTAGGCGACACGACGACAATTGTCAGCAAATGTTCTACAAATGTCGCTAAAATTATATGCAAGGGCGATAAATTTGTCTTCTTGAAGTATGTTTGGAATTTACAAAATACTAGCAAAAAATAGCTTTTTTCTTTAAATTTCATGCATTAAAAAAAATTTTGCGCTAATTTTATTGTTCTATGCGTGGAATGGAATTCAAATGAATGATATTCAAATGGAATGTCTAAATTCGTCTGGTGCAAAGATTTTTATATTTATGTTTAAATTTCAAAGTTATATGTTGTGCTGTTTTTTGCATTTATGTACTGGCATTATGTAGTTTTATTGTTCATCAATAAAATATTTTTTGCTCTTTTAGAATGGACTTTATTTGAAATCTTATAACTTTTAGATAATTAATTTTTCGTATATTTTGTTAGTTCTTACTTTCTGTATTCTTCATTTATTTGGTCTCAGCATTTGAGTTTTTATGTTGAAGCTATTTATTAATATTATTTTAGCTTTTTTACACTTGATTTTAAAAATTACTAATTTTCAATCATTATGGGCTAATGAAACTATGGATGGCAATTAATAATTTTTGATGAGTATAAATTATGTTATTGTAAAGTTAGATTTCTAGGTTTGTCAACCGTATTAATTTTTTTGGCCTTCTAAATAAATACCTAGGTGGTCCTATTAGACCACTAAATTTTCATCACTGGTGTGAATTCTACTTATATGTATCTTGCAATATTGTTTGGTATTAAAAGTTTTTGCATTTTATTTACTTTGTAATACTAGTAATGTTTTAACATTTTAATTGTTTTTACTTCAGTTGTACTTTCTTTTAAAGCTCTTTAAATTCCAGTTTTTTATTCTTGAGATACCTTAGTGGTTTTTCTTCCTTTTCTCTTTACCTTTTTTTTTCTGCGGTATTATCAGATTTTCGCTGCTTTACATTCAATTAATCATCTTCTAAGTTTAATGCATTAATTTCCAAAAGGTGTTTTTTTCTTCAAAAAAATAATAGATTAAATTAATACATTTTTAAACCAATATTGCTAATTTTAATTGATTATGCATATTTGTTATTGCAATCTTGATTTTATTACTAACTCATGCTGCATGGGAAATATAAACCCAACAAAATGAAGTAACAGATATACTTCAGAAAGGTAACATGTTTTGAGCTGTCCAATCAAGGCATCCATTATCATGACAAATTAGTATGTAATCTTTGAAAATTTTATCTGACATATGTTATTGGGTCTTGATCATGGGGGTCTTCTTTTGAGTGCTCAAAACTTCTTTTTTTCAATCTTTCTTTTCCAGTTAATGACGTTTTTCCATTGAGAAATAGTGTGCGTTGCTAAATAAATATTTAAGGACTTGTTGAAACACTTCTTTGTGATTTTCTAATGCATAAAAATGTTTTAATTAAAATGTATTATCTTATTTTTCAGCTAATGTTACTTGCAAATCATCAGAATTTGTCTGCGCAAATGGGAAGTGCATTCCTGAGAAATGGAAATGCGACGGATCATTTGACTGCTCCGATGAATCAGATGAAAAAGATTGCCCGACTGCTGAACCTACTTTGTGCAAGTCTGGAGAGTTTATGTGTTCGAATAAAAAAGATTGTATCCATAACTCCTGGACTTGTGATGGAGATTCTGATTGTCCAGATGGTTCTGATGAATTAAATTGTATGTGCTTTTCTGAAATTTTTTTTATCTTTTCATTGTTAGGTTTAACTAGTTTTTAGTTGTTGCAATTTAAAAAAAAAAAATTTTTTTTTTTTTTGGCTTATTGTTTTTTTTAAAATTTTAATACAATTAAATTTAAGTTAGTTGAAATATTTTTTATGTGTAGATATTAGTATGATTAATACTAGAGATTCATTTTTAAAATGATATCCTTATTCTAGGCACTAAGACTTGCAGACCTGATCAGTTTCAGTGCAAGAATCTTCATTGCATTCCTGGCCTGTTGCAATGTAATGGAGATGAAGAATGTGTTGATGGTTCTGATGAAATAGACTGTGAAGGTATATCATTTTGAAAATTTTAGATTAGCATTTGAATGGATTGGTTATTATTATAATATATGAATGATTTATTTTTGTAGAGAAGTTTTTCTTTCAAAATATACATTTTAATAGTAGCTATAGGATATAGTAATTGTTAGCTTAATTTTTTCCATCTTTCGTATTAACAAATTGATGCTAATGAATTAAAAAAAATTTTAGTTTAAATTTTTTAAAATCTAAATTAAATACTGTAATTAAAGTTTTATCCTTTTGGAGGTTTAACATTTTTGTTAGCAACAAAATGAATACTTTACAAACTACCAAGCTGCTTTCGTGGAGCAGACAGGTTTTCCTGGGGTTTTTAGATAGGAATTTTTTAAGGACATTTTCTTTCAAACTTGCCTAAGGATATAATGATGGGATGGTCTAGTTCCCAAATGTTGTTCTGCCAAACCTTAGGACTCTGTGAAAGAGTTAAAGGGGTTCCACGAGTAAAAACTTTTTATAACCTGTGATAAGTTTTGAAACCAGATTACATTTAGACCTCACCTATAATCCATAATTTATTTAATCTTACGTTTGCCTATATGAAATTATTTCAAGTAAAATGCCAATGAAATAGAAATGGCATTTTTTAAAGGAACATATAAAATTTCTAGTAACAATATATCAAACAAATTATGAAAAAGAGACAAGCATTTCTAAAGTATTTCATTAGTAATTCCTACTATGCTTTTCAAATCAAAATAATTAAATTCTTTAATAAAGAAATATGTTTCCGTAAATAATAATTTTCAAAGTTTATAGTAGTTCTCATGAGTTTTCATTTAGAAGTAAACAATAATTCGGCTTACTTAATCATTTTCAGCTTGTGTATGTACACCAGAAACAACTTCATAACTAGACTAGATGTAGCACAAGAACTGTAAATTTAATTGGTCGAAATAAAACCTAACTTAAGATTATTAATGACAAAACTTATCTTCATTCTTCTAATTAAATATTTTAAATATATTCTTTTGTTATAACGTTCACAATTACCTTAAACTTTATTCATAATGTTGGTGTTCCGTCGAAAGAAGTTTTATTATTTTGGGTTCAATAACTGAAAAAAATAAAGAAACGCTGGTTTAAAAAATCTCATTTTAGCTTCGTATGTGTTTCTTCATATTGGTGTACATAAGACCTATTTTGTTTTAAAAAGTTTAAAAATATATCTTAATTGGTAACTAGAAAGGGTTAGTTATGTATCATAATTGGTAAATGAAAATGTTTATATAACTGTATTCATCAAAAGTTCTGTACTTTAGGATAGTAAAAATAATGAAAATTCAAGTTCAGAGTAAAAGTTTCCATTTTCTAATTTTCAATGTGTTAGATTTAAAATAAATAAGTTTTGTGTTTTAAAGTTTTTTTTTTATTTTTAAAAAAACTTATTTCTTTTACTTTTTCTCAATATTATGTTTACATTTCTTTTCAATACAGCATTACAACCCAGCAAATGTAATCCTAAAACTCAGTTTAATTGTGGAGACCATTGCATACCTTTAAAATTGGTTTGTGATACTAAGAATGATTGTGGTCAGTTTGAAGATGAACCAAAAGATATGTGCTGTGAGTATAAAGCTTTCTTTACCTCTGTTGTTTATTCTAATATGATTAGGTTTACATTTATATTTCTGTATATATATTTAATGTATAAACATTTTATATTTTTGCAGATAAGAATGAATGCAAAGAAAATAATGGAGGTTGCTCTCAGATATGTCATGATCTGCCTATTGGATTTGAGTGTCTGTGCCGGGAAGGATATTACTTAATGGATAACCGCACATGTGAAGGTAATCAGTTAATTTTTTTAAAAAAATATTTCATCATTATGTTTCAAAACTATTACGCTATATTATATCCAAAGTAATTTGATCATATAAAGAACAATATTGCTTTTGATTTTATCTTTTAACCTGTAGTTGAGAGCAAATTGATATGATCCAATAACAGTACGAGTTCGAAAACTAAAAAGGGTTATATTTTAATTTGTGTGAAAATAAAGGCCTTGTTAACTTATTAATGGTTAATGAGAAGTGAAATTCTGTTAAAATTTGGCAGTTGACTGCCAGGTATATTTTTGGGACTTGTGCAATTTTATTAGTACTTATTATTCACTGAAAATATCAAAATGCAATTTCTTAGAGCACATATTGGAAGCACCAATTCTACAACACTAGGTACAGTGAGTTTTCCAGTATTTTGCTTTTTATCTATATTGTTGGCACACATGTTGGTTATGTCATAAATAAATCTGAGTCTCTTGAATTCAGTAAGTTAAGTATGTCTTATTTTTCATTTCATGCAGTTCTTTTAATTCTTCTGTAACTGTGTTTATTTACTTTAATTCATCTGCTTTTAAATTTTTTATCTCTGTAAAGGAATTTTGATTCATGGCAGTGATGTGTCTGTTGTTTCTGCCAACAAAACAATTTGAGCTGCCAGGCTATATTTATCTTAATTCAAAAACCTTTTTATCTCCAGATATTAATGAATGTGAAATACCCGGAACTTGTTCTCAAATATGCCATAACACCAAAGGAGGTCACAAGTGTGAATGCATTTCTGGTTATAGTCTTGAACCAAACAACAATAAAAGATGTCGAGCAGAAGGTACGTATTTTTCAGTTAATCATTCATTTTCCATTCCATTTTCTTTGCAATAAAAATTGCTCTAATCATTAACAGCTATTATATTTTTGTTTTTGTCTACAAAATAAACTCTGAGTAACAGATTTTTCTTTTCTTACTTTTTTAATAAATTTTTTTAAAAGAATTAAAACTTGCTTTTATCACATTAGATTCTTACCTGTATATTTATTTCAGTAGATCTATATCTTAATTTAATGTTTTATAAATAAATTGCAATTTCATAGTAGCTTTGTTTTTAATTTTTATCTATTACTAGAACTGTAAATTTGAAGATAATTTTAGTTGCTCATTTTGCATTTTACTACATGATTTCAGAATAAGAATTATTAAACTCAGCCTTTTTTAAACTGTTAACAGGTAATTAATAAAAGTAACAACAGCCAAGTTAGTTCAAAATTTGATAAAAAAAAATTATTAATATATTGTTCTATTTAGAAACTAAACAAAATACTTTTTTCTCTTTTAGAAGGCCACATTGTAATTCTATTTACAAATCGTCAAGAAATACGCAAAATTGATACAGAAACGAAGGAATATTTGGCAGTTGTTAGTAATCTGAGAAATGGGGTTGCACTTAACTATGATTATGGTACTGGTACTATATATTGGTGTGATAATATTGAAGAAGCAATTAAAAGGTATGATACAGTTACTATTAATAATCAATAAAATTTATTTGTATGCTCAGATTTAAGTAACAATTTTACAATTATAAGTCAATTGTTTCAGAAGGAGAAAACTTCATAATATAGGTTCTGTTATTGTAATTTTTTAAAAACTAACTTATTGGCATTAACAATATACTTCAAGTAATTTGATTTATGATGTACACTTAATGCAATACATTTTTTGAAATCCACTACATTGTATGAAGACGAAATTCATTTTGTATATTTTGATTAATTGTTGCAGAATAAAAACTTTAGGTGAATAATATAAAACTTTTTCTACCAACACAAGTTATGTGTTATCTTTTTCTGCTAAAAAGTAAAGCAAATTTTTCAGAAAGACACTAACAAAAATCAATGAAGTTAATTAAAAATTAAGCTTTTAAAAAGTTATAGCGAAAAAGTAAACCATTGTTATACATAAAAAAATTTTTTGGTGTCTCGAAATACAGTTTTATTAAATTTCTAATTTTATTCTAAAATGTTATTATTTTTGTGATCTTAACTGTTGTCAAACTTGCTTTTTATTTGTCCCTTAGTGTTCCAGTTAACAGTGGTAGTCCAGTAAATACTATTGTCTCTCAGGACTTGGGTACTATTGATGGTATAGCAGTAGACTGGATTTATGGACATATCTATTGGTCGGATACTGTCGGAAATGTCATCGAAGTTGCTGATAAAAATGGAAAAATGAGGAAAACTATAATTAATGATAATTTAGATGAACCAAGAGCTATTGTTGTAGATCCTCTTGAAGGGTATGTGTTTCTCATGATATTTAACTTATTTCAAAATTGATCTAAAAAGGTCTATTTTGAGATAATTTTTAAATATGAGAAATTATTATAAAAATAATTATTTTTATAAAAATTATTATAAAAATAATTATGAGAAATTATTATAAAAATAATTATGAGAAATTATTATAAAAATAATTTCTCATGTCTTAACATTTGCATATCAGCTTGCTTTAAATTATCACACAATTTTAATTTTACAGTAAATCTCATTTTTTTTCCCCTCGCTATTTTTTATTTTTGTTACTTTCTCCACTTCACACTTTGCATACAAGAAGCTCAATTTTTTCTTTGAGATTATTGATTTAGAAAATTAGGAATCAGCATCAACATGATTAGATTTCAATCACTTGATTAGCTGGTATTGCCATTAGTAAATAAATATTTCTGTTATACTCATTTTGTTTTATTATTGTAAATGTAAATGCTTTAAAATTAAACATTTAATTTGTGTTTACAAATAATGAAGAAAAACTTATTTTGCCTAAAATAATTAAACTAAGTTTTTAAATGTTTTCTAATCTAAGTTAATTTACTCTTCATTTGGTTCCCTGACTTTATAATTAATGATTGTGTTATTTGAATTAAAATAACTGCGATTTTACTTATTCAGTGATTTTGTAATAATTAATATTTTTGTATATTTGTTAAATAATTAATAATACATTTAACCAAAGCTTTGACTGATTTAAGAAGATTAAATAAAGAAATTAAATAAAGAAAAGGAATTAATTAAAGAAAAGGATTTTTTTTAAAAGGAAAAGTGTTAAGGAGAAAAAGCCTAATGTTTTTTTTTGTGCCTAATTTTTCTATTTGTACCAATTCTGTCTAATGCTGATATAATTTTTTTACAATTTTAGCTGGATGTATTGGACTGATTGGGGTGAACCTGCAAAAATTGAAAGAGCTGGTATGGATGGTAGTCATCGAGCAACAATCGTATCTTCTGACATTAAGTGGCCTAATGGTCTTGCTATTGGTGAGTTTCATCATCCTTGTGAACTTATTCATTTTCCCTGCTGCAGTTCCATTTCCTTCAATTTTATGCTTATTTTCAGATTTTGTTTCCAAAAAAATATTTTGGGCTGATGCTAAATTGCATCTTTTAAGTTCCTGTGATTATAATGGAGACAATAGAAGAGTGATTCAATCCTCACCCGTGGTTTTGAAGCATCCATTTTCCATTGATGTTTTTGAAGTAAGTTTAGAAAAGAAACACATTGTATTTTAATTCGGTTGATTTTAACTTGGGGGATAAATTATTTTACCATGATTTCAATTATGTTTTGATATAAGCCTTTATGACTATTAGTTGTGACATGTTGGTTGTGAAATATGACTAGTTTCTATGATGTTAATGAACTAAATAATTACATTAGAATTTACAACTTATAATGCATGTTATGTTGAGACATTAAAAAAAATATTTTAACACTAACTATATTGATTGCTCCATGCATTTACCAGTTTATTGAATTTTTTATTGTACAATTTGAGATGTAAGGATCTTTATTGCTTTACCCCTTTGTTACATATTGCCGCAAAAAATTTAATTTCAAATGATATAAACTTATAATAGGGCTTAGTTTTAAAAGTAATTAATAATTAAAATAGAATTTTGAAAATTGAAAATTTATTCTATTAATAACCTGTTTATATTTATGTCATGCTATTCATAAATGAAGTTTTAGAAGTTCTTATAAATGTTTTTAAATCAGGTTAAAAGAAATTTCTGCAATAAAAAAAAAAATTGAAATTTCCCATTGCTATAAACTTCACAAAATAAAGCTTTTAGCTAAGGGAAATTAGTATGCTAAACCATCAAAATTTCCCCTCCAAAAAAAAAAACCTGAGTTGTTTGTTTTTGGATAAAATTTTTATATTCTTTTTAATACAGACTTAAATTTTGACGCCCTATTTAAAATATAGCTTATATTTTAACTGCCATAACTATACTTAAAAATATGCAATCATGATGAAGGATAATTTATTTGGTCAAAATTTATTCTCTATAATGGAATAAACTTTAAAAAAATTTTTTTTTTGTTTTTCATGTATTGAACAAAAACTATAAAACTACTCATTTTTGGATATTCTTTCATTTTTTAATATACTTGACTCTTGTTTTATGAATTCCTTTCTTAACGTAAATAGTTCTTTTTTGAGTCTGACAAATTATGACCTTTTTGAAGGCAAAAATTAATGATAAAAAATAGTTAAAGAAGTGGAATTATATTTGATCAATTAATAAATCTCTTCAGATCCATTCTTACGGAAAAGATAGCTCTTTAAAATTAGGAGTGTGTAAAGGCTTTCTTTGTGCTGCAGGACATAGAGAACGAAAATGTTTAAATAATAAATAATACAAGAGACAAGAAAATTAAATCATTGCTATGTCTAATACCATCATCAATGCCTAGACATAATTTAAGAAAAGGATTTAAGAAATACAATGGGAACAAATTACAATAGGAAGTTAGCGTAGGAAAAATTCAACCAATGAGAAAACTTGGAGAAGACCAAACAATTCAAGTCATTGCTGAGTGGAATAAAAGATAAGAGAAAAAAATGAATGTGGAAAATGCAACAGATTAAAAGTAAAAAAAAAGTATTTTGAAAAACCATTAATTTATTACTAGTTAAGTGACTGCAGGTTCAATTTAATTATTTTTTATTTTTAGCTTGTTATATCTGAGATTCATTCTCGTTTCATCTATCTTGTGCTCAGTAGTGAATAAACTTATTTAGTCTTGCTCACTTCTTTTAAGTGGTCAATTTTTTTTAGCATTAACTTATGTAACTAGCTTGATTGTATTGTATTTTTCATTTTGTGTCTTGTAACCTGATGATTCTTTCCATACCACAAAATTGATGATCTTTGCGTTATAATTTTATTAAAATTGCTAATGTATAAAAGTTAAATTTTTTTTTTATATTCCCAGTGTAATTTTAAGTTTTTCAATGTAAGGAACTAACTAAAATATATCAATTGATAAACAAATTTTCCCTTTTAATTTTTGCATTCATTAAAAAAGTATTAACTATAAAAATTGTTTATGTGAAACTTGTCTTCATGAACTTATAATTAATATTTTGTTAGAGCATAATATTATTAAAATTTATGCTTGGATTTGTAATTTTTTTAAAATAAATTATTTGTAACTTCTTAACATTGGTTGAAAAATAGCTTTTACAAATATTCTAAAGCTGAATACATGTTTTGATTATTAAATTTTAAAAATATTGTTCAAAAAAATTTTTATGTTCTGAGTCTTTCAGTAATATTGCCTAATTTAGTACACCAAATAGATTTTTTAGGGAGTGAGATAACAAAAACATTTTGAATATGAGTGTTTGTGTAACTTATTTTAGGTGGTGACAATATATTTAAGTTTATGTTACCTTTAAAAGAATATGTATGCTTTTCACTAATAAATTGTTAAGTATTCAATTAAAATTAAAAGCTATTAATTAAAATATTTAATCATATTTTTAAAATAATTGTACCAAGCACTTGATTCTTCAATATGTTGTTAAAATTCTGGCAATTAAAATTAAATTAATTATGATCTCGTTGTAGGATTGGATTTATTGGACTGACTGGGAAACAGAAGCAATTCACAAGATGAATAAGTTTACTGGAGAGGAAGTTACTGAAGTTACTAATGGAATAAACTCTCCTATGGATATTCATATATATCATTCTTATAAACAACCAAAAGGTAAATAGAAGCTACAGTATAGATAATTCCAATTTTATGTGTAGATAAGGTTTCAAAATTTTAGAAATGTCTTTTTTTTATTTTTTTTATAGGTGTAAATCACTGTAGTAATATGAATGGACATTGTTCACACTTATGTTTACCGACACCGAATATAAATGCTCAGTCGCCGAGATATACATGTGCTTGTCCTAATGGCATGGTTCTGGCTGCTGATCATGCAACCTGTATGCAAAGGGGTGAGGATTGATTGAATTTTTTACTTCTAACTAAATAATATTTGTAAAGTACTTTTTTTATATTAGATTGTACTCAATGTGTTTTCTTCACCATTTTTCAATCCTTTAAAGCTGAAAGAAGTTTTTTTCTGACTATTAAAATTTTTTCTTCTCCAACTTACATGCATCCTAATTGTTAAGGTTATATTTTATTTTTTGGTTTGGCTTGGGAATCAAAATATTGAGAATAAAAAAAAAAATTAAGTTAAGATCAAACAAATATTGGCGACCACTTTTTATTTAATCTAATCTAAACATTTGAATAGTTAAATCAATATTTAGATTGATAATAATTAACAACTCATAATAGTTATTATCAGTAACATAAACTGAGTAGTTATAATTTAGCAAATAATTTTGGTCTTAAAGTAGTAAGAATATCTTGTTTTCTAAAAAACCCAATTAAAAGTTTCAATAATTGTGGCTATATTTTTTATTTATGATATATAATGCAAATCATAATTATAGTAGTATATAATACAAGTATTGTGCATGATTTTATGTCCAATTAAATGTCCCCAATGACAGAAAAGAAACTTGCACCTCGTTTTTGACAGTTTGGTCAGATTTCGACAGAGTATGACAGTTTTCAATACTTACGTGTAATGTCAAAAATCAGTTTTTGATGTCAAAAGCACCACCTTGATAAAGCTACACATCATTAGTCAAGAATACTTTTAGACTTAATCCTTTTGACAAATTGATAAACTTGTGCGATTTGTTTTAACTCCTCTAGTTAAAATAATTGCTTCCAAGATGCATAGTCCATGAGAATCCAAATTTTACTAAACAGGATAATGGCTTGTTCATTTAAAGATTATGCTCTATTTAATTATTAATACATATTTCTAAAGAAAACAACAGAAAAGTGCCTAGACTGCTAAATTCAAATAATATCCCTACTAACATGAGATGTCAGGCCTTGCCCCTAATCGATAAACGCAAGCTGTTGATTCAATGGCTCATGACTATTCATGAGTAAAATTAACTATAGTTTTTAAAATTTTGCGTTATACCTAAAAATGGTTTAAAATTAAAAATACTTTTTCTCACAGTCATGTTTTGTACATTGTTAATGTAGTTTTGAGAGTGTTTTAAATGAGAGTAAAGCCTCTCTGAACCTGATCTTAAAATTTTTCCATCAATTCTGAAATTGATCAGAAAGCATATATTTAAAAAAATTTTTTTTTTTTTTTATAAATTTACCTGGAAAAAGTTTCAGTACTCATTCTATTGATTTGTAGTTTTCAAATTTTTTTTTCAACTTTACAACTTCAGTTTTTAAATTTTTTTTTTCTTCTTTATATAGCCTGTATGTCAGTTTTTTTTAATCAGAAACATTTCTAGAATTTTTCATCAAGTTTCTAGAATTTTTTGGTAAATTACACAAAAATGTTTTTTAAACATCTCAATCATGTTTTTTCCCTGCATAAAAGGCTTTTAAAATAACTCTACTGAACAATTTGAAAATATGGCTTTTATTCAATGCTAATGTAACTAGCCCTTTATTTCAAATATCTGAAATTTATGTTATGCTCATTATCAATTAAGTATTTATTTATTTTGTTAAATTTCTTGGAAATCTTTTGTATTTGATTAAATTTAAATTTGGTTATAATTCATGAACTTTGGTTCTAATTTATGATACTTCAATCAATACTAGTTTTACTTAATTAAAAAAATTTTCTTATTGTATTATGTGTAAATGTTAATATTTAAAAAAAAATATGTAGGAGCTATTTTAAATTAGATTTAGTCAAAACATTGTTAAATTATGAACAGATAATGTTAATTAGTGACTTATAATTTAAATGTATTTTATAGTAAATCCATTTATCATTTAATTAGACAATTCGAATATTCTATGCATAAATTATCCTCCCCTTTCTTTATTTTGTATTTCAGAATCTGTGAAGTTTAATATTTTAAACTACTCTTATTAAACTTTGCATCTCTTTCAACTAAAATAATTTCTTTTAACAGTTTTCAATTCTACATCTGCCCCTGTGAGTAACACTAAGACTACCACCGTTTCTTCAGTCACCAGTGATATTATCATCTCAACTTCAACAGCTATTTCAAATCTTAATTTAAATGATTCAAACTCATCAAAGTTTGATTCGGGCAGTTTTCAGCCCACAGATGCTTATAATATAGGTAGATGTTTTTCCTGGATTATTACATTTTTATTTCCTTTGCAATTGGCTGCATGCTTGCCTTTAAAAACTACAAGTGTGTTATGCGTAAAAACTAGTATTTTGTTTGAATGACATCTCTTTTTAAAGTTTGTTGCTCCTTAGTTGGTTTTTATTTATAATCAATCTCTTTTGTGTTGGTTTTCTTATTTAAAAATTGGAGATTTCATAGCTTAAAACTTAATGTTTTCTTCTCAGATATTTCTGTTTTTTTTATTATTAATTAAATGTCAAAAAATATATTTTAATTAGTTTTATAATTGCCACTAAAAGTAGAATAATTTTTTTTTTTAAAAATAATTTTGTGACATTTATGTAGATTTAAATTCTAATACTAATCCTTTTTTATTTAGCTACATAAACACATGCCAATTATTACATTTTTATGCTGTTCTTAGTCCTTCTTCTTAGCCAATATACTCACACTGAAAACACTTATTATGTTCTAAAATAAGTTTGACTAGTTGTGTTCTGAATAAATTTCTCAAATTTATTTTTTAAAATTTATTGATGTTGACTTTAGGTTTTTGAATGTTAAACAAAGCTGTTGAAATAATTGAGTGAATTATATATTAATGAATAAATGTCAAATCTAATTTCAGATAACTCTACATTATACATTGGCAATGTATCGGAACATCCATTTGGTCAGAGTATGTTCCCTGACACAGGAAAACTGGCTGGAATGATTATTGGTGTTTTAAGTGGCATTATTCTTTTATTAGCTTTGGTGAGTTATTATAATTTTTTTTTTTGGAGTTTTAATTTTATTAAATTAGTATCTTAATATTTTCTGTAAATATAAACATTTTTATCTGTAAAACTATTCTGTATTTCATAGTTATGAAATTTCTTAAGTATAAATACTTCGTTTTAATTATCTTTTCCTTTTTTAATTTCTTAACTGTCCTTTTTCTTATAAACATTATTTCTCTTTGCTTTAGGTGGCATTCCTAATATATAAACATTACTTGCGGAAAAATGTTACGAGCATGAATTTCGATAACCCTGTATACAGGAAAACTACTGAAGATCAATTTAGTTTAGAGAAAAATCAGTACCAACCTGCAAGGTCATATCCGCCGGTAAGCTATGTCACCATTAAGACAATATAATGAAATTTTACATTATTGTAATGTATTATAAATATCATTATGCAATACTAATTTTAAATTTTGCTTTTAAAAAAAAAAGCAATTTTTTTAAAAATTTCTTATTTATGCAAGTTTTTTTTACTTGGTCAAACAAACTATTTGTTGTTCCGTGTATTTGATTATTTAATACAATATTTACTAAGAGTTTTTAATAATAGCTTAACTGCTTTATTGCCTTCTCTGCGTTTTAATGAATCACTTTTTAAAAAATTCTGAATTTTGATTGTTATCATATTAATTTAACTTTCGCTTGTTTTATGCTTGCAATGCTTTTAGGCATCAAGTCAAGTAAGTAATTTTAATTGTGCATTTATGTTCAACATTGCTTACATATTTTTTTTGATATGTTATCTGTGTGAAACTTTTATAAGATGGTTGTATTCCAGTATTTTAATGAGGCTGATACTTTGAAAAATTGAATTGAACCCAAAATTATGCCGCAAAGGGAATTTTCAGAGTTAAATTTAAGAGATTAAATTGGTAATTCTACTCAACCAAAGAATGCTTAACATTATCGAGAGATTGTCCCTTTGTTTTTATGTTGAACTGTGACTCATTTTTATAAAACTATATTTTCAATATTTAGTTGATAAAAAAACAAAATGAGATGATATGATTAAAATGTATGGCTTGAAAATATTTTCAAACCTGATTTTTCCCCCTAAAAGCTTTGTGTTCAAAACATATGAGTATGAATTGGCTATTTCTTTTTAGTGAAAGTTTAGGTTTACAATAAATGAGTTTCTATGTCCAAGTGTTGTTTATTTTAATTAAACCATATTGTATTTTCAATATTTATTTTGTTGATAATAAAATATACGAAACAAAATATAAATATAAAAAAATTAAATTTATTAAATATTTAACTGTTAAATTTTTTTGTAGCTTGTTTTGTTTATGTTCAAAGTTCAATATATGAATTGATTACTTATTTTTTTAAGTACCTGCCTACTTTTTTAAATGATACAGGAAAAAAAAACTGTTTATTCTTTCAAACCTAGGTATTGTTCAAAATATAATAAATGAACTATGCTTTACTTTGTTCATAAATTAAAAAAAACTAATTAACATAATTACATGAAATTGTAAATTCATATTTGTGACAAATAACTTGAAGGGCTGTACTATATTTTTTATTAAAAAAAAATCCTATAACTTTTTATGACTTTGCTGTTAAGACTAGAGATCATGATCTAAATTTTAGAAAATTTTTATTGACAGTAATTTCATCTTATTGTTATATACTACAAAGTATTACAGCTATGCATATTAACAATTTGACCATTTTCTTTTTGAATAGGTTAAGTTTATTTAAAAGATGAGTTATAAAATATGAATGAAACATAAAGTTATTTCTAAAGGATTGGTCAGGAATCTATCACAGTGCTGTAATAATTTAATATTTTAAGATATGGAAAGCTATATTGGCTGATCTCTTAGGAAGAAACTTAATTTCTACATTTTGTTCCAATGTAGTTAATTTTTAAAACATATTCAATTTAGTCTCATAAAAAATATTCATTTTATTTTAGCATGCTAATATTAAAATTTATTAATACTTGAGTAATTTAGATTCAAAATTTGCTAGCTGCTCTGCACTGCTTTTGATGAAATAAGAAAATGTGATAGCAAACCATATTATTAAGTATTAAGTTGAATTTTTTATAAATGAATTATTCAGTTAATAAAGATTTAGATAAGAGAATGTGACCACCTTAAAGCGAAGAAGAAACATGTTACAGTAATATAGATAGTTAATTTTTTACCTTAAAAAAAAGGTAGACATTTGGATGACTCAATTTATAATGTGTCAAAATTCTATTATGAAATAGTATTTCACCTGTATTTTTTTGAATGACAAAATACTTCTTTATTGTTCTAACTAATTGAATAAAATTTTATCTGACTGTAAGGACATTTAATGAAAATATTTTGATTGCTAACTAGGGTTAAGTCAAGTTGATTTTCAACGATTCAATTTTTCTAGTAGCACTTTATTTATAGTAACATTTTTGTAGTGACATTTATATAGTAACATTTTAAAATTTTTTGTGTTGAAGTATTCTCATTTGTTAAATTTAAAATTTTTTTAAAAATATTTTTATATTTATATTTAAAACAATGTGTCTTTATCAGTTAAAGAATGTTTTATTATGATACAAGGTCATCAAAAATGAATGTGGGTATTATATAATCTGATAAAAAATTAATTTTCAAAAGTATAGATGTAATTTTTGAATTATAATGCTGTGAAAAAATTCATCTTTCATTGACTAGATGGTATTGCTAGTTCTCTAGTATAGCAGTAGGGTTTTTATTTCTTTCAGTGGGAAAGGGTGTTCCAAGATATGTAAACTGCATAATAAAAAATGCAAATTGAGTTTAAATCAATTGTTGCAATGTAATGTAAATGGGAGTACATTATATGCTGTAGAAAATGCAATAGATTGATTGTGTCATATTTTCTAATTTCTACTTTCTTTTTTGGTGACCTTGTGTTCAACAAAAAATCTATCCACTGCTATGTATTCTGTAACATTATCAAAACATGTAAGCATATCTGTGTTTTGCCTAAATCTTTTTTTCTCTTTTTCTTTGCAGAGTTTAGAGCCTTTAACATCTCCTGGAACAAATGAATTTGTGTAGTTGTCTAATTAACTTTGTCTGAAAGGCAAGGCTGTGTTCAAAATGAAGACTTTTTAACTTGTTCCTTGCTCATTCAGCTCAAAACAAGTTAGTGCTCTTTGGCAGCTGATTAAATTTCTTTCCCCTTTGCTTCCAAGACACTAGCCTAGTGCGTGATATTTTTTTTGCCGGTGAATTCAGTTTAACTGAATAAATAAGCTGTCTTTTGGAAGTAAACTGATTCTTTGCACTAAGTTGATGCTGGTTGTTCCTATAAATCTCAGTTTTAAATAATGAAGCTCGCATGACAAGCAAGTTTTCAGTTCATGTTTATTTATCTCAGCCAACAATTTCATTTTCGTGTGGTTACTTAGAATGAATGGATGGTGTCTAATTACTTAAATTATTGATGTTTAATTGCAGTATTAAAAACAGTTGAATAATATCTATTTTTGCCTTTTATATCTTGCAAAAAAGAATAGAACTTGGCGATAAGAATTTTTGCCAGTGTTTTATACATTCCAGAAATACACTACTTGAAAGGAATGTGTGTGAAATAATTGTACTTACTATATTACATTATGTGTTTCAGTTATGAAAAAAACTAACACCTTTTTGTAACGCTAATATAATTAGTTTAAATTTTGCTCATTAGATTAAATTTATTAGATTTTACTTTCTGCAATGTTAAACTATTTTGTGAATAGTAATGTATTTTGTGGTGTGAAAAGTATTATATTTTTGACAAAAGGTTTTCTTTATTTAAATTTGTTACCTATTTTATTCATTTTTTTTTTTTGAAAAAAAAATGTTCATATATTTCACACTTTATTTTCCTAACATGAAATTATGCTTGAGTACTTACTCAAATGTTTGGTATTCCTTGTACAATGTGATCAAAGGTACTTTAATGGCTAAAGTACTTTGTCTAAAATTTTTTGAAAAGAAAATGAACTTTTGTTGGTTTGTTTAGCATTTGGCCGACTTCTCATTTTCATATGTCTTTATGTAAATATTTTCATCTCTTTTTATCATAATTACAAATTTTAAATTGATTATTTGAAAAAAAAATTGTATGCACAATTCATTATGTAAAAAAATGTAAACTGGTTATGTGTATAAAATTTTAAAAATATTTCTTTTTAAAAGCAAAGATTACCAATGTGAGTCATTATATTAACCCTCTGAGCATTATTCGTGGCTTTTTTCTGAAATTTAAACATGATGGTTTTGCTCCATCCAGAAAAAAAAAAGAAAAACTTTTATCCACACTGCAATTTTAATCTAATGATATTGATGACATTAAATTTGTAGCTATTTTACAATGTGACATGAATTCTTTCTTTTGCAAGTTTTGCTTGTGTATGTAAGATTTGAAAATATATAAAACAGTTAATTTAAGAGAGATTTTGCCTACTAGAATCATCAGTAAATATAAATACCATTTAAAAATATTCTTCTTTAAATTTCAATAATTATAAACAAACCATAATTTACTGAGTTTTTTCACCTATTTTAATGTAATTTTTCTTTTTTAAATTTAAAATATTATTTTAAAATCTAAAGATATTACTAAAATTAAACTTTAAATGTGTAAAATCAATTTTACAAAAGTAAAAAACGACACAGTGTAGTAAATATTGAAAACTAATACATTAAAATGAACAATATACAATTAAGTTTGGATAAACTGAGCAGTTGCATAATGTAGCTTCTTAAGGTTGATGTTGTTAATTAGTATCATACAAAATTTTATACCTTTATATTGCTAATAACATTATAAATTTTTAGCTATTGTAAATACATGTGATGTTCATCTTGAGCATTATTCATATCAAATATTCTGCGAAGAAATATTTGTTTAAAATTCCTTTGTTAATGAATTAATGGTTGTATATATATATTTTACAAAATTATTTATAAATATTGTCATTTTTAATCATGACACGTTGGAATGAATGGATGAGTTACCTGAGTTGAGCAACTTTTGTGTATTTGTGACTATATTTGTTACGTCCATTTTGAAAAAAAAAAATATATTGTTTACAATGTGTTGTGTTTATGATGCATTATTTGCATTGCATTTGGTTTTACTTAAAGGATATTAATTATATTTTTAACATTTAAATATATTTTTAACATGTACCTCTTTCAAAATTTGGTAACAGTTTCATTTTTTAATAATTATGATATTTAAAATCAATTAACTTTCCTCAATATTTTTAAATATTTTCAAGCAAGGTAAGAAAATAAAAATAAATTAATATCAAATGTAAATTATATTGCACTGGTGTCTGTGGGAAACTAGAAAAGTAATACTTTCACTTCTAAACTAGTCATGCCATTTTTTTTTAAAAATTTTATTTTGATGATCATTTAGTGTACTATTTGAATGTAGCCTAATTATCTGTGATGGTTTATTCTTAAAATCATTTTGTGTGAAACAATGTATAGAAAATAAATTTTGTTTTTAAAATAATACAGTGTCATTATTTTTGCTCTATTTATTAGTCATAAAAGTGGTTTTTTTATGTCAACTTTATCTATTATATAGTAATGGCATCAAATTGTATGTCTCTAATTTTTTTGAGCTTATTTTGAAATAAAACAAATACTAGTCATAAGAAATGTATATTAAACATTTTTTTTTTAAAAAAAAAGAAGATATCCCTCGGAATAATTTTCTTTTAATTAAAAACTAAAATCATCTTTATATCGATTAATTTTAACTTGTGCCTTACTAAAGAATTACTGTCACCAGTTGTCTAGAGCTGTGCCTGTGACTACAGTTCCTAGATTAAGATAAAACTATTTTAAGCAGGGCTGTGGAGTAAACATTTAGGAAATATTTTGACATGTGTCTGCAAGCAAAATATTGCAAGTTCTGTTCTTTTTTTCCCGTTAAACAGGCAATATGAGTCTGTAATTAAACTATTAAAATTAATAATTATTAAAAGGTCTTATAAAGAGAGATCATTGTTTTTAACTTTAAATCTATTGAATAAAGGTGAATTTATTGTTAAAAGATTTAATCTCAACTCTTACAAAGCTATTGCTTTTTTATTTTTCTGTAATTTAAATAATGGAAGCTGGAATAAAAATACAGTCGGACTTCTATTTAACGAACTTCCATTTTGCAAGTTCCTCTATTTTGCGAATTTTTCGTGAAATAACTTCCGAATAGCGAAGTTAATTTTCTATTTAACGAACTTTTCTCTGAGATACTTACCTATTTTCCAAAATATTTCAGAACATTTCAAACTTGTTAACGCATTTTTTGGGGGAAATGAGCTTGAATTAATTTTCGAAGCTACTGCTTTAGTAATGTTTAACCGCTTTCTCTTAAAAATATTTTATAGAAAGCAGCAAAATCCCTTTCTGCTTGCATTGCAAACGAAAAAATCAGTTCTAATTAATGAATTTTATCAGTAGCAATTGAACTTAAAAACGCCCGTGGTAATGCATGTTTAAAATTAAATTTTTATAATAAATGCAGCTATAATTTAATACATAAATTTAGCATCTTTTTTTTCAGTTAAAAATGTATGTAGCTTGATAGTATAACACTGGATAATGTTTTGCTCTATTCTTGCTTTCCAAGCAGGTTTCTTTTATGGTTAAGATTTATAAAATAAATAGTAGATACTAGTTTACAAGATAACGGTGCATCAATCGCTATTTTAATTATGCCTACTGTTTACAAATTTAAAACCTGTTTTGCGTTGTTTAAACATTTTAAAAGGTGATTTTCTATTTAACGAATTTTCTCTATAGCGAACTTATTATCGGGATTTATCAACTTCCTTAAATAGAGGTTCGACTGTAGTTTATTTATAGGTATAGTATAAATAAATTGTATGTTTTTTTACAGTAAAATATATCTATATAAATATTTTAATAAATAGGGACTAGTTTTAAAATATGTTTATTTTACAAAATATCAGTTATGTGTAAATATTTACAGTTAGAGAAACATTTTATTTCAATTCTTCTCTTTGACATATAAGTTGATTTTCAATTACTGTCACTGTCTGAATAAGCCCCTAGCATACTGAGAGCATTGGGTTTGTCTTGAGTTGCTACACCTTGTCCAGAAAGTTGATTATTTGAGCTTGATGTTTGCTTAAATGGAACACCATTACTGTTAGTTTCAGATGATGGTGATTCATTCTTCTTTTTCACAAGAACTCCTTTAGATTTCTTAGTAAGAATTCCTATACCTGAACTTACTAATTTTGGAGTTTTTGCTGGTGGCGGACTTGTCATTTTCTTTGAAATCTGGAGAAAAAAAAACATGCTCTAATAAAATTCAATTCAACTGAAACGTCAATATTTTAATTTGCTGTTTTCGGATAAATTTTTAAAGTTGGCTCCCTTTGTTTATTATGCATGTTAATCATATGATAGGAATTAAAAACCAATCAAGGATATTTCAGAAAAATTATTATTCATAAACTGTGTGAATTGATGAGATTTTACATTACTACATCCTTTTTAGTAAATTATATACATTTATTTCAAATATCTAAAAACTTGGATTCAGGAAAACATGGTCCCCATAGTTGAAAAATGATCCAAAGTTTGGACCTCTCACTGTTAATTTTACTTTTTGCGTATTTCACCATATTTCGAGTTGAGCAAAGCGAAAAATGTTTGCACACAATTTTAAAATTAATTCATTTAAAGATAATTCCACGCAAAAGTAAACCTTTTTTTGGTAATTCGGAGTTTTGAATACATTGATAATGATCAAAAATATTTTCAATTGTAAAGCATATAACTTTTTCATCATTTTTAGGAATGTAATTTTAAATGCCAAAATACACAATTTGAACAAAATTGGTGGAATAGTTCTCAGGAAACCAAATTAGAAAAGAAAAACTGGTTTATTTAAAATTAGTAAAAGTTTGCATACCTTATTCAGGGATGAAAGTACCAGTTAGCAAAAAAAGCTGAATTCTACATAAACGCAATCAAACATGAAATTAATAAATGTATGGAGCTTAAAAAGCTGAATTCAGAGTAAAAGCTGAAAGCTTCCATGCCTGCTTATTCTAAAATTTTTCAACCATTATTAAATAAAATAAGTTAAAAATATATTTTTGCAAGGAATGATCTTTGGATATAGGAATTTTGTAATTGTGTCCAAAATTTTTCGATTCTCTTAAAAAGTTCTCAAGATACGGCAAATTAATATTGAGAGGTTCAAAGATTTAATTGCTCTCCTGACCATACTATTGGGATCATATTTTCCAGAGTGCGTCTACCATCTATATTTTAATGGTCAAAAATACAGCATATTTATCTAGAGAAAATACATATTTGTGTGTGAATTTGTAACTCAAAATAATAGCATTAATTAATTAGCAGAGTTGAGGTCAGATCCTCAAACCATTAAATTTGAGTCCAGCAGGGTTGGGTTTTTGACGTCAAAAAAAGGTTTTTGACATGACAAGGGTATAATACTGGTTTAAACCGTCAAAAACCCGTCAAAAATATCAAAAACTGAAGTTTGCCAAGAAAATATATAAACTTCAAAACTACCAACGACATTGATTAAATATTTACTAACTTAATTATACTATAGGTAATCAGCAGGTTTTAAAATATTTTTTAATTAAAATTAAGGTAAAATAACAGATTTAAAATCTCAGAAATTTATATTCAAATGCATGTGCAGAAAAATTTTGCACAAAAATTGTTTAAATATTTATATTTAAAAAAATTTTTTTTTTTTTTTTGATACTTAAGAAAATTAAAAGTTTATTACTATGCATTTTTGACATATAAGGAACATATAACTAATATTTATAAGGAACTTACAAGTTATGTTGTATAAATACAAACTTGATATAAGATACAAGTGTATAAAATTTTTTTTTTAATGTTATACCGAATATCTTTATTATCCAGTATGTTAATTTGAATTTAAAAGTAGTTATATTTATGAATAATGATAAATATAATTCATATTGTTTATTATATTTATTTATAATTATTACACTTATCATTTTAAAACAATTTTTATCTCTTAATTTTTTTTTCTCCACTTGTATTAAGAATACAAATAATGCATATCTTGAAAGCAAGAAGTAATTATTCAACAGCTGAATATTTAGATATTCAACAAAACTATATAGTATTCAGCAAAATGAAATTCACAAGTATTTGGATAAACTAAATTTTCAGCATAGTAAATGAATAGGCTGAATATACTGTAAATCGACACTAACTACTCTGTGTATTTAACAGAAAGCACTTAAATTTGTATTGTCTTATGTTAAAAAGATTATTAAGAAGATTTAAAAGAATATTAAAAAGATTTTTCTTTAAAAGATGTCTAATGTACAAAACTGCTAATGTTTATCTTTAAAAATGTCTAATTTTTAGTATAATCTATACTATACACTAAATTTGGTTATAAATAAATTTCTTAATAATATCACTGCAGATTTTCAATAACACATGAAAATGAATACATAATATTACAAAAGATGTGAGCTTTCAAAAGTACAAGATTTTGGTTACTATTCAAAATATAAGTGTTTCTTCAAAATTTTAAATTTATTTTTTCTAGAACATATTTAGAAACACTATCCTTTATAAAAAATATATAAATTTTATGTATTAATTAAATTTCACATATGAATATAGGTTTTTGACATTTTCGACATTTTTGACAGTGAGGTTTTTGACGTGACGGTTTAAACTATGGTTTAATCTGTCAAAAACTGTCACAAGTCAAAAACCTGCCAACCCTGGAGTCCAGGCATGTGAAAATCCAATCATTGGATCAAAAGTTAATTAGAGTTCTGTTATTTTTATTTTGCTTTCAGTGCATCACAAATACTATTAATAGTATCTAAAGTTATTCAGAATAAAGGTACAATAGGTTGCAAGCTCATTAATGCCTCACCTTTTACAATATTATCCTTTTTTAAAATCAACCAAGAACAAGAATTTGATTTTTTCCTCCATTTATCGAGTATTATTTTAAAATATTCTCATAATTTTCCCAAATTAAATATTTAGATGTCCAGAGCTGATTGTGCTCCGGAAAAAATCCGTTTTTTCTGTTATTTTTATTTTGCTTTCAGTGCATCACAAATACTATTAATAGTATCTAAAGTTATTCAGAATAAAGGTACAATAGGTTGCAAGCTCATTATTGCCTCACCTAATACAATATTATCTTTTTTAAAATCAACCAAGAACAAGAATTTGATTTTTTCCTCCATTTATCGAGTATTATTTTTAAATATTCTCATAATTTTGCCAAATTAAATATTTAGATGTCCAGAGCTGATTGTGCTTTGGAAAAAAATCCGTTTTTTTCTGTTATTTTTATTTTGCTTTCAGTGCATCACAAATACTATTAATAGTATCTAAAGTTATTCAGAATAAAGGTACAATAGGTTGCAAGCTCATTATTGCCTCACCTAATACAATATTATCCTTTTTTAAAATCAACCAAGAACAAGAATTTGATTTTTTCCTCCATTTATCGAGTATTATTTTAAAATATTCTCATAATTTTCCCAAATTAAATATTTAGATGTCCAGGGCTGATTGTGCTCCGGAAAAAATCCGGATTTTTCGCTAACCGTGATCCAGAAATTTCTGGAGATCGAAGGTTCAGATGTTTCAAAAAATCATTGATCACAAAAGTTTTGGAAATCAAATTTTAAAAGGTGGAACTTAAAAACACAGTTTATTTTGCTTGTTTGTAAGGAGAGCTACTTTATAAGCTTATATTCAAGATTAATATTAATTTTTTATCAGTAAATAGTCATTATAATCATAAACTCATTAAGAAAGACACATTTGTAAATTCCAATTACTTCTCCAGGTCATCATAGGTATGTGTAAAAGTTTAAATATATTTTAAGTAAACTAAGAAATATTGAGAAAAAGGAGAAAACATTGTTTAAATTGTTTTCTAATTTTTCGATTGAAACTTTATTTTTTTTTTTACTCAGGAAATTTTCTGGAATTTTGACTTGGGCTCACAATCACCCCTGAATGTCATTCATATAATAAACTAATAGAAACATATAACACAAGATCAATACTGCACAGCAGAATTAATAAAGATAAAAAAAAATCCAAATCTTTTCTTGGTCAGAATTTGTCTAAGGATATATCATTAAAAATAACTTTGCATGATTAATGATTATTCTGATCAATGTTAAATACATAACACTATATTGGTTAAAAGCATTTCCTTTAATAAATTAAAGACCATTACTTCAAGTTATTTAAAAAATATATTTTAGAGGAATATGAAAGTTCTTTTAACATTCTTCACAGTTCAAATTCAGCAAATAATAAGAACAAAATCAATAAATAAATATACATAAATTAGAAAGATCAAACCGATTCTTTACCAATTTTCTTAATTCACACCATTCACTAAGGATAATAAAACAAAGATTTTTTTGAACAAGAAGGAGAGTTTTTTTCTTAAAAACCTAGAAAATAATTTGAATGGGATTCAAATTTTTAATTTGAAATTGCATTAGACCACACCTAACAGCAAAAGGAAAGTTTAAAATAAAAGATTCACCAACTTTCATATTGAAATGGAAATTTATTTCTCCTAGAGTTCTCCATTTCTTATGTTATTTACTACTTCTTTTCATTGATTTTTTTTAGTTAAAAATAATTTTAATTTAAGTATTTTATAATTAGTAGTTTTTCATTGTTACTAGTTTTAATAATGCACATAGTCTGTTTTTGGTGGTGAGCTGTTTCGCCTCAAAATCTCATAGCTTCAAGACTCTTCACTAAATGGTATGGCATTTCGAAATTATGACATTTCAGTAATAAATAATAATAATAAAAATTAAGTGCATCATACTGGATTCTTGACTTAAACTCTTAATACTGAGCAAAGTATTTCAGAATTGTGAAAAGTTAAAAAGTACTAAGCCCGTTTTTAAATGTGATCCCATTGATACTTGAAAGTGATGATTCCAATAAGCAGTTGATTTTACTAAAAAATATTTTCTTCACATTAGAAATGAGATAGTATTGTGAAGAAAATATTTTTTCACAAAATAGAAATGAGATTGTATTAGAATGAGATAGTATTTTCTCACTTTTTTCTGGTATTGGAAGTATATACAAGAGGTTTCATTAAAATAAATTTATAAACATTAATGATAGATGTAGTTTCATGATATATAAAGTTATTACCAATAATAGATACCTTAATTAAAGTTAGTAAAACGATTTTAGTTACTTCTAATAAGGTTAGATGTCGGAAAATTTAAGTAGAATCTCTTAATTGATTCCTTAATTCTAGTAAAAGTGAAAGAGATCCTTTGCTATTTACCCAAGAAGAAATATATCCCGATATATTTCTTCTTGCTTTAGCAGCATAAACTCACATTTAAGTAATTTGTTTGAGGGAAATAATTCTTCCCCTTATAAGACTGGAAAATAATTAATCATTAAAGTAAAAGAGCCAAGTATAATTATTTGGCTCATGAAACCTTATTATCAACACAGTTACAGTTATTATTTCACAATTAATACAAATATAGTGTTACACTTCCATTTCATTTTAACGAGATTTGATTGTCTATAGAAAATGATAGAATTTACATAAACTTACATCTAATAAAGAAGATTCCTCTTCATCCCTGATTCTTTTAATTGAATGCCCGTCAACTTTTCCAAAGCAAGATCTAATAAAATAAGAAGATACAGTAATTAATACACATTTAACTTAACAAATTACATATGCAAGAATGATTATATTTAAAGTCATCAAAATATTATGATACATTATTTTTACACCAGAAATGTTACACACTATTAACATAAATAAATCTTAAATATAAAATATATTTTAATAACTTTCAATATACCATAGCTTAATCAACTGAGTATGATACTTAATATTCAGTCATTAGTGCTGACTGATGTATAAATAACATTAAAGAGAACAGATTTTCAACCACCTTCTGCTTGAACTATCTGGACTATATTTTTCTGATTGTGACAAAACATCATATTTTAGGATCAAAAATCCAAATCTATCAACAACAGAAAAGGTAAGTTAGTTCAAAGAAAATACTTTTTATGTTTGATTTCAGAACTAAAAATACTGCCTGCACTATTTAATTAGCATATCGAAGGTCAAAACCTTGAACTAAGATCAATTATATCAAAATTTATTCAGATGTTTCTTTTCTTGTTTTTGCACTCCGTACATAATTTTTTACCTGGTAAGAAATGATTTTAATAAAACTAAAAAGTGTGTAGACATCTAGGTGTTTGGCCATGGTTGTGTGATGTTAATATTGTTAAAGAATGAAAATTAAGACTCTTGTTTGACATTTTTGCATAATACATTTTCAATAAAAAAAAATCATTCTGTATTTAGGTTCAGAATATTTACTAGAAACATATTTTCTATGCACTTACCTAACTGTAGAGTAATCTTTGGTAAAAGTGATCATTTTGCTAGTGTATAGTTAAATTTTTTCGCTAATAGGAAAGGTAGATTTTTATAAATTATTTTATTCAATTTTAAAAATTGAACTATGGAAAGTTTGTACATCAATTTAATTTTAAACTTAAAATGACTACAGGTTCTTAGATATTATTTTTGAGTAACTTATGAAACTTTACATTATTAAAATGAATAAATATTTCTAAAGCAAATAAAATAAAATCCAATAAATGCAAAATATTATTGCAGATAAATCTTAGACTGGCCACACACTGAGGAGACAAGGTGAATATATTTTCTATAGACTTTCTATTTTCTATAAAAAAAATTATTTTTTTAGTTTATTTTTTATTATTTTTAGGCAAAAATTTCACCTACAGTGCTAATCGAATAATAAAGCAATAATAGTTTTATGTAAGTCTTGAACAAAATTCATTATTTGAAGAAAGTGAAAAGTATTTTTCTCTGCATTAAATAATTTCATTAGACATACAGAATTCTCGGTAATTTTCTCCCGGAGAAAATTCTATTGAATATTGTGCTAGAAGTTACTTACAATGAAGACATACTAGGAATTTATATTAGATAATTTAAAAAAATAAATGTTACCTAGGAAATAAAAATAAGAAATTCATAGTAATAAAATCAAGAGATTCATAGTTTTATACTAAATAAAAACCTTTAAAATTGCTTCCTTGAACAACTTTAAGTGCACAAAATTGTTCTTAATTAATAATACAGGAATAAATTATGTTATCAAGAATTAATTTTCAAAACTGATTATTCACATTAGAAAAAAAGACACTATTTTTTCGTTCTAATATTTTTTCAATTTTAAAAGATATTCCTTTAATGAATTTTGAAAACATTTTTTAAATTGATAATATTTGGTGATTGATATCTTCAAAGAGTTTTCCCTCTTAGCAACAATTATCATACTTGCTAATTATGATGTGCCGTTTTCATAGCAAATTGAATTACAATGAATAAAAACTTTAGAGAACAATTTAGTGTATCCAAAATTGTTTTTAAAAACTGTTGTTAAGAAATATGAGTACCAAGAATAAAAAAGACTTTTTTTTAACAAAATAAAAACTTTTTATCTTTACATTTGAAAGTTATTTTCTCCTTAAAAATGTTCATAATAACTTTCAAATAATTTAATTCAACTGAGGAAAATATTTTTTATCTTCTGAGAATGAAGAATAAAAAACCCTGTTAATTTAGATATAGTTAGTTAATATTCTCTATATCGCTAGGCATGTATATATGTATATATCTATATATATATATACACACACTTATATATTGCAAGAAGAAAAGCGTCTTTATTTGATGACTCCAGTTTATACACAAATATCTGCCGAATCTGCGTCTGCGTTGAGGAGGCGACTACACTTCTTCAATGTGCAATAATTTCTCAGCTCACCCCACGAAATTGAATCAAATTGGTCAAGATGCAAGAGTCAAACTTCAGGTTTTTCACCTCCTGCTTACTTCCACAGTGTGCGGCCGGGCTTAGGTGTAAGATTTTATGAATAAGCAAATTAGATCCTGTACAGATATATTTAATGATTCAAAAATACATGAATTCACCTCATTTTATCGTTAATTTTTTTTAAGATGGTTTAATTTAAAAATCCCAAAAATTTATTGATGCACTCAATTATTCTTTTGTTAATAATTTCTAGAAAGATAAAAATCGGTTGTTTTGTTAGCATTGTTTTTGAGAAAATAATGGACATAAAAAAAATTCTTGTACACAGCCATCAAGCTTATAATGCATTTGTATTGTATTCCTATGAGAAAAGTAATTTCATTTCTTGTATATCCAAAAGAGATGTTGGTTTAAAAAACTGTTAGGATATCTTGAAACGTTAAGATTAAAATTTTCTGCAAGAGGTTAGTTTTTAATAACAGAAAGTTAATAATGATAGAAAGTTAATAACAATAGTTGGTTTATTTTTAAATAATGGAAAACTTAAAAAAAAATTTGTTTTTCTAAAACAATAGGCCTTTTCGCAAGGATATATATATATTTTAATACAAAAACAGAAAGCAAAACTAATGCATTGCAATTCATTTTAAGTAACTATTCCAGATAACAAATAACTATTCTTCCGGATAACAAATATTTTTTAAACTGTTATTATTCAAACGGGAACTAAACGTTCAATTTCCATTTTTGTATTTTTCTTTTAAATGTATTAAATACTTTTATAAAACTTTAAGACATAGCCTTTTAAAATATCTTAATTTTGCTGTAAAACCATAAGAAGTAAAAAAGTGTCTCTATAGGGACACATACCACATTAACTCTTGTAACTGATTGTATAATCAGCAAAAATATATAATCCAGTTAAAATACATTTATAAATTTAAATATTTTTTGTAGATGAGGGAAATAATAACATTTTAAATAAATTATATGGATATATATATATTTTGCAAAACATATGTACTTTATAAATGCTTCATCTTCATCCTCTTCTCTTTTAATTTCATCAATTAACTGTTGCTGTTTAACTTTTAAAAGTTTTTCTAAATCTACTTTTGCATGTCTTTGATTTAAGTCTTTTAACTCTTCTAAGTTTTCCATAAGTTCCATTTCCTGTTTAGATGCTTTTGTGCGATTTTCTAAGAGCTGAAAAACAATAAACAATAATTAAAATGATGCTTAAGTTTTAAGATTTTACTTCTTTTCAAAAAAGTCATGGAAAAAAAATTAAATCTAAAGGTAGTAAAAATGAGATAAGCATAAATACAGGAAAACTTAAGTTTTTTTGGTAAAATAATACAATATCAGTAAAACTTTGAAGAAAAAAATTATGGAGTGATAATCAAGAAGCATCTACTGATGTATAGATTTTTTAAATGAGATTTTTAGTTAATGTCATAAAAAAAAGAATAAAAAATTTACTTTCATAGGATTGCCTTTTTCTTCTTCTTCTAATTCCTTAGCTTCCTTTGCAGCAGCTTCTTCAGCAAGTTTTAAAGCCTGGAAATTTCTTGTTGCTCCATGTTCAACAATATAGTCAGCATTTTCAGGATCAGTCTAAAATAAAATTTTTGTATACTACACATAGTATTAGATAAAGAAAACTAATGCAATAATCTTAGTTACATTTCTCTGTTTTCTTATACTAGATGGATACTGTCTTACGTAATTATTTTTACAGATTAAATAGTTTGGAGACAAGTTGATAAGAGCTTTAATTAGTTTTTAAAATAAACATTAATGCATGTAATGAGGAATCTAGAACAATGCTATCTGTTTAGAAGCAAGGACCAATTTTTAAGATAAAACAGCTTTTGAACTTAAGACAGCAGATAGGATTAGGCAGCAGATAGGATTTTTTTAGGTAGCGTGGTTGCTAGAATTGAAAGCTCCTTTCAAATAATCATATGCAATTGCAATATAATGCAATTGCAATCATAAATGGCCACAGAATCAGCTGGTGAAACAACCAAAGAACGAAAAAAATAAAATAAATTCCCAGTTAATATAGAGAAAAAATTGTGTATTGAAAAAGGAAAGGCTACTTGGAGTATACTGCAATTAGTTATACATAACATGAATTATTTACAATATATAAAAAATAGCTTTAGCATGTATATTTTAAATTTATATTACTTACAATACTGGAAGTAATTTAAACTTATAAATTTGAGCAATCGAAAACTGTTAGAACAATGTACTGTATATTAAATAAAATAAATAACATATAAGTGGACATGAAATAAGCAGTATAATAAAATAAGCAGTATAAGTAGAGATAGAAATTTGGTTTGCAAATTAATAACATTATTTGTAATTAAATCTTACAAATGCAAAAGGAAAATATTATACCTTAAATGTAATTTCAGCTAAGCAGCGAGTGCACTTAATGTAAAATCTGAAAATTTTGATCCCTAAATATTCTTCATTTTGAACAGTTTCTTTGCGAGCATTAAACTTTTTTCCTTTATAAATATATTCTCCACAAGTTTTGCATCTAAATATAATGAAAAAATAATTAAATAACAAACAAAATATTAAAATAAAAAACAATGAACCATAAGTTCTTAGTAATTAATAGAGGAGAAAACCTAAAACAAGATAAAGATTAGATTAAATAAATAAAAAGAGCAGCACAAAGAAAGATTCAGATTTGCAGGTAGGATTCCAACCTATCATCTCGTTACAAAGCGTTTGATAGAAAGGTGAAACCCTTCAGCCACACACATTCCACAACACAAAGTAATGACACTGTGCACATTCTAAATTAAATGAAAAATAGTAACAATATTTTTCAGGGGATATTTTTGTTATTCACTTGTTTGTACCAACTGCAATTTTATAATGCTAATGAAATTTTGAACTGGCAAAAATTTAAAAGAAAAATTAGTTTCTTTAGGGGTGGTTACGAATAATCAGGGTTGTTCCATGAGCAAGGCGACCAAGCGTAGCTCAAAGGCCCTATGCTTTTGTAAATTAGAAGTTATTATTTATATTTTTTATTTTATTTTTAAAATACATTTTTTATGAAATCTTCTGGGTTTAAATATCTCTTCTTAAATATTCTTTAAAAAATAGAATACCCTATCATTGTTTTTACGCATGCACAATTTTTATTACTAAGGTAAAAATAAAGTGCTATTGTGTATAAAAAAAGTGCAAAAAGAAAAATATCAGGGAACGATATTCCTCCTATGCTTGTTCATAACAACTTTCTTTTGATTTATCAATCAACTATTAAAGTCACTGAAACTTCAAAATTATTTTGGCATAGCTATTGATATGGAAATCTTCCCATTTTTCAATTCTCAGAGATATCAAGCATGTTGAAACATGGCTAAAAAACTTTTGGCTGTATTTAATGATAAAAGCACAAAACTATAGAGGGATATTTCCATATTGTGATCTGTTATACTAACTACAATCGCTAAGGTGACAAATAGGTTTTAAATTTTCAATCCTTTTAAGGAATATATGTAGAAGTTTGCCCAAGGTTGGCTACAAGCTATATCCTTAAGTAGGTATTCTTCTGTGACATTTTATATTATTATTATTTTTTAAAAATTTTTTGTAGGCTGAAATAGTCAAGAGTTGCCAGCAGTAAAATTGTCAAGAATTAGAGACTATTCTGTTGCAGATCACAAAACGGAAAGCTTCTCAATTATACAGATAATTTTATTAAAAGACTAATCTTATGATTAAACATAAAATTATTGCAAAATAATGATAGTTGTATTATCGAAGTAATAATATTATTACAGATTTATAGGAAAATTAGTTTTTTAAATAAACAAAATAAAAAAAAAATCTCTAAAATAGCAAAATCCAATTATTACCTCATATTACAGGGGGCCATCAATCGAACGGTGTATTGCCGATCTCGAGAAAGACGAAGACGAGGTATCTTAGAAGGGTCAAAATCTGGTGGATAGTATTTCTATAATAAAAATAAATAATTGAACGATAAATTAATTCCCACCAACAATGTATATTAATAACATAATATATACCTTAAGCATATACTTACGTTTAAAACTTTTCTTTCAGACATGTTTTCTCAATCGAATCTTTTTATTTCTTCTAAAAAATACCTATTTGTTACTGGATCCTCTAGAAATCTCACAAAATTACTACGCTAGGATATATTCACTAAAAGTATTATGGGACAGTGTGAAACTATTGAAATCAATTTCTAGTCAACAGACGTATAGCTCAGAAATTGAACTACTAATGTGTGTATTGTTTGTTTATATTTTAAGTTTTAAGCTTCCGGATGTCTATTTCTTTTGGGCATAAGACATGAAATGGTTTGGCTATAAATCCAGCAACAATTTTTTCGAACAAGAAATCGATCCAAGTTCAAACGGTTTAATAATTTTCATATTTAGACCATACTATTGAACAAAAACTGAAAGTTTCAATTACATTGATTCAACCGGAAGAGTTCTAAAAGTTCTCTACTACTCCACTCTACTCTTCACACTTTCTGCTTGATCGCAAACCAACAATCTTATGGAAACATAACTAAATCATTAAGTTATTAATATTTATGTCTTTCGCCAAACCTCTCATTTTTATCTTTCTGAAATATATACATGTTTATCTGTGTTTTACATTGTAAATAATTTTTTCTTATTGTGTTAAATATCGATTTCTATTACTTTCTCAAAATGTCATCTGTTCAAGTTTGCGTTGAAGCCCAACAAGAATATCAAGTACAAGAAATAACTTACGATGGTCAAGAAATCTATTCACAGTAAGAAAAATATTTTGAAGAGCGATTATTATTATTATGTTGCTTATTGTTTGCATCTATTATTTTACTAAAATATATTTAGATAATTTTATAGCTTAATTTTCCAGTATCAATATTTTTAGTGTATAGAGATTCCCCGGTTCCTTAAAATAGTAATAGAATTTTATGATTGATTGTTTATGTCTTTGAACTCATCAACCAATTAACTAAATTGGGAATTGTCAAAAATATTGATTCACTGTCTTTTTAATTATTACTTCTTACTCCATGTTTCTTTTCTTAATTAATTAAGTACACATTAAATAAATATTAGCATCAATCATGATTGAAAATATCCTGTTTGTGACTACTATCATAGTCGCCCCTAGATTTAAAAAAGAAAAAAAAAAATTAGTTGGGATTTTCTCCAAGTCTGCCTAGTAGTTATACCCATCAAGTTGGTCTGGAAAATTTTCATACCTGTACCCGCGCCTTGACACCTTCGGGACATTGTCCTGTGAAAAACTAAATTAAAAAACATCTCAGAAGGAGACTAACTTATAGGGTATAACTCATAGCGACCCCTGAGCAAATCTCAACTCATTTTTTAAAATATTTTTGCTAGTTAAGAATCCCTTTCGCACCATGGTGATTATAGCACCAGGTGTCATTATAGGATATCCTCAATTAGTCTCCTGTGCTTTTTTTTTTATTTTTAGTTTCTCGCATATCACTACCTAATTGTTGCCAAGATTTGGCAAATTTTTTGTGCATGTACTGATACCGAAATCTTCCCAAGCCTTGAAATATTTTTTATTTTTACTATTTATTTATTTCATGGAAAATTGATAAAATAAAAAGATTTCCTTAAAATATGAAAATAAAAATCATAGAATGAGCAAAATTGCTGGTTAAAATTCCTTTTGTAAATATTTTATTAATTTGTCGTATGTATAAGTACTACTTATACATACGATAAGCACTTTGCTGCCATGACATTGAATTTCGGCACATTGTGTGAAATTCATTGAGCTTATTATAATTGAAAATATTTATAATGAATTTTGTCTTGAAGTTTAAAGTTATTGAAAAAGAATATTTCGTGGCTGAATACTGAATAGTTACTTAGTACTAGTGAGCTGATATATTTTGCTATCAGAATAAGCAGTTATTTCGCAAATATTTGTTATTCTGTATTTCACCGGCGTCTCAATTCAGTGTATATCTAATTATAAAGTGCCATTTACTTTGATATTAGGCAAAACCAATAAATTTTTATTTATTTGGGAGCAGTCAAATAGCAATAAATCTATAAAAATAAAGAATTAATTTCTTTTGTAATAAGAAAAGTAATTTTAACACATTTTATTTCTTGAATATTGCTTTAAATTGTAAGTTTGTTTTTATTTCCTTTATTTTGTATAGCAGTTTATAAGCAAAGGTTATTCATATTTTGGTAAAATTTATTTTAGGCCTCTTTCTATGTCAGAAAACCTGACACGTCTTGCTCATAAAATAGATTTCGGGAAGACTGACAATGAATTACAAACAACTGAAACTGTAGAAGAAGAAAGCAAAGAATTAGCTACATTTCAAGCTTCATTGTGGCCATGGGATTCAGTTCGAACGAAACTGAGGTGAGGATGTTTATAAGGAATTTAATAATGTAAATGAATTTAATTAAACCACTTCTCATATAAATTCAAAAACTCTTAACATACTTGGTTAGATTTGTGTGCTGAATTGGTACTTTAAAAAGTTTGTTTTATTCCTTCTTTGCTGTCAATTTAAAATATTTTCCTCAAATATAATAAATTTTCTTTCATAATAAGAATTTTTTATTTAGCCTATTTATAGGACTTATATATAGTTATTTGTGAACAAAGTCATTTGAAGCTTTTTTTTATTTTTTTTGAATCTTTATGCATGATAGCAGAATTCACTTAGTCAAGATGCAGTTGCATCTTCATCACCTAATCCAAATGCAATCAGGTGGATATTATTATTGTAAAAATAAGGCTTACCCAAATATATGTATAGCAAAATTTGAATTCACAAGTTTTAAGTAGGTAAAAATTTAAAATAAAAAAGTATGTTTTGTAAATTTCATTTTAAACATATGAAACTACACTTGAAGAGGAAAATCCGTATTTAGATTAAAGCATCAAAACAACTAATCTTAAAAAAATTTATGCAGATTAAATTGAATTAATGCTTTCAACTCAATAAATGCTTCCAGCATAAATACACCAATCTAGATAAATTGTTTTCAGGCTATTATTGTCCTATTGTATTGTAACTAGAATAATGCAATGATGTATATAGCTAAATTTGCATTCACAATTATAAGGTAGATAAAAATTATACATAAGATATGCAGGGTGTTTAAATTTAATTTAAACTTATGAAATAGTATTTAAAAAAGAATAAATGCTGAAATAAAATCTTAGTTGAAGTATCTAAATAACTAAACAGAAAAAAATTGATCTTGATCAAATTTAGTTCAAAGTTAAAATAATAAATATTGCCACGATGCAGTACCGTCTTTACACATGGGCACAGCCGGGCAGTGCCCGAGGGCCCCTACCACTCAGGGGGCCCTTGAGAATCTTATTTTTTATAAATTGTATTAAAAAAAACTGAGACTAAACAAAATTACCTTTTATAATTTTTAAAATGAATATATTCTATTGTATAAAGTGTGTATTTTGTTTTCCTTTCTACAAATAGTGATTGATTATCATGCAAACGACAATAATTTGAATAGTTTATCACCAGGAAAATTTAAAAAGGCAACCAAAATCTATTTTTCTACGTCTCAATGAAATTTTTATGTGAATTCAGTTTTTTTTTTGTGACTACTAAGAACAGATTTAAATACATTTAAATCAAAATGTATTTAAATTTGTTCAAATTATTTCATATGTTAAAAATACTTTATTTTCTGTATGCGAAGTTTTTTAGTTCGATTTTAAGCAGTATGACCTGTTATAAGGTCCCAAAACATTTCTGTGCCCAGGGGCGCTGCTTGTTATTAAGACGGCCCTGCCACGATGTACTACTCTAGAATAACCAATTACAACGGAAATATTCATAAAGTATTTTTTTATAAAAATTAAATAAATTTATTTATAAAGCAAAGTTATGTAAACAAAATTATATTTTATGGAAGCAAGATAAGCATTATCTTAACTAATAAAAATGCTTACAACTTTTGATATTAAAGATTGCGTAAATGCTACAGATGTAGAAACATGTTTATAATATTGAAAATTTAAAACACTATTTCTTCAATCAGGATAGGTTTTAGAAATTTGCATATATTTCTGTATCCACTTTTGGGGCCATTCATCATAATATAAACCCAAACTACTAAAAACAACGCTATATTCAGATCAGAAGCATATATTTATTTGCTATTGCCATCACTGATTATTTGCTATTGCCATCACTGAACACTGATTATGCCAGACACTCAACTCTCTGATATGACCCATGAAACAGGAATGGATATACAAAATACAAAGAACTTCATAAGGGCAATTTTTCAATGAATTCTAAAAACAGCTAGCTTGAAAAGAGATTGTAAATTCTCTTTTAAAAAACTTGAAAAGAGATTGAAAAGACAAAAAGAACCTCTCCTATTTTCAGATATCTTTTTACCAAATTGTATAGTTCTTTATATTCAAAACATGATGTGTCTTTATCCATATCACTCAGTATAATGAAAAAAAAAATCACTGTCACTCATATAAATTGAGAACATGAACATATCGCTCCCCGGCAGGAAAAGTGGCGCGAGTCAAAAAACAGCATTTGAGAAAAATCCAGACCTGCCAACTCTCCTGCTTTTAGCAGGAGTCTCCTGCTTTTGTCTCAAATCTTCGCCCTCAGGCCTTCAGGGTGTTTTCTCCTGCTTTTTTCTATTTAGTGCAAGATAGAGGAAAAAAACAACAATTTGTGCAATTTCCTTCCCAACTTGTGCTTCAGATCATGCTGGGCATTTATTTAGAAAAACTTTGCCCCGTAACATCACTAAAAATTATGGTGAGTGTGAACCAAAACAGCAGCAATAACCAATGAAATGGCAAAATCGGAGATATCTTGGACACCATTAGGCAAAATGTTTTTTTACTTTCTATAGAAGCCAGTTTTTTTTTTAAATAATGCTAAATCAGCAACATCTGCAGTTTTAAAACAGTAGCAGTTAAAAAAAAAATTAAGAAATGCATTTATAAAGTATTGTTTTCATTATTGACATATTTTGTTAGTTTTGAACTTCTTCCTAAATTTGAAAAAATCAAAAGATATGTTTTAATATAATTCTATAGAACCTTATATTTTATAGTAAGAACATGTATCTTTATTAGTCAGTGTCAGAATCTTATTGTGGTCTATTTTATGTAATGTAAATAATATATTTTGAAATAAACTTCTTGTAGGAAGTGTGAATCAGGTTTAATTTTCAATATTGCGCTATGTCGTGATACAGAAAGAGTCTCCTGCTTTTTTATTTTCTAAGGTTGGCAGGTCTGAAAATCAACTTAAAGGATAGTATAATATTTATTCTGAAATAGCAAAATCTTGAGCACAATATAGACATGAGACACTTTTTGAGTTTGATGGGGCACTTCATGCATATTTTTTATTGACATAACCTCAAAATTGCTGTTTTTTGACTTGTATCACTTTTCTTGCCGGGATACGATATGTTGTCTAAACATATGATGTTAGAAGCAAATGAATAAATAGTAAAAGCCAGAAAGATATTCAGCCTTTAAGAGATGTGATAAATGTCATCAAACCATCCCAATCATTTTTATGATTTTGACTCAGGTGATTGTCGTGCTTACAAAAATGAGAAGAAAGTGAATGTGAAATTTTGTTACTAATTGATGACCTTCGTGGCAGTGGTATATCTTGGTCATTGCAACTCTTCCAGGGGGAAAGTATTAATTATGGGTTATCTCTACAGGGTTAAGTTGTTACAGTGTTTAGTTGTTATATCTCTACAGTGTGTAATAAGAAGACAAAAAATAAAAAGGTCACACCATGTAGCTAAAATATGCATATCTTGATGTCTACTATGAACTGCAGATGCTGTGATAATCTGCAGTAAACACTGCCTTGGTGAAAGTTTTTTTAAATTTATATTTTGTACTATCAGATACACATGTTATAAAAGTAAAAACAATCTTTTTAGCAAAAACAAGCTTGGACTTTAAAAATAGTTTTAAATAATAGTACTTTATTGATGCAATAGGTTTTAATTTCATTCCATAATTATTTCATTTAACTTTGCTTAATTTTTATTGCTTAATTTAATATTTTTTTATTTAGCTTTGCTTAATTGCTTCATATTACTTTTATTTACATAGGTCAATGTTAACAGAAGTCTGTGTTTTAGTGGATGTTTTAAATATATCAAAAGAAAAACATTATATGGTTCTTGATCCTGTCTCTCAAGATCCTCCTGATCCCAAGCCTTTTGTTGTTCTCCTTCAAAAGAAAAAAGTATATAAATAGTTTACTTAGCAATCCTTATAGTTTAAACATAATATCCTTAAATGTTGAAGTATGCTCTTTTTTAGTAGTCTTGTTATAAATTATTTGTGTTTTAATTTTTTTATTGTTCTCATTAAGGATAATTTTTTGTAGGCTTTAGCTAATGCTGCTAGTATAATTTTAAGAGGTGCTGAGCGTTTACGCGATTCCCAATGTGAAAATACTAGAAACCGTGCAATTTCTGATTTTCATCTGGAACTACTTCATATGCGACAAGTCTGGAGGTTAAAGAAAGTGGGAAATAATATTTTAGGAGACCTGAGTTATCGTAGTGGTATGTTAAAATTTCTAGTTGACATGAACTTTTTTCTTCTTCTTTTTTTGTCTAGACTATTTAGAAGAACTGATTATGAATTCATTTTAAGTTGAAAAAATTTTCTGACTAATTAGTGAAGTGAATTTTTTTTAAGTATCTCATAATTATGTTAAGGATCTTAGCAAAATTCTTATTTTTTATTGACTTTTTTCTTTTGTAGCTGGCTCTAGATTTTGGCAGTCTGGTGTCTTTGAAGTTACCAAAACAGAAACATCAGATAATGCTGTCGTACCTGTTCCTCCAAGTGTTCCATTAAGGGGCAATGCAATTAAAGTAAACTTACCAAATGAACTGGAAGGAGTCAGCTATATCCAGGTCTCTATACAAAATGGTAACTAATTTTTCATTGCATACGTTACTGTAAAAGACCAAAATTGGTGGTTGTCGATTTTCACTGATGAGTAGTCACTTTGGAAAATGTCCTAAAATATATACTAGATCTGATTTATTGATTTGATAATTACACTTGCTTAAAATTCCCTACACTGCTTTTTTTTGGAGGTCAAGTGCCACTGCCTGGTATTCTGAACACTGATGTTTTTCCTAATCTATCCTAATCAGATATTAAAATATCAACAAATAAATTAGTACCAAATCATAAATAACAAATATTTCGGGCATTCACCAAAGCGGCTCTGATTCTTGACATTCAAGGACAAAAGTTGACATTCTTTAGATTACTGTCATTCAAGTTAACATATATATCTTACTATATATAAAATTTTAATGATGGTGTCGCAGTTTTCCATTGTTGTCGGTGCATTTTTATTGGCCAGAAAATCACGTGGTGTGATCCAGTTTTTCCTCATTCGTCTCCTTATTGTTTTGGTTGTAGTCAGCATAAAATCAATAAAAGTCATGCTTTTCTATAAATATTTTTGAATCCCTAACTTAAAGTTATTTTCCTGTACTGCTATTATTACGCTTTTAATTCAAGAGTTTAAAACTAAGAGAATTGCTGTTTTTTTATTAGTATTATAATGTAAATCTGCCTTACATTTTAAGATAAAGTTATTTAGAAAGGTGGTCTAACAATTATTATTTTTGAGCAAATAACATTAATATACTGTTATAAATTACAGTTAAAGAGATCTGTTAAATGATTTAGAACTTAAGGATCAGCTTCATGCACAATGAGATGCAGGCAAAAAAAAAAGTATTTAATATATCCTACCGTTTGGTAAGTGAAAATATTAAATTAAGGATGTGAACTCATCAAATTTGTTTCAACAATATAACGTTATAACAACATAAATGTTATTTAAAAAAATGATTACTTAGAAAAATCACTTCTGTTTACCAATAGATCTAAATATCTAATATATATAATTCTCTTACGTGGCTCCCAAATTTTGGCTGTATTTCTTTTCCGCCGGTGGCAACGTTTGCTTTGTTTTGCTTACGCTACTATTTCTGTTACACGGCGAATCGACCCATGATTGCCGCTAAAAATGTCACATGCCAAATCTATCTGAGGTGACTCAACATATAGCGCTTTTAAAAACGGAAACTGAAATAACCAGAGAGCATCAGCTGCGGCAATCTCATACTCTTAAGCTAGGCAGGAGTGAGTAGTCTTTGTCGATAGATCTCTATTTTAGTATTTTGTCGAAAGCGCTTTTTTTCACGAATTTATACATTATGAATTTATTTGACGATTTTTGATTTACATCACGAATTATACTATAGCACATTTCTAATAGGTTTAACGAATTACATGTCATTTATTTGAATTCAAATTTATTTTAATGACTTAGTATTTACTAAAAAGATGTAATTTTTTTTATATGGATTTGTATGATTGTTTTGAATTCTTAGAATTGTGTGCATTTGCAATGTACCTAAGTTAGTAGCGAGCGAAGTGATCTTGGTACTCGAAGCAAACCATATAAGATTGTGTAGCAATTTTCGGGGGTTGACGAGCGTTAGCGAGCAGGGGGCGCAGCCCACTAGTATATATATATATTTTAATTGTTTTCTTAAAAACAAATTTCATTTTAATATATATATATATATATATATATAAAAATTATAAATATTCTGTGAAACTCAATGCCAAAGACAGTGGCAAGCAGCACTGATTAATAAATAGTTAGCTGGAAGCACCAAATGATCAGTGTGTTTATAAGCATGGCAATCAATGAAAGTAAGATGTATTAAAATTACAAAACTTAAATCATTTAAAAAAAAAAAAACTTAAATAATTCAAATAAAATAATTTGAAACTTTCAGCAAATTTTATCCTGTATCAGGCTAAATTACTTGAAAATTCAAATTACTCATCCATGTACTTCCTTCCAAAAAATGGTATACATTAGAAAATCATGAAGAATTTTTTTTGTGTGAATTGAGATAAAGTGTTTAGATGAAAATTAATCTGAAAATTAACAAAAAAATAATTTCTTTTTTAGTTTAGATTGCTGATTTAAAGCTAGATTTGTTATAAAGCATGAATGCACTAGAATAACAAATCTAACTTTTACTTACACTTTAAAGGGAGCTTGTAAATACATCTCTGTACATTCAATTAAAAAATTTTAGTTTTAATTTTTTTTCTTTTTAAATTTTCTCTGGGATCCTTCTTTTTACAAACAATTATCTGAGCTACTCTAATACTGTAATCTAAAATGCAATTTAAATAACTATGAAAATATTACTATCTTCTTTAAAATTTGAATATCTTGATTTCATATAAAGTAATATTTATTTAAAATAATCATTTTTTTTAACATGTATGGTTTTTTCCCTTTTTTGAATTTATTGATATGGTAGTAGTAGAACCTTATTTACATCACACTAAAGCTGCACAATGTGATATTGGCAACTGTCTATCCCTGAATAATATTTGAAGACATACCATTACAATCTTGACCTTATGCTGATTGTATTTCCCCCTTCCCCGCCTACGGTAGCCTGTGCGGCGACCTTAATGGGCTATTAGGAACTGTCTAGGAAATATTCCTGATGAATATCTTATGATGTACCATTCCGCGCTGGGCTCGTGTCCGAGCCACGTCGGCCGTATTGTAAAGTGACTGATGCACATTAAATCTGTCGTGTCGCAAAAGTCCTCCATGTTCCCATAACAAATCAAAACCTCTGGTGGTACTGGATTAGAGATCGATCATTCTCTGGTTCAGGTCAAAATTACGATCTGTGGATGAATGAATGGATGTATGAATGAGTTCGCCCTGTAAACGGGTGAGACGTATGGTGTGGCAGAAGTCGAATTCTTATCCATTGATGGCGCCACTGAAAAACAAGAAACGCACATTCTGCTTTAAATTACTCGGTTTCACCAAGCAGGCTTGCCCGTATGTCAAGTAGCATTAGAAACAACAACACCATTACAATCTTGATCTTCTGCTGAGAGTATGCCCCTACCCCACTGTTTACGGTAGCCTGATGACCTATGTGCACTTAATGTATGATGAGCACTTAAATGTAGAATAGTTAAATGTGGACAGATATTGCACACCCTCAGCCCTTTTGTGGGCTACTCGGAACCATGTCTTACAATCAGTCCATTGTTCGATGCTACTGATGAGAAATCGAAGAAATTTTAAACTAATCACATGGAACTGAGAACATTAAAAATTAACTTGATGAGCACACTTCCAACCATTGTGGTTCAACTGAGGATCGATAATTAATTTAAAGCCTTAAAAATGCCTAGTAGTTAAAATTATTTGCATATTCAGTCCTTATAGGATCCTAAGATTTCAACAGTCTCCTTCATTTTAGTTTTTGTTCTTAAAGTTACATTTCTTCTTTTTTTTATTTCTTGGAAATTACTATAATATTTTGTGAATTATTATGTGTAATTTTTTTGTTTTTTGGAAATTGCTGTAATATTTTGTGAATTATTATTTGTAATTTTTTATTTTCGAAAGTTTCGACTTTCGTTTACGTTAAACATAAAAGCTAAGGGGGGAAAAAAACAAAATAGGTTAATTGAGATTACATAATAATTTTTTTTCTTTGTAGGTACAAAAAAANAAAAAAAAAAAAAAAAAAAAATCAGAAATATATGTATATATTTTTTATTATTTGTGTTAATATCTTAATTGTTTCAAGTTTAGCAAATTGTATAACTCTAGAAATGACAGTCCTAGAAGTAAAAGTTCAAAAAATAGAGATATCACCATTTAATTGTGCCACATAAGGGAAGTAGAGAATACTGAAAGTACTAGTGATAAGATGCGCATGGTCAGTGATAAGACGTGCATTACTTGCTCTTTTTGTTAATATTACTCATTAACAAAATGAGTAATAGTTATTAAAAAGATAATTAAAATGGTTGTTAACAAATAATAACAATATACATTTAAACATTAAATAAAAGTATCCTTGCTATCTACATTTTTAAAAAAAAATGTTGACCTAGAGCTCAAAAGGAGTGAATGGAAAATGATGCTAAGTACAAGTAAATCACAGTTTTTTTCTTATCTGGTCTCCTGGGCTATTTCCTTCATTGAACTTACTGCATTTTTCAAATTAATTCTCCAATTACTATAACTCTCTTAATTATAATTTTTTTACTACTGCATTGATTCTTGTAATTAAGAAAATATTTTCATGATTTTATACTTTTGTAAAAACATTACTATTTTATTTTAATATCTAATGGTATTTTCTAGATACTGAAACAATTGCGAGCGGGGAACTCACTATTCCTGTTACACCGAATAGCCTTGCACCTGATATTAATTGGCAACAAAAGCTAGAAGCTGCCCAAAATGTGTTATTTTGTAAAGAGCTTTTTTCTCAAGTGAGTGAAATATTTGTGAACTGAAATTATATGCAGTTTCTCATTAATGTTGTTATATTCTCATTATTATTGTTTAAATGTTGCAGATTTTCTTCTTAAAAGTTGAAAGATTGTATTTTGAAATTTAAATTAATAATAAAGAACTAGAAATCTTTGCAAATATTGACATACAATTTTAAATATAACTTGTTACCTCCTTAACTGGTCAAGGTCCGACTGGTCTACTTTGAGTAGCACGTGCATTGTACAGGCGTACCAGTTGAGGGGTTAGGTGTCTAACTGTCAAAAGTGTTAATGAGGGAAACAATACATTTTTCAAGGAAATCTTATTTTTTAAATTTAATAAAATTAGGAAGTTTTCCTTTCCAGGAAAGAATGTAAATAAAATAAATAAAATTCCTCTTACTCTTAAATATGAATTGAATATCATTACTTATATTAAAAATGAATATCTTCTTGATGGTTTTCAAATGGTTAAATTTTAATCCTAATAACCTGAAATGAATATCTTCTTTATGGTCTTCAAATGGTTGTAATTCTGCCTAATAACCTTAAATAATATTCGATAATTGATGCCTTTCTTGTAAGTTCATTAGTCATATGACTCAATCACAGGTATATTTTGCAGTTTTTACTATATTTAAGGAAATTGATCTTTTAAAATGAAACAAAGTTTACATTTAATCTAAAGTAGAAACTTAAAATTGCATATATCTTATAGCAAATCCTTTTTATAAATTCCTATTTGGAATAAATTTTTTAAAATTTTTAGATTAATGTGTGTTTATATTCACAATACACAGAATGACATGGCACTTGTCAGTTGACTTCAATCAAAAAATGAAGCGTATTCAATAAGTATATAACATCTAATTTTTTTAACAATACTTTTTCTTAGCAGAAATTCTAATTTTAATTTACTTTTATTAAAGATAATAATATTTATATGATTTAAAAAAGTGCTAAAATTTTCTATTTGTATATTTGTCTAGCTTGCGAGTGAAGCTGTTCAAATGCAGTCGAGTATCCCAAATTTGGTTGTTGGTAATCAAATAACTACCTCAGTAAGTATCTAACCTCTGCAACTCAAAATCAAGATAAAATATTTGATATTGGTATTGTAGTATATTCTTTTTTTTGTTTATAATATTTTTTGACCATAAATTATTTGCTTAGACTATATTAAGCATGTTATATGACCTAATGCCAACAATATGTTTATTGCTATTATAAAAATATTGCAGCTTTTCCCTGGTGTTCAGCTTAGCATTGGGTTGTGTCACACAAGTGTTCAAGATAGAGTGAAGGTATGTCACACCAGCTTTATTACTTTATTATCTGTAGTTATTTTTCTTTATGTACTGTAATAAGCTGAATTGTTATTGTCACTAACAAATATTTTACCTTATTTATGCTTAACTTTTAATTTGAAATTAAAATTTTAATTGAAATTTACTATTCAAGTGAATTAATTGAATGGTTATCAATGAGATAAATTTTGAGTCCATTCAGCACTTGATAACACTGGAAATTTTTTTGTTTTTGTCACATTAAATTTTATCTAATTGATCTTAGATATTTTCACGTCACTGATTTTAAATACTGTAATCGGTTTCTCTCTCCAAGCTACAGTTTTTTTAATTTTTATCTATTCTTTGTCGAAATGTACAAGTTTAAAAGCCTTATGTGTAGTAGGGGTAGCATAAAAGTTGCAACTAACTTTTAGGGGAGTTAGGATACATCATCAGGATTAAAATTGTATGGTAATCCAAGACCAGAAATGTCATCATACACTGCTAGGGATGTTTTCCTATTACAAATTGTTTCTTTGTATGTTTCTGAATAGGTCATAATAGGGAAACGCCACACACGACGGCATTTCCTGGCATGGGTTTCTGTACAATTTTAATTCCGATGATGTGTTTTAACTCCTCTAGAAGTTTGATGCAACATTTATACAACCCTCTGTAATATATAATGTTTTTAAAAAACTTGTACATTTCGACCAGAAATGGTCTAAAAATTTCATTAAAAAAAAAATCTGTAGCTTTGGAAGCAAAACTAATTTTATATTCGATATCCCCACACCAGAATTTGGCAAGATCAAATATTTGTTTAAATGCAATAAAGAATTTGTTCCCTTGTGAAATTCATATTACTAAAAGTATATTTCATAAATTATGATACTTTCTTAAGCTCTAATTTTAATTGTTCTAAATTTTTGAAATTTGTTCCGTAAAATAATTTTAAAATTTATTATATTTTATATGTTATTTTACTTGACTATAAAAGTAATTTTTAAATTTCTTAATTAAAGCTGCATTGAATGGTTAGTAAAATAAAGGAAAATCCTTGAAAAATAAATTTTTAAAATGTAACAATTCCTTACTGTGTTCAAATTTTTCTTATATATCTTTGAGTGAGTCAACTAAGTTTTGTACGCTTATATTATGTTCAATGTTTGTAGATATTAATATGTTTTTTTTTCTTCTAAATGGAATTTTTAAAATTGGCTTTCATAATTTTCAAGTTCTGCTCAACAAAGTATCTTACTTTTGGCACAAAATGTTTGTTATAACTGCAACTAGAGACAAATTAAAATCATAAATTTTATTCATTTTTATATTGTTTCAAACGACAGAAAAAAAGTCTTTTTCTTAGTCACTAGAACCTGTTGCAAACTAAAGCTCTCTTAATCATGTTCTATCCAAAGCAGTGCTCCTCCAGTTTCTCTGTTAATTGATTTTTATGTCATTTTTAACTGAATCAAGTCGCCCAAGTAGTTGTCATTCTCGCTTTAGTTACTACAGGCTTCAAAAGTGTGTGCTTTATCTGATGGTTGGATTCATCCATTGATAATATATAATTTGTCATCGCTAACATATTCTATGGCTTTTTGGGAAACCCACAATATCAGGCTGTCTTTCTTTATCTGGTTGACTGCCAGATTTGGTAAATTTCATTATTATATATTAATTTCTCTACATCATTCTCACGAATTGCTTCAAATATTTTATATTTTGCATTAAAAGATGTTTTTAATGAATTTCATCATTATGAAACATTAACAGTCGTATAGTATAATAGGTCAAAGTTGTGTTATTTAGATACTTAATTTGGTCTTACGATATATGTTTTGGTGTTGATTTAGTAGTGTAATTTTCTTACCTCAAAATTTCTGCAGATTTTCAAGACCATATTAGCATATATTTGCCAATAAAAGTTCAAATACTCAAAATTTCTTCTGGAAGAAAAAAGAAATAAGTGTGTTGAATCGAAGTTTGGTATGCTAATCATATTGTCATAATGTCAAATTTTCTATGGAATAATCAGGAAATCAACAATTTCTATGCATTTGAAAATTTGTGAGACATTTGATGTAAATACCACAATAATTTTTATTTCTTCTACATTGTTTAATTTTGAATTATTTATTTTCAGCCAGCCCCTGGGACTCAAAGTAATGAGCACAAACCAGTTCTAGAACATTCACTTCATCAGCTGTTGCGAGAATTACACTATAATGCAATCCATCACCCTATGCCTCACCCAACTACTTCATCCCTTGGTATTAGTAAGCGCAGAAGGTTAGCTGGACCTGAAGCATCAGACATTGAAACAATTCGACGATCAATTGAATAGTATGTTTCAGTCAAACAGTATTTCTTTAGTTATTTTTAGTATTTAATCAATGTAAAACCAGTACTGAAATTGTAACTTCTGTCTGTACTTTGAGGTGGGTACATTATTATGTCTTCTTTTTCAAAAAGCAAATTTTAGCTAAATTCATATACTATTTAATAACTAGTTAGTTTTTTAAAGTTATAATCAGTTTGATTAAATTATTTTACTTAATAGTTTAAAATCAAGTAATAATTATTATTTTCTCTAAAATTTTATATTCTGCTGACTGATTTCGGCTTCATGCAATTATACAGTTTCTTCAATGACTTAACCTTTGCTGTGAAAAAGACCTTATTTTATTTTAATTTTTTAAATAGTTTTATCTGTATGGCAAGGGTTCCCCCAAATTTTACAGAGTTTTGACATCTTTAAGGAAATTAGATTTTTTTCAAATTACTAGCAGGGGTCTGTCCAGACATTTTGTGAAAGGTCCGTTTTTCGTGAAATTGTGAAAAAATTACTCACTTTCTTTCATCCAGGGTCCGCTTTTATGAATTTGTGCAAATAGGGTCCGTTATTGCAAAAAAAAACTTTTTCAAGGAGTTTTTAAATTGTAAAGACATACAAGATTATGCTCAACACTGTAAAATTATAATTAAAGAAATTAAATTTTAAAAAATAAACAACAATTGCTGCTTCTAAATTAGAGATGCAACATACAAATATTTGGCATTTAGCCTATATTGCTGAACGCAGAATATTCATTTCGGACGAATAATGGAAGAATCGTCTGCCGAAGACAAAACTTTATTCGTTTACATCCATCTTTTTTGTTTTCTGCCCTGGAAAGGGTTTATTCGATTAACAAAATAATAATGAAGATAAACAAATTTGTGAAGGGTCCGATTAAAAGAAAAATCATTTTGTGAAGGGTCCGTTTTTAAGTTAAAATATTTTGAGAAGGGTCAGTTTTTATAAAAAGATATTTTGTGAAGGGTCCGTTAACGGACCCAAATTTCTTCTAAACAGACCCCTGACTAGTATATTATATGTATTGTATATATAATTTACTACTGTACTTCTGTAGTACATTTTATATAATAATTCATTTTTATTGGATTGTAATAAAAAGTGGTTAGAATGAAAGCTAAATTAATAAAAGTCATATTTATATTTCTGGCTGTGGCAGAAATTGTATATAATAAGAAACACTAAACACACATTATTTAGGTATGAACTCTGTACTAGCCTTAAGATTTGACTTATAATAGTAACTTATTTATAGTGTTAAAATTGAGTACTTGAACTTCAAGAAGAAGATCACAGGTATCCACACATGTGACTTATGACGTCAGCTCTAGCTTATCATTTATAAGCAAAATGGCATGTTAAATTTATGCTAAGTTTCTCCACATAAGTTAGAATGTTAACATGAAGTTATTTAAATACACTGCCATATCATACGTCCGATTTGTTAAAATGTAATCCCTTCTAATCTACATCTTTTACTTAAATTAGATTTATTATTTGTTTATGTATTTTATTGTTATCGTGATATATATTTGTGTCGTGTACTTGGTAACTTCGATGCCTAATTAGTTTGTTTACGTTCCATATGGCTCTGTGCCTGTCAGGAAATATATAGAGAATTTTTTTTTAATTTTTGTGCAAAAGTATAGAATATGTCACTTAAGAGAAATGATACTTGACGGGCTTGGCTTACTCGAAATTGAATGGAAAGAACAGTTGCTAACATTAAAAAAATGCCACGTTTCAACAACCAATCAGGATCAAGATATCCACACTACATCACTTGTAGGTGTCCCATTGATGTCAATTTGATAGTGCAACATTTCCATTTATTTTGTTGGTATGCTCAATACATTAAAAACTAACTTACCGTATTTTTAATGTGTAGTTTTAAAGCAATTATCCTATTGATCTCCCCTTTTTTTCGAATTTTTTTTTTGCCTTGTGGAATTTAAATATTGTTTCAGTTTGACATACCGCTACTTCTCATTCTTACACCATTCAACCTTTATATTCAATTAAATTCCACATTGATTCATTTGTTGTCTAGGGCTCATAAATGTTTTAATATGATTTTGGTTTAAACCCTTCATTAATATTCATTAGTTATTTTTCAATTTTCAGTGAAAGTTTACTAGATCAGATTATAAAGCAAACTCGTCATGTTGTCCTTCGTTTAAGGTAAGTAATACTTGTTTTGATTATAAAAGATATATATTTATTGAAATAAACCATTTTAATTCTTTATTTTAGTATGTCTTTTTATTCGATACTAAAATATACTATCTTATATCAAAGTCTACGAAATTGTTTGAAATTCAAAATATTTCGCATCAAAAACGCTTACAAAAGCAGGAAATTTCCGCTCTACTCTTATAAACATCATGTGTCAAAGGACTCTAGATGTGTTGCAGAATGTGGATTTTAATTTTTTTCGTAAAATTTTTTAAAAAGAGTAGAATTTCGAATTCTTTAGAGACGATTTTTATGTGACACACAGCAGAAAAGGATCATGTCGAATCTTTATGTGGGGATGAGGCGTTCAAATGATTGCAATACTAACGTTATTGATTCAGACACTGATGATGTTTTTGAATCTTTAAATTTGTCTTTTTATGTTATATTTTAAAAGTTTTCATTGTGTTATATTTTATGAAATACTTTTGAATAAATCATCTTAACTTTTGCTATTCTTAATTTTTTTATGAATATAACATAAAATATTATTTCTAAAATTTGATGAGGGGATAATGAAAAATTAATTGTTTATAACATATTAAAAATAGTTATATAAAGATTCTAATTGATACAGTTATTCACATCTATTTCCTAGTTTTTGATGCATCAATATTTCACAATCAATGAATGACCAGCTTTATTATCAAAGTATAAGTGAACCCTCTGATTTTCGTAAAATTTTAGGGGTTTGAAAAGCTGACTGAAATGCATACTGTAATTTAAAAGTGTTGTTAAGATTATGCCTGTTCATTGTATTTCTTTCATGAGTAAAGTTATTTTATTTAATTAAGCTTTTTTCTAACAAATGCCACATTACAAATTTCTATTCATCTTTCAGAACTATGTACATAATTGATACATTTGCGTGCGAAATAAAAGATCCTTTGATAGTAGCCCACTGGCTGTGTTTAAATAGCCCAACTTTAAGCAGTGTTAAGATCAATATTATGACTTATGGATACGAAACTATGTGCAGGTAATGATTAGTTTTTAGTTTAGTTTACTACTACTTATATTATGCCTAATCTATTTTATAGAGTACTAATGAAATACTTATTTTGAGTTTTAATGCTTCCCACACTATTGTTTTTGTAAAATAATTATAATATATTTTATTACAAAATATAACATGTTAGTTTTAACACTTTCCGACGCCTTGTGCTCAGTCGATCATTCCTTTCAAAACATCAGAAATGTAAAACTGTTTGTTCCTAGATGTTCCACTTTTTTTTTGTAACCACCATTCAGTTAGCAACATAGTGTTGAAGTGTATTTCTTTATGAAAAATATACTATTTACAATTGCTAATGAATGGGTAAACATTAAATAATTTTTTTTTAACAGATAAAAAAGCATTTAGTTTTATCATTATTTTCCTCAGAGTGAGGTGGGTGAGTATTTTGACCACCTAAATCACTCGAACTATAGTTTTCCATTAAGCTATTTAGAGAAAATCTCTTCTGCTATCTTCACATTCTACCTCTTTATAATCATCATAATTTTTTTTTTCGTTATCTGGGAATTACTTTAACTGTCAGCTTAATGCAAATTATTGATAGTTAAAGAATCAAAAACAAAAAAAAAATTAAGGAAATTTTTTATAGTTCTATAAATTCAATGCATCAGTGGAATTTTTAGATGTTCTAAGATTCTTGTTTGATTTTAATTAATTGTACTTAATGCATGAAAAAGAATACAGTGATTAGAGTTTAGATTAGTTTGAATTTAGTATTTGGAATAAAATTTTTTATTTGCAAGTAAATGTAAATCATTTTAATTTTTGTTAGAAGTAATGTAAAAAAATATTAATTTTAGGAACAGCGAAATATTACAAAACTCTCTTTATTTGTAGTGTTTTCTTTTTAAAAATATCTGATTATTACATTTTTAAACACACATCTGGCTTCCACTTCTGGGAAGAAAGTTTTTTTTCTTGATACACTGAAAATGTTTTTAAAGTATTATGATTATTTGACTGTTACCCAATGTAAGGTTTATCAAAATTACTATCAGAATTTTAATAAATATCCCTGTGGTTAAAAAAAGACTATGTCTTGTTTTGAAAACAAATATTCCAGAGGATTTTGAAAAAAAAAAATACATGGCTGTTTGCTTATCAAGCAACTGTGTTTGTAATGCACACTTAGATATTATCAAATCTTTTTTTTAAAAAATTTAAACTGAACCTTCTGTTTTCATGTAATCTATTTCATCGACCTATTTTTTGTCTTATTGAGCTATAAGACAATTCTGCGTATTTGTCAATTATTTAATTTATGTTAAAGTAATTATTTTACAAATTCTAAATGTATTCATATTTAATTTTGCAGTCACATTGAAAAAGCTTTTGTTATTTGTTGAATTATTTCTGTTACTATTTTTTGTATGTTACAATTAATATTTATTTTCACTTAGAGTCATAAAACTTTCCTAAGGAACATATTTTTTAATTTGAAAGATTTTAAAATAAATTTTTTAAACAAGGATTCAATGTGTGTATAGAAAAAATGAGTATAATTAAGATTTTCATCAATTTTATTATTAGCACTAATGCAGTTGTTTGTTACAAACTATTACATTATTTAAATCAAAAAGGCTTATGAAATTGCTTACACATTACAAAAGTTTTTGTTGTTGTTTCAGCCACTTTATACAAAATTTTCATGTTATTTATACTATTTTTCTGTGCTCTAAGGCAAACTTTTGCTTACAAAGCTTCACCAACTTTTTATCTTTAAGAAATTCAGTTTAATTTATAAACATTTATTTGTAAAAAGTAACTGCAACATCAAACTGATTGATTTGATTTTTTCATTTAATATTAAAGATTTATTGCTAATCTTTATTTGTCTCTATTTTAGCTTAAAGTATTACATTTGATTCATTTTCACATTTCTTTTGACAGAACACCTCTTGTTATACATGTAGAAGAAAAAAATCTGAAAGCTATTTGTAGGGATGGACGAACAATGATGCTTTCATATGAGGCACAAGAGCTCCGATATTTATTAATGTGCCAGGTGGGAAATTTCTTTTTGATTATTACATATTTTACTTTGTATTATATGTTAGTAAAATTTTAAAAAGTCATTTTACGATTATTAATCTATGGATGTTAAATTTTCTGTTGAAAATATGACTACTTTTTCATTTTGTTAGGTCTGCATCTGAATTTTAAGAAATTTTTTTACTTTTTTGCAAATAAAAATACATAAAGAGTATAATTTCAATAGTAGCACTTAACGAAAATGATGACTAGACTTTTTTAGTTTTTAAATGTGAAGTGCGTACGTTTGTTTTTTCCTCTGGATTTTTATCCTTCAGTTATTTTATAAGTTTTTCTTCACTGCATATTTGCAAAATAAATACCGTATATCAAAGTGTATAAGTTGACCCCCTATTTTTGATTACAAAATGGCAAATTTTTGGTATAAAAATTTTTAAAATTAAAAACATATATCTCCATAAAATTTACAATTTTTGAATATAGTCATTAGGTTGCCTGCTTTACTGAAATGGTCATAATCTCTATTATATCGTGATTATATGGAGTTCAACCTTAAATGCCTATTTATCAGATGTTCTAGTAATTCTGGAATAGGTTGCTCTTCTGAAAAATTTGTTGGTTACAATTTTATAGAAATTCCCAGGAATTCATTGAGTTAAAATTTATATTAGGTTTTTCTTATCTTTGAATATAATCTGCTGTGCCGACCGGCCTGGGTAGGGGTTAGGGAACTGCCCTTGCATCAGAAAGGTTCTGGGTTCAAATCCCGAGCAAGGCATGGATGTTCTTACCTTCTCTGTACTATCTGTCCTTACTGTGGGAGCAACGTTGGCTCACCTAATATGGTGCTCCTGAAAGAGTGGCCAACAAATGAGTTTGTCACACACAAAATAATTTTTTTAATTGTCTCTCATGCACATTCTTTTGTGTTTCTTGTAGTTCTAAAATTAATATTTTGTATTTTTGATTTAGGCTTCTCAACATCAAGTTATTGCTGCTCAAGCTTTAGCGAAATTGATGGGCTGGAAAGTGCTATCTTCTGGTATTAATTTAGGTGTTGGAAGTGTAGAACCAACAGGAAATGCTTCTTCTGTTCTAATGACTTCTCCTACTGGTGATAGGTGAGAGTGTAACATTATAATAAAATAAACTATTTCACTTGTCAGAATATAAAGCTAATTTTAATAAATTTTATTATAGAATATATGTTGCATTCATAGAATTTATGCATGCAATACATAAAGTTTAAACATTATTGACTAATTTTTATTGCACATTATGAATAGCTGGATCACAATTAAAAATTTTTGCCAAAACAATGTACAGAGCTGCCTAGTATTAAGCTTTTTTCAAAACATTTAATCGAGTAACCGAAGCTTACAGAATTTTTGGTAATTTTGCAACGTTTTAAAGAGAGTTGGAACAAAGTGATATCTCGTATGAAATTTTGAATAATTTATATGTAGTGGTGGGGAAAATAACTTTAAATCAAATTTTCAAACTAAAAAAACATATATTAAAACATCAACTTATCTATGACTGGAAGAAATTTTCTCAAAAAAAGTTTGCAGCTCTGAATGTATACAAACTGATAAAACAAAATCTTAAAAAAATGCTTTTGCCTTTCGAAATTTTTTGATTTTATTTTCTCATGTTAAACCGACACATCACTATTAAATTTTTAGGAATGCATACTCTAGTTATTATTGTAAAATTTTGTCATTCTGTAGTGGCATGTTAGAAATTCTTGGTATATACACTAGAATACTGATTATTAGAAATGTGCATTTCTAGTTCTATAAAAAGACTGATTTTATGTGACAAAAAAATTTGCCATTAACATAACCACTGAAAAGTTTAACCTATTGCAAAAGAAAAAACATTCTTGATTTAAAATAGATGACAAGCTTTTGTCATTGTTTTTAACTGACGGTGCTCATATAGGGTAGAATCATTTGTTACATAACATGTTAACTTGATTTATAATTGATGCTTGTGGGTGTTAAGGAGACAGTTACACTTTTTTCCTCTGTATGTGCCTGCTCTTGTTATGAAACTCAAGACTGATCTAAAAAAGCCCTATTACAGACTAAATTAAGACTGAGTGTGAGTCCCGGATTTTTCACATAAAAAAAACTGGTGCTATTCAATGTGAAAGTAGTGCTTATCAGGAAAATTTCAACACAGTTTTTTTGCAGGAGCTTAATACTTGAAAGGTTAATAGCAAGAAATAGGCTTGAGTGATAAAAAAAATCAGTTTGTACTAGAGTTATTTTTTTCTGTTGCTTTATATATTTTCTTCTGGTGGCTAAGGGGAAAGAGCACTTGCTTTCCAATGAGATGCCTCAGGTTCATATTCCAGCAGCTGGTTGATATGAATTCTGCTCCCAGCGTGCACTGGCCACAGTAATGATGAAAAATATCCTCAGTGCTAAATGGATCATGGGTTAGAATCCCTTTGCTATCGGGCTAACTGTGATTGGTTTTCCAATGCTAGTTAGTTTCATTAAAGTCCTCCCTGAAGGCTAGTTTGTCCTAATACTTGATCGAGGAGTTCCCTTGTCCTCTGGGTAGGGTTCAAAATTACAAGGCTATGGAGTTGAACAGTGATAGTCATAAACTCAGAATTGGATTGGTTGTTCAATGCGGGTTATAAAATAGAATATTTAAGCTTATTTGAAAAGTAAGAAATCAAAAATTTTTCTACAGAAATTTAAGTATATTAAATTTTTCTTTCATTTCTAGGGTCATTGCTCTTCGATGCAGTCCGAAAAATGGCATTCATGTCAGTGTTTCGTTTTCTCCACAAACTACAGACTTTTATCCCAGTACATTAGTACGAGACAGAAAATGGCAAAACTTATCTGGGAGCTTCAGAGAAGTCATTTTAGAAAAAATGGAAGGAAAAAACTTCTTAAACAAATTAGAGCACTTAATGGCAGCACTAACTCCTTGTTGAGTTTTTTTTTTTTTCATAAAGTAAGTAATTATTATTTTAGTATTGTGTAATTTGATTGTATATTTTATGTATTGAGTCCTTTTAAAAAAGTATTTGGGACAACTCATTCCCAAAATTAAAAATTTACTATGAGCTTCTAATTTATCAACTGATTTTGTATTGTAAACTACAGGTAATTTGACATTATTTATCGAACCATAACATTGTTTTTTTTTTGGGGGGGGGGGCAAACATAGATGTAATAATTGATATCACAGTTACTGCTCAAATCATTAAACGAATTCTTAATCGTGTTTGGTTCTTTTAAAGTAGAAACAATTTCTTTACAATTGAGTCTTTTAATTACCACCAAAACAAAACTGCCATAAATGTGGTGTCTCTATTTTCCAATCTAAAACATTTCAACCCATCAAGCCGTAAGTATTGGAGAAAATTTGTGTAGAATTTTCTCTTGTGTGCAATAGATTTCCATAGAAGTAACATGAAGTGGGAGAGTAGTTTGAAATCTATGTAAATAATAGATTAATGCTCTAGTCGTCAACATTTGAAATGAGCGAGGTACTGTATAAAAGAAAAATCTGAAATTTCAGCAACTTCTAAATTACCGGAGAAAGCTTATTAGAAATTTCTGGCTTTTTGTCCCTTCAAAAACTGATACTTACCACTGACTTAGTGTTAACATTGTATTAATTAGTTTAGGAAAGAACCTATTTCACTAGTAGTCAACTAAAATCTTACATATTTAACTAATAGTCAATATTTTCTTTTTAGGGTGGTGTAAACATCCATTGCAGTTGCTGATAATCAGCAGGTTCAAAACATTTTATAGAGTTTAAGACAATTTTATCACTGATTTGAATGCATCGTCATATGCATATTGTATATTCAGTGAAACCTATACATGTAAGAATTTTAAAATTTATTACTTTTCATAAGCATGTTAATGAAAAGTAACACCATATTTGCAGCAGTATCTTTAAAATGACTGCAATGTAATTTTTCATAGTGAATGTAAATGTATGTAAATAAAATTTCATTATATTTTTCAGGTTTCTTATTAATTTGTGATTAATTTAAGTATGCATTGAATTCAAATCGTTCAAATGTAACTGTTTTTCCCCCTCCTTTTTAAAAAGGATTCTTTATTTGTACTTAACTGTTTACTGCATGTGCTAAATTGTATTATTTGACTTAGCTATAAACTAAGCACAGAACAGACAAAAAAAAAAATATTTATTTGATCTCACAGCACTGTAAACCAGTATTACCTGAAGAATATAAAATCACTGAGAAGTTTTGTTGAAGAAAGAAAACTAGGATGCAGAATTACTAGGATGTTTAACATTCATGATTTAAAATTTGTTACTGCATTTTTTTGAAAGAAAAAAATTAACGAAGAGTTTTTCTATTTTTGTTCTTTAAATACATTTGATCAATTCAATATAACTTTGTTAAAAATTATATGTGTACATTAAAATATGTTTGAATCAAATTGAAAATAAACAGTTTAATTTAACTATAAATTCTATATTTCATGAAACATTAAAAACTATTGAAAATTTGTAAATTCAATTAGTAGCTTATCAGGTATGAAGAAGATTGTATGAAATTAACAGTTTAGCAACTAGTTTGAACACATATATCCAAGATACATTGTATAATTATATCTAAAACAAAGAAACTAATAAAAAAAGTAAAACTACTTTTATTATATATTACATCTTGACAGGAAATAAAAATAATTTATTTCCTTTTCAGTGATTTTAATATTGTTTACACAAATTATCCTTCCAACAGGAATAGTTGGAAAAAGTCAACTAGATAGATAGCTAAAAGTAGCTAGACATTTCAAAATTTTGTTTTGTATATTATTTGAAGAGATGAAAGTAAACTCTAAATATATTCATGAAAAATGACGTCTGTTGATAAAAATGAGCATAGCATAAGAAAAGTTTTAGTCCTCTTTCTGGCGTTTACCACTTCCTAGTATCTTTACTCTTTGTCGATACATGTAAGTCATCATAAAATATAGAACTGTGTAAAGAAACGAAAATAAAAATATAATTAATAAATAAAAGTTACAGACAAATATGTTTTTAAAAAAATATATTGCAGGAATCTCATTTAAAACGTTGCAATTAAAAGCTAGATTCTGTTTAAGGACATAATAAGGCATGTTGTTACTTAAGGGCACAAGTTTCTCCAGTGGCCAGAAAACTTGCAGCTTTTTTTTTATAAGTTTATAAGGCTATTGGGATTGAGGACCACTAAAACTTCCCAGCAGATTGGCAGTAACTTAAATAAGAATTATTAATATTGTAGTGAAAATATTTGTTAATTTTTTTTTTTTTACTATAAATATTTAAGTTAATTGCTGTGCCACAAAAATTAGATAACAGTTGAAAGTCTTAAGCAAATTTTCTTTCACTTTTCAAAATTTGATTTATTTTAGTAAATTATATTTTGATACTGTGTGCTTTTCAATTATTTATCATAAAACAATGTATGAAGTTTAGAATTTTTTTTAAAAAGTTTTATGTTTTTTTTAAGAGTTAGAAGTTAACTATTCTTCACTCCCATGCTTTATAGTGATTTCTTTCAATTGCAATATAAAGATAGGGTTTTTATTCATGTATAGTAAGGATTACAACTGAACAAAAAGTTTTAGTGGGGAAAATGTTAAAAAAATAAAATAAATACTTTTTAAAATATAACAATGAATATTAAACATTAAGGAAGTTAGTTTTGAGATGGCATTGCTTATTATATTTATTAACTCTCAAAACAAATTGAAATCATATAATCATCAAATTGAAAAAAGAAAAATTTCATCATTAATGTTACTCAATTATGTTATTATATATGAATATTTTTTTTATAACTTTCTGAACCTATTTAATTTTGTTCATAAGGAAATCATGTGCGAATTTATAATACTTTTATAAAGATGCTTTTATAAGAAATAATATATGTTTACAAATCACTCATATTATGGAAGAGGAATGTATCATAGTATAGTTATAGATTATTCATTAGACAAAATAATTAGTTTAATTTTAGAAATTTAGTTTGAAACACCTTATATACGAAAACCTATTTATGATATTAATGGTATATGATTTAAAACGAACTCACATGGAAACAATCCAATCAGCAAATATATCCTCATTATATTAGGAAAATAAATAGAAATGTTCCACTTATTTGGAAGAAAGATGCTAAATCTTTTAGTTTCTTCAAAGTATGGAATGTTACGTAAAATTACAATTCCTGCAAGTAAAAATGATTTTTAATTTATTATTCATTATCAAAATAATAAAATTTAAAATAGTTCAGTTGGCAAAGCATAAAAAGAAAAAGGGCGAATGATTTCCATAAATTGACTTATAACTTAAGATAAACAAATAATTAAATTAGTTCATACATCTCTAGAATGCTATCAACTAAATAAAATATTTACTGTCTTTCAATTAGCATATCTTAATGTGAATGCATAAGTTTAGCCTCAAGAGTGGTAAAAAGTTTGGGCTTCTGAATATTTGTATTTTTTAATTTTGGGATTAGTCGCATCACCCCCCTTATTTCAGGAGTTTATGATTGCATAAATCAAAAATTGTTTTTCATAATTATTATTTTGCTTTATTTGCTTTTGAATTATTGTAGGATATAAACATATTTTCACTATAATAAACATATTTTCACTATATTAAATTTAAAAGAGCCCAATCAAAATTTGAAATGAATCAATTTAACAGTTTTAAATTTCTTTTTTAGAAAATTTTTGCTAAAAATTTTTTATTTGCTTTTTGTTAAAATTATTCTTGAGAACACTTCAACCACCTTTTTAAAAGGTTCAAATTAGATCTTAAAAGAAACAAAAAACGTTTCCTACAATTGTAAAATATTTATAAATTATATTGTGTTTACCTCTTTAATTTGATTTTTTTAATGAATAGTGGCTAGTGAAACAAGGATTTCTTTTGTATTATAGTAATTATTGATTTAGTGTTCAGGAAGATTCTTTATTATTGTACAGATTATCTAACACGATTCTTAAACTCGAGTAGTCATAATAAAATTTGAAAAAATAGAGATTTAATTTAACCTAAATAACACTACAATTGCTTTGATATATAATTTTACTGGAACAAACTATACATAATTTGTTGCTAATTATTGTAAAGATTAACTTTCTACATTCAAAAGTTAAGAATAAAATAAAATTAAACATCTTTTAAAGTCAATTTCTCTTGTTAATTGGAATATTAAAAATTAAATCATATAATACAAATATTTACAAAATATTAGAATAGAAATTTTTAAATCAAAGTACTTTTAATGACAAACATATACCTTCACAGAAGAATCCAAGAGGGTAAAGAATAATCCAAACAGTATATCTTAACCAAGTTAAAAAACCAATCTGTGCATTATATACTTTCAACATATAGTATGGATACCTGTTATGAAGAAATTTTTATACATTAAAACTTTTCAAGTGAATAAATATCAATGTTTGAAAATGTTTAATGTAAAGCAAATTATTAATAAAAAGTAATAAAATACTTTTTATTAATTGTTTTCAATCTATGCATCAATTATAATAATAGTTCACTAATTAAAAAAATAAAAGTTTTCGATGAACAGAAATAAAATAAATTGTGTGTGATTAGCAAAAACATGCCATTGTATGTTAAAGCGAACTTAATAATTTACTTTTGATTTTGCCATTTATTTGAATATTTATGTTGAATTTTACTGAAAACTATTTTTATGATGCCTTTTTATATAAGTTTCTCATTATTTGAATTGAATCACTATATAAATAATTTGGGAAAATTTATTATATACAGCAGACTACATCTTATCAAAGTGAAACACATGTTTCTGAACAGAACAATTGCCTCAAATTTGATGAAATGACATTTTGATATATTAAGAAAACAATAAAAGTTATATGAAATGGATTTTGTCATTCAAACATGTCATACTTCTCAGCTGTTAAGAACCACAGGTGTTAAATCCTACATTTTTCTCTCTACTCTGAAATTTTTTTCAAAACATCATGTAATTTAATTCTTGGTTTTATTAATGAAATTCATGGTTACATTTTAATTTATAGTGATAAATTCTAAATTAAAATCCAATTATTTTTTTCTAGACTATGAAAAAAAAAGCATGCAGAGTAATTTTTATTGTTTATGGCAAATTATCTTTGAAAATTGATTTATATGCAATAGTTGCTACACCTTCTTACAAATTAAAAAATGGGTTTTTGATAATAAATACATAAATTTATTACATTTAAATTTTATATAAAAAAAACTCACCTTATGACTTCACTAATAGAGTAAATACACAGTAAGTAGAACACAATGGGTTTGGTCTGAATTCGAGGCTCAGAATTGATCATTCCAAAAATGATGATTAAACGCCCACAAACCTTAAAGCAAAAGTAAACTAATAAGTAATCAAAACGAGTAAAAGAAAATTTCCCATAAAAAGAAATTAAAGTACCTGAATAAATGGTCCAAGTGCACTTCCAGAAGTATATCCCAATAAAGGATGAATGATTTCAAGAATTTGAAATAGTTGACAAAATGTAAAAGCAAATTGCACAACTGAATAGGCTTTTTCCATAAATGCTATAAAATTAGAGCATGTTTAACAAACTATTTATTTTTTTACAATAAAATTATATCATAACTCAGGGATCACAAATGTGGAAATTCCACTATGCAAATAATTACTCTTGAGGAAATAGATTTCTTCCAACTCAAGTGAAAGAAACTCTTTTTCAAAAAGAAATATCAAATCTTAAAAAAAATTATTACAATGCAGTTTAATATTATTGATTTCCAAGCTATTTAAAACATTATTTAATATTAAGTGAAAAGTACAAAGCAAAAACGGGAAGATGAATAAATTTAATTAATTTCTTAAGAAATTTAAATAACAGTAGTTCTTCAAATGATCAAAATAAAAGCTAATTTTATAATTATATAAACTGTTAAAATATCATAAATTTTTTTTATAAATACTACCAAGGTAACGAATCCCACATTAAACATATAATTATTACAAATAATATCTTGCATTATTCACAATTACAAATCGCACTATTATTTTTATAATCCAATACTGATAAGTATGAATACTTTAACTAATTCTTAAATAATATGACACATAAATTTTAAAATTCTGTATGGAACTAAAATAAATGTTTCTTTTTTAAAATGAAGACTAAAAAAAACTGAACTTCCTAGAACTATATCAAATTTTTTAAATTTAAACTATTCTTATAATACTTATTGCTAAACAATTTTATTGGTTGTTTTCAGCTTTGTCAATTTTGCTTTTCTTCATCAAGGTTTCATTATAAAAAATAAAATCTGTATATTTAAACTACATATGAACTTACCTGGACCTTCTTTTGCATAGTGTATATTTAAAACAATGAGAACATATAAGAATCCAACAAATTGAGATAAGTTGTATAAAAATAAGTATATTTTTCTGAAGTCTTCAACTGAAAAAGAAAACAAATTTTATTTCTATGACCTATTTGGAAAGAGGTTGTAATACCAATAAAGGTTAAAAGATAAATCTAACCTCTTTTCCTGTATTTCTTTTGACGATTTCTGATTTTTGAAAGAGTTTCTGATGCATTATATAGTTTCTACAAAGAATAGTAAAACATATTTTGTTTTAAAACAAAACTGACTATATTAAGTTTGATCAGTTATGCATTAAAAAATCAACACTGGGCTATGATAGTAAAATTAGACATTTTTATTTTTTGGAAATATATAAATGTAGATAAGTATAAAAAAATATTAATTAGTTACACAATACCATTTTAGAAATTCTAAAAGCAAACAGTTATAATGTTTAAAATTTTGCCTTGTATTACTTAAAACTTCAGTACCAAATATTTTTAATCATATTGTTTAAATAGAGTTATAAAGATTTATAGTTACAGAAAACTTAAAATTAATAAAAAGAAATGCAAAATCTTATGTTCAAAATTAGATATGACTTTAGGATGTCTATGATTGTAATCAAAGTGTCTGGTTGTGGTTCTGATTTAATAAAAAAATTCAGGTAAATGCAGAAATTCACAATTGCCACTCAATCTTAAGGTGAAAACAAAAATATTTTATTCTATAACTTAAAACCTACTGTTATTGACACCAGTGATGCTTAATTAATAGGAATAACAAGTACTACAAGTATTAAAGTAATAGTACATTAAAAAAATTATATAGGTACTGTAGTAATTTTTATATCCCCTTGAAACAGATATAAGTACTTTCTTTTTTATGCCAAAGAATAGTACTTAACTTATCTTGTTTTTTATGTTTATAAGCCAGTTGCATAATAAGTTAAGGTGTGTTAGGTCACATATGTGTTAGATTAAAAAACAGAAAAAGATAACTTTAAAAATTAGGTAACTTCCTTAATAAAGGAAAATTTCAAAAGGAATTCCTTTTATTTTTATAAAAATAAATTAATTAATTAGTTAAATTAAATCATAGTCATACCATGGAAATCTTTCTTTTTGAGAAGAAGGCAAGGAGCACATAGATTTTTTTTTAAAGAAAGCATTTTTTTTTAAAAGTTATATCCTAATATTATACATTTTGTGTTGCATTTACAATCTTTAAAAATCAAAACATTACATAAATGAGATAACATGGAAAATATATGAAAAAATTTCTTTAAATTTAAAAATAGTTATCTTTATTTAACAACTAGTATAACAGAAATAATTTAAAACTTTTCTCTGGGAACACGACACAATCGGTAACATGTTCCTTTAAAACGCTTATTGTAAAGAAAAGCAAGACTAATTATTAATGTTTTTATATTTTTCTTCATCTTAAAAATAAAAAGTGGTGGCAATTTAAGGTTCTTCCCCTTAAAAATCCTAACAACCTGTTTGCTGTTAAGCCCCCCTAAGTACCCATCCTTTCTCAAATGGAAATATCACAAGATCAATATCACCTTCAATGGAAATGCTAATCATGATACGCATTAATAACATATAAAAGAGTTATTACATAAAAATAAAATCTTAATTATTATTAATAATAATAACAAACTTACATGATCTAATCCTTCTTCACTTTCTTCTTCTTCTTCATCATCATCATCAGTTTTCAATCTATCAAAATCTAATTTTAGCCATGCAGGTTTAGTTGAATCTTTTATCAATCTTGGCCACCATTCTAATTCATTTTTATTAATTGTTATTTCAACTTCCATTTGCTTTTTGCAAACATGCACATTCTATTGAAAATATAAAAATTAAATAAATATTAGTTGATGGATAATATTTTATATGAGCAATAAATAGAAAAATAAAGATCCAAATCAAACTTACAGGGTCAATTTCTTTGAAGAAAGTGAATTTAAAATAATATTCATTTTTTCCTGTATTTGCCCCAACGCCATGAGCAAAAAACTCTAATGAATCATCAGAAGCAGTAATCTTGGGATTCTAGAATTGTTTTTGACAATACAATTAATAAACTGAAATATAAATGTTCAATAATGCACAATTACAAAGTATTAATAATTGCCAATTTAAACACACATTGTTATCACAAAAGTTCACCAAAATTTCCTGTTGATTTTTTTATACTACAAAGTAAACATTAATTGAGGGTTCTACAGTCTTTACTAGCTATTTAATATTCTTTTCAGCCTATTATAAAAATAACACAATCTCATGCAACAACAGTTAAAATTTTTTTAAATGATTAAAAATTATATAAATTAACTTTTTTTAATTAAAAATTAAACAAACATACAATGGAAAAGGTAACCACTGAAATTGGTTTTGCAGGATACAAATGGAACAGGGGAAAATGCTAGTTGTTGTATACCGGAAATTGCTTAGACTTAATCATTGCTTTGGCATAGACTACAATACTAAAATTACTTCTTTTCGGTTAATTTAATCAGGTTAACAAATAAAAGATTCAAAGGCACACATACTAATCAATTTGCCCAAAGCAAATTCAAGAAATTTTAATCATTTTTTTTCTAAGTGTTTTTAAGGTGTTGAAATAGATTAAAGGGAAATATTAGAGTAATATTGTTCTTTCATTTTGATAGAAAATGTATCCTAAAACAGAGTTATTTCTTAATGTAAATTTCGTTTTGTAAAGATGCTTAAAAATAATTCGTATGGGATATTTACAGTAAGCAAACAGTATAAGTCATATTTAAAGATAATTAATACATCTATTTTCTTTTGAATTGTTAAATATATTGAATTTATTTCTCCGCTATAATAATTAATTGGGATGATTTACAAACATGCTTTTAAATTTCACTACTTAAAACAACGTCTTCATCTCTCAATAACTAAAAATTTGCAATTTTTCTTAAGCTTATTGATACTACCATTTTAATGCATGCATAAAATGTAATTAGTTAAAACTGTTTCTTAAAGCAAATATTTATTTTTGAAAAAAAAATTCGGCATTTAAGACCTAGCATTAATTAAACAAACTTGTAAAAAACATAATTACGAATTCAAATTACCGATAAGACACTCAAATGAACTCTTAGAGAAATTTTACTTTCTGTTTGAGCCCAAAACACAAATGGACTTAATTTGCGCGGACTTGAGTTTTCATCAGTTCCACTCGAGGGAGACATTGCTAACACTTTATTAAATATAAATTATAATCTTGCAGGTAGACTTATAAAATCAATGAAAGATCTAGAAAACATGAGACCCTTATCCCTTCTGTGAGCAGAATACGAAACCAAACAAACTTGCGCATTTCTCACAAGTGTTTTCAGTTTGTTCCGTTTATTACGATCAATAATTTATCGCGTTTCATTCGTATAATTCCCGTCTTGTATTAAATATTAGAACTACAGTTGTATCTCGCTGTCTGCTTTTCAATCCAGTCGATCCTAGAAAATGATTTTACGAACGTGTACTGCAATCATCGTCCAATGATAGCAGACATTAAATAAATAAACAAAATTTAAATGATATAATTATTTCTTAAACCCTAATTTATTTTGTAATACAGTTGCATGAAAAATATTTAAAAGCTTAGTTTTTCTTCGAATTTAATTAAAAAGTTTCGAACACAAATTTGAGAGAACCCAGAATGCCAAGCTGGCAATACAACTGCTAATTTTCCCGCTAAAAACAAAAACAATGTCCTCCATGTAAAATTTGAACTTCAAATTGAAACTCGTTACTCTGCTATAAAATAACAGACTGATCACTTCAAAAATAAAGTTTTAATGGTGATAGTCAGAAAAAGTTTTATTTGTCCCGTTTCTGTAAAAACAGTTTTGATTTTCTTGTTTTTTGATTAAGTTTAACATGACTGGCATTTATGTGTAAACAAAACATTATCCATCATGTGTAAACTAAGAGATTGACTGTAATAAAATATATAATAGGATATAATAAACACAACGATTTCAAAACTAAATGTTTAAATTGAAATATTTAAAATAATATTTTTTTTCAATTCCATTTAATAAAATTTTTTAGAAACTTTTTTTTTAATTCTGCAGCATTTTTAAATAAAAATAAAAGTGTTTTATGTATATATAATATTAATATACTAAATGAGAAAATTCAATATTTGATATTAGGTTAATTATTAAGTGTTTATTCTAACATTTGATATTTAAAATTGGTTCTGAACTGGAACAGGTTATGAATTTTTAATAATGAATTATTTACTTAGTTTTAAAAAGAAATACAAAGGATCTTATAGTCAATAATAATTTAAAAGAATTCTTTTGCAATAAATAGGAATCAGTTATTACTTTTTTTTTAAAGAATTTATATTCTTTTTAGCTCCTGATTTATAAACATAGGTGAGGGAAACTTGTCTTACGTTTTGATTTATGGTGCTTAATTTAGTAAATACTTTTTTTGTGCTCATATTCTTTTAATAATGGAATTTCTTTGTAGAGATTGCTTAAATATATTTTAGCTGATATATATTTGCCAAAATATTTTTCTTGTGTTTGCATGGTTCTATTTATGCCAAAAGGAAAAATGGAAAGCCAAAATTCATAATGTGAATAACTTTATTCTTGTGTTGAAAGGTAATCTAAAATTTAATAACTAAGGAGTTATTAAATTTTGGATCAGAAAGGTTGAGAATATCTGATCTTATTCTATTTCAAGTCTCATTAGTTTTTGTATTTTTCTTTAGATAGCAGATAAAATGGATGAAGGAGAAGTTGAAAGTCAACAAAAAGAATGTATTTTAAATCCAGATGGAAGTATAAGTAAGTTATTTAACATAATGTTAAATTTTAGTTAATAACTGTTATTTCTTAATTTAATATGAAAATGTTTTTTTAAAGATTATTAAAGCTTTTAAGAAACTGGAATTAAGATTTTTTTTTAAATAAAATTTTTTTTTTCTTATCTATTTTTCAAAATTTAAATAAAGACTACAAATTTTTTAATATTCAGACTTAAAACTCAAATTATAGTAAAATTGTAGGTATATTAAAGGTGAATAATGAGGCATACTATCAATTAAAATATGAGATAGGGAGACATTAGTTCACTCTTAAATGTTTAAAGTTTTTTTCTTGAAAATTTAAACTTGAGTTAACTGGAGGAAAAAAAAATTCCTAACTATATAGGAAATATTTGAGCTCATCTACTAACTTTTTCGAATATTAATCTCAATTTTTAATAAAAATTGATATTTTGGGTAGGAGATTTATTATATACAGGGCTCCAAATAGTCCACTTTTCCCTTAAAAGTCTGTTTTATAGAATAAGTCCATTTTAGTCCTCTTTTTAATGTTTTGATTCTTTTAGTGCTCGTTTTGAATGATATAAAAATCAGTTTATGGAAATTTTTCGAATATGTTAATCTTACAATGCACTCTAATTTTGTGTGCTGAATTCTAACCAAATTATTCACTAGAAAACCAAAGATGTTAGTACACTACTGTATTTATAGGTCAGTGGCACAATTTTTGAGCGTTGGGATCGTTTATATTTAATATTTTCATGTGAGTTAAGGAAAATTTTCTTGTCCCTTTTAATTAGATTTAATAGACTTAATAGAACTTTTTAATAGAACCTAGGAACAGGCAAGCCACTTTTGCCTTTTTTTTCCTGATTTCAGTCATAAGTTTTCATTAACAATTCTAAAACAGTAAATATTTATTTCATAGGTTGAACTGAAAGACCATCCATTAAGTGTGCAAAAGTGATTGAGGAATCTTATCTATTCTACACAATTTTTAGTTACTGTATTCAAGGACTCTAGGATTTTTTAAAATTTTTCATACTTGAAATTTTAAAAGAGTGAATTGACAGTCGTATGCTAATTTACTAATATATCCTTATTTACTATTTTAAATACTTATTAAAAATTCTTACATGATAGAGATTAGCTGTTTCAGGAATTTTAATTGATCTCTCTTTAAATTATTTAAAAAGAATTTATTCCAATAAAGAATTCAATAATCATAAAATTTTTAATTGGTACTCTGAGGGGTTGTTTGCAAATTGATTTATTAAAAAAAAACTTAGTTGCATTTGAAATTTAAAAATTCTTCAAATGAAAAGGTTAGGTTGTGATTAAAAAATATTAAAAAAATTAAAATTTAAATAGATAAAATTATTACAATTAAGAGTTCAATAAGTAATGACATTTTAAAACTTATTAAAAGGGACATATAACTAAAAGTGAAATTGCTAAATATATTTATAAAAACATTTTTAAATGTAACATTATATTTACTATAATACTTCCTTTAAATTGTAGTTTTAAATTTTTAATTTGAAAAACGTGTTTCTGAGGTATTATATAACCAGTTTTTTTTTTCTTTTCTTCCAAACTGCTTGGGCATATCTGTAGAATTTATTTGTAACTTGGGGACTCCTCAACTTGTTCGCTGATACACTTTTAACTCCAGAAGATTGCTATACAATCTTTGGTTTGCTCTGCAGACCATTTGATACGGGTTCTAGAATATAACTTTAAGAATTTAAATTAATAATTAAAATCTTTAAAACTAATTCCTTTTTAAAAACTTAGCATTTTTTGCCATTAATAAATTATTAAAATAGAAAATTTTAAATTGCAGTAGAAACAAAACAATAATTATGATTTAAAAAAACAATTTCTATTAAAGATTCACAATTTTGTGGAAAGTACAATTATAAATTTCAGAAATTTGAGCAATCACTGCAAGATATTATTATAAATAAAATTATTATTATTGAACCTGCATAAGTGTAATTAAAACATAACATGGAACACTTTGTTTGTTAATATGAACTATTGACTTTTAGCTTTTTAATTCTTTCCAACTTGTAGCTTAGTTTGTTTCAGCTTTTTATCGTCCATGCAAAAAAGGAATTTTCATTCAGAAATTTGTAAACATGTACATTTACGCTTTCATACTTATGAAAGCTCTCATGCTTTATATTGCAATTCTTTGTTGCCAATGCTTTATATTACAATTGTTTTTTTTTTTTTTTTTTTTTTTTTAATTTTTTTTTTTTTTTTTTTTTTTTTTTTTTTNTTTTTTTTTTTTTTTTTTTTTTTTTTTTTTTTTTAAATTCTTTCTGTTTGTTTTACTTGATTTGTGCTTTTTACGTTTTGTGAAAAAAAAGAAACATTCTTGAAGTTTTGTGAAAAAAAAACCCTGACATTTTCTTAATCATGATGCTTTTAAAGAGTATGAATTGAGTTGTTCACTTCTCTAATACTCAATAGCAAATTCTGAGACAAAATATTTACTAATTTACTTTCGACCATTGTTTCAAGGCTGTTTTTTCTTGATAGTTATTGAAACTCTTTTATTTTAATTATTTCTTGAAAAAAATTCTAAAATTATTATTTATTATTCTAGAATCTCATATTACTGAAGATTGAATCTTATTTTCGAATTAAGAGAACATTTCCTAACCATTGTTTTAAAAATTTTCTAGCTTTGTAATTTTTACCTTTTTGAATGTAAAAATAACAAAAATTACATTGTGCTTAAGGTGAATAATTTTGAATAAGATTTAGACTTGCATGTAGATTAATTTAATTGGTCTTCAGTGAATCTTTTTATTTTTGTAAACTTCAAAACTTTCTTCAGTTTTGAAAACTCCAAAGCAGCTTTAAAAATCTATGTAATGTACTAATTTAAGAAATTAAATTAAGAAACAAATTGCTAATTTAAGAAACTTATTGTGAAATTTATATCTTGTTAGTAGTAGTCCGTATTTAAATGAATTCTGTTTATGGATTTTTTAATATTTTCATAAAGAAGATTAATTATTGTGGTTCCATAATGCACTTATAAATGGTCCTAAAATCTCTTTTTAAACTTAAAATGGTCCTTTTAAGTCCCTTCTATGATTTTTGGTGTATTTGCCGCATTATATCACATAAGTGAAATCACTGTTAGTATCTCAAAGAAACACTTTGTTTGGTGCATTAACTCTATTTAACTGTATAATTCTAGTTCTAATACAAACAACATATTTTTTCCCCTGTCATTTATATTCACAATATTTTTTATGGCAAAAAATTAGCACAAGGCTGAGAAAAAATATATCTACAATAAGGTTTCTATAAAAACTTTTTTTTTTTTTTTTTTTTTTTTTTTTTTGAGACTGAAGCATCNTTTTTTTTTTTTTTTTTTTTTTTTTTTTTTTTTTTTTTTTTAAAAGTATTGAAGTTAATCTGATAGTTGAACTAACTTTAAAGACTTTTAAGAAAAATATAATAAACAAAATGAATAATAAGCAGCTCTGACATCTCTCTGCTTTCATTTTTTTTAAAACTTTTCAAAAACATTTCAAAAAGTTGTTCTTTATAAGTTTAATTTAAAAAAAAAAATGGAAGAAAAAAATTAAGTTGTAAATATCCTTAAAGAACTTTTCCCATGCTTTACTTTCCCTCCAAACTAATAAATAACATTTTAAAATTTCCAACTTTTAGTTACTCATTAAAAGGTACATTTGCCATGTTAATATAATTTTGTCTTTATTTAAAGCATTAATTTCAGAACACTTTCTTTGCAGCTTTGGATGATGTAACAATTCCTCCAGCTCCTACACCTGCATTAACTGTTGATGCCACAAAGGAAAGATTAATTATCACTGACTTATTAGTGAGAGATTTTAAGTCGTATGCTGGAAGTCATACTCTTGGACCTTTTAATAAGGTTTGTATTTGTGCATTATTTAAGAAGAAAATAATTAGTTAGTCAAATGAGTATAAAGTTGGTGAATGAATAGATTAAGTTAATAAAATATTGAAATTCTCTAGTTATAAATTCTACAAATATGCATATTGGGAATATCATTGATATTATTATAACAATTTTTGAATAAGATTGTAATCTATGTTATTCTAAATTTTTCTAGAAAAAATATTTTAGTGATATTTGGCAAAGGCAATAATTTTTATGTAATTTGCCTGCCGAAGTTTTTATTATTTTCTTCTGCACATTCATCTACGTGTTTGGTGTCTGTTTGAACTATTTTTGACTTTTTATTTTATTTTTGTTGAACAATTATAAACTATTTTACAGCTTTTTTTACAGACTATTATACACGCAGTTTTATTATACTGTTTATTCATATAATGGGTTTGGTTTAATGAATTTCGTGACTACTTTGTAATTTATCTATAAATTTTAATCAATTTTGTTTCAATTCATTTAATGTGTTTGTTTATCAATCCAATTTTAATAAAATGTTTTGGTTTCGGACTTAAAAACTGAAGTTATAATTTAAAATTGTCATGCTTGGTTTAAATGAACAATGCTAAACACATATCTTTATTTGATGATTAAAATTTTGTAAGATGGGTTATGTTACTTTAACTACTTAAGGCCCTTTCTACGCTGAAAGACAAGTCAAATTGAAGGAGCTATGGGTAGCATAGAATAACATGGGGGTTGCTTTTCTCCCGATCGAGCGAGCGAACGGCCTTAAATTGATGTAAAATTTTATTCTCCTTTGTTGCACATACTTATAGCAACAAAAGAATGATACTTATTGTATCTAATAGATTGTTTAGAATTTTTCCACCATCAACTTGACCTATCGTTGTCCTACACCTAGGACCTCTTTATGCTACACCTAGTTTGTATCAATGTTTGATTTGTTACCTTGTATGTCATATTATTTACATTTAACACAGTAAAACACATTCCTATCTTGACATTAAGCTCTGTATTCCATCTATCAGATTTAGGATTTCTAAAAAAATATTAGGAGCAGGTTATTAGCAGTGTTGTAGTGCCAAATTTTTCATTAAGTTGGCAGTAAGAATTTTAATATTTTATGTCATTTTTTTAAAAAATAATATGTCAAAATCTTAGAGAAACTTTATTTTATGTCAAATATGTTTACAGCAGCTGTGATACACTGTATTGAACTTATCAATCAACTTGAAAAAAAAAATTACAGCACATAAAAGAAAAAAAAAATGTAGAAACAAAACCTGTCTTCAATTAATAATATAATTCCACGACTACTAAAGTTTAAAATTATGAACAAAATGAGGAAAAAAAGTGTTGGGACATTATTTCCCAGGTGCCCTCTCCTCAATACTTACGGCTATCTGCTAATATTTCTCTTTAAAAGTGTGAAAATAATTATTTTATTTCATTAAAATTTTATTTAGATAAAATTTTTTTCAAATGAAGTTGAAATTTTTTTATTACTTTAAATTTTAAATAGATTTTTGAATATCACTTCTATCTTGTAATTAAGAAAAAATGTGTCGCTAATAGCAACTTATAAGCAACTTTCTACTGATCTGTAATTTTGTATACACCCTGGCGAAAGTTTTCAATCTTTCTCCAAATTTTTATATTTTTAGTTTGAATGTTTAATACCGAATTCATTAATTCCATATTAATATTAATTCATTAAATATTATTTCAATTAGTATTAATTCATTTGAAAATTCATTAAAACTCATTTACGTTAAAGTGATTTCTTGTGATGGCAAATGAATAAATTATGATGAACTATGATGTATTTATAAAAAATTATAATATTTTATGTTATAAGAAAATCATAATTACTCGTAGCAGAATTTAGATTTGGTTAGTCAGTCTACAAGGTTTTACTAGTACATCACATCCAGTTTAAGCCACTTACCCAGGATTTGATTGCACAAATCCAATTAATTATAAGGATGCTGATTTTGGCATTTTATGTATCAGGCATGTTTTTTTCACTCCCAAATTTCTCTCAGATTTTCTATGAGCTACATGTCAGATGCTTCTACCAGATAATCGAGATATAATAAGGTGTATGAATGTATAGTGAACCAATCACATTTTCTTCCAAACTGAAAGAACTTAGCTGTTATCAACTTCAATATTTGAGATATCAACAGCATATTCATGATAAAGATGTTGACTGTTGGTAACACCTGGTCATAGAGAAATTTTAAACATGCATGTTGGTTCATATTATTGGTCACCTTAGTGTGAGTTTAGTATAATAATAAAAAAATATTTCTGACATACTTCTATTAAATGATGCTTTTCATGACTTCTGTTGGAGAGACCAACATATTTTGTCTGATGTGCTTATGCAACATTACTTTAGGGTTTGTGATGTTTAGTAAAAATAAAATTTAAATTTTTGCTTCCTTAATGTAAAAACAAATGTAAGATCCTTTTAAAAAAACATTTCTCATATTTAATTACTTTTATACTCAATGTCAAACAATTAATACTTTAAATTTAATTCTGCAGAATTTTTCTTGCATCGTTGGACCAAATGGCAGTGGGAAGTCAAATGTCATTGATGCTTTGCTATTTGTATTTGGATACAGAGCTCAACGAATACGTTCAAAGAAAGTTAGCGTCCTGATCCATAAGAGTGATAAATTTACTGATCTCACCAGTTGTTCTGTTACAGTAAATTTTGCAATGATTAAAGATCAAGTAAGTTTTTTTCTACTGTTATCAAATTTTTAAAAGAAAGAGTAGTGTACTTTTTTTTAATAAGGCATACTTTTTACCTCTTTGATAAGGCAATAGTAATTTTAAAATAAACTTTTCTAAGTTGTGGTTACTAGTTGATAATAATTGATTATTTTGAAAATATTTTAAAGTTTCAGTAACATTCACACAACTAAACTTAAGGTATTACTTTCACTGCATAGTTAAAATATGCAGTTGTGAATGAGAACCTGATCTGATTGGTGAACTATATTTACTTATGAAAAACTTGTCTACATGGTTCTTATTCGTTTCTCTAAATTCATATTTGCATAATTTTTGTATCCAGTGAGAATGGTGTATAACACTACAATTTGGTATTTAATAACCTTTTATATATAATTACTCTTTTGTAAATAAAATGTAATTATTTTATCTAGAAAATGTTTATTAATGATTCTATGTTTTTTTAAAATTTTTTTGCTTTTATAATATTTAATGTTAAATAAGATGATAGCTATATTTTATTGTTAGGAAGTATTCTAATAAATTACTTGTTTATCTTTATATTATGTTAAAATTGAAAATTTAATAATTTTTTATTATTTCTAACTTTTCTTAATGATCAAGTGGTCTAACTATTGTTTTTTTTTCATTATTGACTTATGTACAGTAGTCTAATGTGTATTTGTGTTACTTTAGGGTGATGATTGTATTGTTCTTCCTGATTCAAAATTTTGTGTGACAAGAACAGGCCACAAAGACAATAGTTCAACGTATGAAATTAATGGTCGACGAGCTCAATATAAGGATGTGGCAAATCTGCTGAAAAGTTATGGCATTGATTTAGAATATAACCGTTTTATGATTTTGCAGGTGTATACATAATTATTATATTGAATATTGTTATACACTTTTATGAACCATTCACATACTGTGTTATTCAAAAAGATAGACTGAATTTAATTTTTATTTAATGAAATATAAATTAGATTTGTCTAGTCTACTTACTTAAGAAAGGAAGTTCTATAGTTCTGTTTGCTGTCACTTGGGTGATGTTGTTTGTGTAAAGAGTCAGTGCAGCCATGCTCTTTCGCGTGTGTGAAAAGTTTGGTCACACTGGAAGGGGACACATAAAACTTTTATAATTTGTGTTAAAAAAAAATCTTTCCTTTTTTCATAAGTAGGTAGATTGTCCAATTTATACTTCATTAAATTGAGTTTATTTTTTGAATAACCTTGCACATTATTTTCTCTTTTTGTAATATACTAAGGAAAATTAAAAAAAAAAAAGTATTGTAATTATATCTATGGTTTCTAAAAAAAATTATTATTAGATTTTTTTATCTTTTTTTATTTATTTACAATATTAAAATTTCATTTAAGATTTCATTCAGGGTGGCCACCCACCTGGAAAACCTTGAAAACCTGGAATTATCAGGGAATTTTTTTATACTGGAAAAAACCTGGAAATATCAGGGAAATTTGAATAAAAACCTGGAAAAATCAGGGATTTTTAAAGAAAAGCTGGAAATTTTTCTTTGATGATTTTTCAAATTTCACTAATTTAAATTATTTGCTAATTTTCTTAATTTAAATTATTTCATCCATTATACCCACTTTTTTTTAACGGAAATGTATCGCCAAACAGTTGAAATATCATCAACTTAGCGATACTTTGCTTGCATCAAAATTTGCTCCATTATAGTTCTGTTAAACTAGAATGCCATATAAAATTCTTCCACGGTTGCTAAACAAATGTGCAAACTTTTGACCGCTATGGGAATTTAGGAAAATTTAGGTAAGATTCTGGTGGGAAAAGGGATTAGGATATTAGCTTCTGTTTTTAAATTCTGTCCTTGGGCTAAATCCATTTATGGCTCAAGTTTGTTCCGATGCTTTGGTGGTTATTTTTTTTCTCTATTTTGACAAAATGTTTTTGTATTTTTAACTTTATAAAATTCTCCGAAAATTAGTTGGTTATAATTTTATGATAATAGATTTTATATCGCACTCTTTTTCTGAAAGCTTTTCTACTCCTATTCAAAGAAATCTGTGAATTATTTTTTCTGAGCAAACCAACCAATCACACATTCTTTTACAATCACTAACAGCAATGTTTGTCAACAAATTTTTACAATTGTTGCATTAATGCTAATTTTTTCTATTTCATTTTAACCTCTTATAACATATTTTAATTTTAAACAAAAAAGGCTCCTTTGTTGGTCAATATATGATTTTTGATTCAAAATTTTGTGCCAAAACATTAAAAAATAAATAAAAAATCTTGAAAATTGTCAGAATAAATTATGTTTTTCAAGATGATATGTTAAAAAAATAACATTTTGAATAAAATATTTTATAATATAGACACTTTTCTTGTACACATCTTACACTTTATAAGAAAAAAGAAACAGAAACCTGGAAATTTTAAGATTTTTATCTGTAAAACCTGGAAAAATCAGGGAAATTTGAAATCTGATTTGAGTGGCCACCCTGTTCATTGCAATAGCTTTTTTTTTAATTATAAAAAGTTTTCTTCACCTCTCTCTTTCTCACTTTTTTTCTCCTTTTGTAACCACTAAAAAAGCATTTATCATTTCTTTCTGATAAATTGAATATTTCACATAATTTCTTTAAAAGGTTCCAAATAAAATAATATATTTTAACTTTACATGTTAAAAATGACATCTTTATACAAACTACTTTAAGGGAAGGCTGAAAATTCTTTATAATTCATGCAAACATCTATGACTGAAAAAAAATGTGTGCTTATAAAATTTTTCAATGAATGAAACAATTGTAATTTGTAGTGAAACAGAATTAGAACTAAATTTTAAATGTTTTGTATTCTTGCCTTAAAGTGCACCCAAAAAAAAAAAAAATGGAAGTAGTTAGCCCCAAAACAGCAAAATTCATGTAGCTAAAAATATTTCTGAAAAGTATATTCATTGTTGTTAACATAAAATACTGACATGATGTAAAGCCGTCTGCCAGAGAGTCAGAATTCAAACATATGACACATGTATAATATCTTGTGAATGTTATTGCCATGTAAAATGTGATTATTTTGGTTTCCTTGTCTTTTGAGTTTAATTTGAGAAGATAATTAAAATAAATATTTTATTTAACAAATCAATAAAATTAAAAAAAATCTTAGCTTAGTTTTCTTAAATAAAGTAAGCTGTTATATTATAAAAAAATATATGTAAGTGTTTTTGTATTTCTATAGAGAAACCTGCAAGTTGAAGTTTCTACTATAAATTAGTGTTTTTTTAAAAAATAAAACTAAAGATAAATTTTTTAGAATATTTTCAATTTTAAATCATAATTTTTAAAGTTATTAATCTAACTGGAAGGCCATGGCACAGAATAGATCAAGATGGCAAAAACTTATTGGGCGGCCTTGGCCTGTCATAGGCTGTAGTGCCCAAGAAGAAGAATCTGATTATAAATTAGCTAGATTACAAGAGATGTATTTTCAACAAACATATTTTATCTATTCTACTTTTTTTTATATATTTATTTATTATCTCGCATTGTGCATTTGAATCTAACTGAAAATGCTGAAAAAATTGTGTTGGTTGAAATTTATGCTTTCTATTGATTGCAAAATGCAGGAAATAAATGAACTGAACACAATATTATACTTTTAACTGAAATGTTTTAATATCTGAATGTTTTGTATGGATTAGTTACCCATATTTTTAGGGTGAATGTAAATGTTCCTTTGAATTTTTTATCATGTCTTTATATTAAGATTACTTCATATTTAGAAATACCCTCTTACATAAGAAAAAAAAGTTAAAATATATTTTATATTAACCATTTGTTTATGGCTGATACAACATATGAACCAAATGGCAAACTTCACCATGTTAAGTGCCATAAGCAAAGGATTGAATTATTGAAGATAAAGGAATAATAATTTTATGTTTGATTACACATTCAAAATAAAATGAAAATTGATCTCGTTCCCTTTTAAAAAATATTGTACTTTTCAGAGAGTGAAAGATGGTTAACTGACTAACTTATTTTGATGGCTTAAGTTTAAGTTTTTTTTTTTGCTGTCACTATCGAATAGGGAGAAAGAATATATTTTGTTAAAGAGTGACTTCAGTGTTCACATACAAAATGAGTTTAAAAGTACCGAGAAATTTTTTTCTCCACCAAATGAATCCCGGCCTTTTATATAAACAAAATATTGATGTTTTTAAATCATGTATGATTAGTATTTTAATGTTTTGATTTGTACTTACGACTAATCACTTCTTTTATTCATTATTAGAGATGCTAAATTTATAAAAATTCTCAATTGGAAAAATAATTCAACTGATACTTTTCATCCTCTCTAACTATAACTTTAGTGTTGTAATGTTTTACATTAACAAAAATCTCAGTTAAAAAGTTTCTTCACATTATTGTTAGACATTTCGATATTTTATACAGAAATAACTTTAATTTTAAAACAAGGTCAATTAAACAACAATCTGTGTATTCTGCAATATTGTGTATTGTATTCTCAGTCAAGTTTAGATTAAGTTAATATTATAAGACATTGAAACTGAAGCATATTGTACATTTCAAATATTTATAACTATACAAATGTTCAAAATCAATGACATGTTATTTTAAAATGTATCAATAAAAATAGATTATGTTTAATTGATTTTCAGCTGCGTTAAAGTATAAATCTAATTTTCTTTAATTATTTTTGCATTTCAGGGTGAAATTGAATTGATATCCATGATGAAGCCTAAAGGTGTTACTGATCAGGATACTGGAATGCTTGAATATATTGAAGACATTATTGGTTCAAATCGTTTTATCAAGCCAATTCAGCATTTTAATGAAAAAATGGAAGCAGCCAATGAAAAGAGACTTGAGATGGTACTTTTTAAAGTTTAATTTATTTTTTTCATTTTTATTTAATTATTACTATTTTGTGAAATATTACAGTTGTTCTAATTGTAAAATTTTTTTAAAAATTGCAAGCAACAAATGACAGGAAATTTAAGAAGGTATATTTTAACGATTATATTACACTTTTAATTTTTAACTATTTATCACAGTATAAAGAGTTTGTTAATATGTTTTAAAATTTATATTGCTATTAATATTGAACCGAATAAGGCAGTGTGACAAAATGCTATTGTTAAAAATGAATAGCCTGCAAAAATCTGCCTGAGAAGATATAGTATAAAATTTATATCACTTATTAAAATATAGTTACATTTATCTTTTTTCTAAAAAAAACACTATTTTTTTAAAAATTTTTTTTAAATATTTTTATTTATGGTATCTACAATATCAAACTTTTAAACACATTTTAAATGTTATTAAAATAAAGCATCCTTGAAAATTAAGTCACAAATTTTATTTAACAATACTGAAACTTTCAGGTGTTAATAGTAAAGTTTATAAATAAAGTTTTTTTTTTTTTTTAAATTGGAGCCAATTTAGAAGAATATCTGAATTAAAAAATATTCAGAGGCATTTTAAATGCTCTTAAATAATATTGAAAAGCTGTGATATAATAGTGTTTAGGCACTGAGCTGTCATTGTTATAGACTGGGATTCTCACTGGGAAAGTGGCAGCTTGAAATAGATGTATTGCATTTTGGTACAAGAAGTACTCATATTTGCTGAATAAATAATTACCACAAGTTGTATTATCTCAGAAAACTTCCAAGATCTTGCATTAATTGTATGGAAAGATGGAACATCTGCCTCTATTCATTATTTTTTTTCATAAATGTTTGTTAAATTCTTTGTAAACTTACAGAAATACAAAATGCATGTATGTACAAATTTGTCTGATAACTATATAATAGATTGTGTAGGTTTCTAAACAAGGAAGAAAATGTCATTCTTTATTGTTTTTCAATTATAAATCACATTCTACTGTTTATTTCAACCTCTAAAACATAGGTTTAAATCTTTTGTTTTTATTAAGGAACGTTAACTACATTTCTTGATTACATTTGTTTGAGACCTTATGTTTGAATGTTTATTTTTAGTTAAACAACTTAAAAATTATAGAAAAAGAGAGAGCAGATGCAGAAAAGCCCAGAAACAAAGCCCTGGAATACTTAGAACTGGCAAATAACTTAACACTAATGCAAAATTCTGTTCTTCAAGCTGAAATGTAAGTACAAATAGTTTGCTTCATTTTTATTTATTTAGATAAGGCAAAAAAAAAAAATCTGTTAACAGGTAAATGTTTCGAATTTTGTTACAATATAATTCTGAAGCCTATTTCATTTCTTATTTTAGTAATTTTGCACATTATGGAAGTTACTCTGTGATTACAGAAAATTAGAAAAGTTATTACTAAAATACATCTTGTCATATTATTACAGCATTATATATTTTTTAATTTTGTTTAATTCTTAAATTACTATTTAATCCTCTAATTCTTTTCTTAATAAAAGTTGTAAACTTCTTTTTGACTCTTTTGAGCAGAAGTTAAATTCTATAAATAGATTATCTTTTTATAGCTAATTGTAACATTAGCATAAAAATTCAAGCTTGTTAAAAGGTTAGATATAAGTTTTAAAGTTTATTACAGCAGTTTGTAAGCAAATGAGTTCAAACTTGACAATCCTTTTTTAAAGTTCGATCCTCGCCGGCCGAAGACTCCCCGTGTAGTAAATGGTGACTGATGCACGTTAAATCTGTCGAGTCTCAAAGTCCTCCATGTTCCCACAACAAATCAATACCTCTGGGGGTACTGATCCAGGAGTTTCCTTGTCTTCTGGATTGGTTCAAAATTACAAGGCTACGGAGTTGAACGTTAGTAGTCGTAAACCCATGAAATTGGGTTGGCTGTTCAACGACGGTTATAAAATAAAATAAAAAATAAAATAAAATCCTTTTTTAAAGAACCGTGATGGTTCAGGGGATAGAACGTTTGCCTTCCAATGAGGCGAACCGGGTTTAATTCCTAGTCGATACGAATTCCGCATCCGGCTTGCAACGACCAAAGTGCTGACGTGAAATATCCTCAGTGGTAGACGGGTCATGGGTTAGAGTCTCCTTGCTGTCAGGCTAACCGTGGGAGGTTCTCGTGGTCTTCCTCTCCATGTAACACAAATGAGAGTTAGCTCCATCAAAAAAAGTCCTCCACGAAGGCAAAATTTCTCCCAATACTCGATCCAGGAGTTCCCGTGTCTTCTGGATTGGGTTCAAAATTACAAGACTTCGGAATTAAACATTAGTAGTCGTAAACCCGTAAAATTGGACTGGCTGTTCAACGATGGTTATAAAATAAAATAAAATCCTTTTTCATTGGCCGGGAGGGAGGGGGCTCAGGGGATAGAGTGCTCGTCTTTCAATGAGGTGAACTGGGTTCGAATCCCAGCGATGGCTAATCAAAACGAATTTTGCACACGGCTCAAACCGACCACAGTGCTGATGTAAAATATCTTCAGTGGTAGACGGATTATGGGTTAGAGTCACCTTTCCGCCTATTGAAATCTTTTTCCATGAGTGGTTGCCCACAAATAAGTGGTCTTAAAAAGTTATAAAGTTGCTAGTGCGGAAGCTCAGGCTTTCAAACCTATGTATACTAACATTCAAATATATTAACTTTAAAAATTCTAAATTGGTTACAAAAAATTTTCATACTTTTAAGTAAAATAAAAGATATTTCTTGTTTTCGACATAATTTAAAGTTATTAAATGTCATTTTTTTTGTTGTATACATTTAAATTTTGTCACGATTTTTAGAAAGGCAAGTACTGAAGCTGGTGAAATACTCAGTGATAAAAAGAATGGTCTTGTTCAAAAGACAAATGAATTATCTACATCCTTAAATGAAGTAGAAGATATAAAGAACCTGAAAGAAAATGATTTGGAAAAGATTGTAAGGTATTCATAATTTTGTTTATCGAGAAAAAAAAATGATAACTGAAAAGTAAATTTTGTTTGCACTTGAAAATTTTAATTTTTGTTTGAATATCACACCATTAGTATAATTAACAACATTATAAGGTATTATTTTCATAACCGAAATGTATAAAAATTCTTCCATCCATAGCAATAAGCAATAAATGTAGTATTTATATTTTATATACAGTGGAACCCGTTTCAGAAGTTCCTGCTTAAAACGTTTTCCTGCGTAAGAAGTTATTTTTTAAAAAGATAAAATACTATAATATATATATGAGAAGTTTTTTAGAGTTTAATAAATTTTCACACGCTTCAAATTTTCTCCTTTTTTTTAAACTTTGTATTTAAAAATGTCTTATCTAGTTTTACTTTTCCGTTTTTTGCTTAGTTCAGCATGTGAAATTCAATTTCGTTTTAATAATTTTTTTGTTTTGTTGTATAAATGGCTTTAATTTATGTCTATTTTAACATTAATCTTTCAAAATTAGTTGCAAGAAAACAGAAGTATATAATTAATTTATTAAAATAAAAGTTACAATAATATTTTTTCATTAAGGTTAGTTTTTCTAAATTTATTTTCAGCTTTGCATGTATTGAATTTGAAGTGATATAATTTTAATGTTTATCTAGGGAATATGAAAATTGCTTGAAAACAGTTGAAGAACACCAAGTACAGTTTACCAAGTTGGAGCATACAGATGCTGCTTGTAGAGAAAATTTAAAGAATAATAAAGATAAATTGAAAAAGTTGGCAAAAAATTTAGAAACTGAAGAACTTAAGGTAAGTTAAAGAAAAAGTTTTTATTTTGGCAATTGCTTAAACTGTTTAAAATTTGAATGTTTTTTCAACTAGTTAATTACATGCCATCTTTTAAAAAAAATTATAAAATTGTTTTATTTTTTTTTCTTCTTTTTTTTTTTAATATTTATATATTTTAATTACCATATCATTTTGCAGCTTACAATTTTTGCTTAATGCATTCATAAAGTATCAAAATTAAATATTCCCCTCCACTATAGACTTAAATTACACTGCATATATGCATAAAAAAATAATAATAAATCTATCAAATTTTTTAGTGGTTGGCCTTGATATAGCTATAATTATTTTCTTTTTTGGAAACATAGTTGTTTTTGCATGTATTATCTGTAATAGTCATAAATTTAACACATTGACAAATATGAAAACGTAAATTTCTGTCTCGTTAAAGATATGGTTGGAATTAGTTAACTGAATTAGCAATTGAATGACATAATAATGCCAAATACCATTGAAGATAGACGGAGGTTGTCCATTGTAGTCTAACTATCAATACTCTTGGGGGCAGATGTAATTCGTCATTTCAAAGTTTAAAGTGCATTAGCAGACACTGTTTTTAATTAAAAATTATTACTCATTTTTTTTTTAGTTCCTTATAGAGATCATTATTGTTAGAAAAGTCTTTTTTTTTTCATTTTGCAATTATTAAGTGGTACTCTCCAGTGATTTCTTTGTTTTACTTCCACATACCATTCCACCACATTTAGTACCATTAAATTTATTTTTAAAATATTAAATTTAATTGATTGAATAGAGTTTATTAGATTGAAAATAACAAAATATGAGAGAGTTAAATTGTGTTATGATTTGATTTTCGTTCTTAAAATTATTCCCTTGTGCATGAAATAGAATTTAGTTTTAAAATGGATATTTTAGAATGAAAAAGAATTTTTTATTTTATAGTTACGTATGCTTTAAATCTTGTTTTCATCAAGGACTAACCAGAAGAAAAAAATCAATCTTATGAGTTTAGTCAAGTCTCAATGATTCTGATTATAATTAATAGTGGGTTGAATTTGTATGAAATACAAGATAGAAATATATAAAAGAAAATTTCCACCACCTAAGGGGACTGCACCACCCTCCAAATAACCATAATTTTCCCTTATTCTCTGGAAAAAGTATGTTTGCAGAAAAAATTTTTGTCATAAAAGGCAGATTTGTGTTCAGTACTGATAAAAACATAAATTTATAATATATGAAAACTCTCGTCAATTTTTTTTTGTGGAAAAATTTTCTCTTGTTTGGTTCCATACTTTTATTCTTGTTTTGAAGTACAAGCTTAATATAGATTATTACTTTTTTTGTAAACTTGTGTTCTTAAAATAATGACAATATGATAGATAATCATTATAGTTCAATTAGTAAGTCCAAATTTGTCAATTATTTAGGTACAGGAAGAGAATGATAATTTTTTTAGTCTGATTTTATTTGTTTATGTTTGTTTCAAACATGCTGTATATAGTTGAGATTATACATTTGTTCTTTTTTGCTTAAAACAGATATCAAAATTGAAAAAACAGCCGGAAACATTAAAAGGAGAAATTTCTGAGTTGGAAGAAAAGAAAAAGAAAATTGAGGCAACAAAAGCTGTTGAAGAGGATAAATTAACAGAAGTAATTAGAATTTTGTTCAATACTTGAATTTCTCCTTCAATATTTATATGTTGATCTCTATTTAAATATGTTTTTCTTAAGTGATAAATTTTATAGATTTTGTGAAAAACGAAAGTACATTGGTGATATAAGTTTTCAACGATTAGGATTTTTTTATTGATTTGGGATGTGTGTAACCTGTCCTCACTACTGTATTGTAAACTCTTTAAAGTAAAAATTTGTGGATAATATATAGTATTTATTTGCAGCTGATGGGTAGTATGAAAGATGAAATTCAAGGATTTCAAGAAGAAAAAGATAGTCTAGAAAAAGAATTAGTTCAGCTGAAAGATACAGTGAATCAAAAGAAATCTGAGGTTAGTGTAGTTTACTTTAAAACAATTGAAAAAAACTTTGATTTCATGTTATTTATTTTGATTTAATAACTAGGACTGTAAATTAATTCACTGCCATAAGAAAATTTTATTTCAACTAAATTTTAAGTAATAATCATGTTATAAAAATTTTTAGAAAATATTAAAGACAAAATCTAGAATTTAAGTTTAAGAAAAATTAAAAAAAAGTTCAAAATTCAAATTTATTGATTTAAAAGGAAAAGACAAAAAAAAAAAGATATAAAATTGGATTTTTTTTTTACCTATTTCTGTGCACTTTTGTTGCTTGAACGAACAGTTTTGAATTTTTGACAATAGTTGTTGGGGACATACAAACTCTAAAAATTCTTTGACAGTACACATTCACAAATAATTTTTTCGATACAAGAAAAATAGTGACAGCAGTAATAGTTCTCATAAACACAGAATAGATACATGTCAGTCAATACTGATAATAGTTGATTATATGGTAAGAAAATTTTGTTAAGGGTATATCAAATCAGAAACATTAGTAAATGGTTACAAAAATTGTAACATATAAGTATCAAACAGGTGTTGTAACTAATGCAATAAATAAATGAAAATGCCAAACAAGATAGAAAAAGATCAATTATTAATCAAGTAGAATATCACTAATGAGCTTTTTTTTTTAACTGCCCGGGTATGTCTATGAGACTAATTTGTAATTCCAAAATCACAAAGTTAGCATTCGAGGATACTGATTCACTAACTGTAAAATTAATGCTATGTTAAGGGCTCTTAGTATCTTATTGAATTTGTGGTTTTAGGAATTTTCAGTACTCTTGAGTTATTTTTATGAAGAAAATAAATAAAACACTCAATATTTTCTTAATGGTGACATTTTAAAAGTATTAACTGAGGGTCCCTTCATTTGTTTAATGCAATGTATCTTGAAAATCCTGATGTATTTTCATCTGCTGAATTGCGTTAGACTGAATCAAAGCTGATAGGACTAATAGTTTTAAGTTTTCAAAGTTCTAAATTAAAAAAGTTTAGTTTTTTATTTAGGTATATGTATTTAACTGGCATTGCTACTATATAGTTTCATATTTCTATCTGATTTTTTTATTGTAAATTTAATAACAAAATTAAATAGATGGAACTAATAGTTTTTAAAATGTAATCGTAGCAATTAAAGCTGCAAATTGGTTTGAATTTTTTATTGAATTTTGATTTGAATTGATTTGACACAAAATTTCTTACTTATATTCCTCAGGGTTAAATTAAAAAAAATTTTTTTTTTTTCTATTTGTTTTCTTTAAAATACTTTTGACAAGGTTATAAGTTTCTTTTAATGTGAACTAGCATCTGGCACAATTAAAATTGCTATACTGCATTCAGCTGATCTGACTTCAAGATTTTACCACATTACATTCTGTATTAGCATTGAGTTTCAGAAACTTATGCTTCCTGGCTCACTTCTTTACATTAACATTGGTTTCAGCAGCATTTCTCTGCTTCAGCAGAGGTAAAAATGGATTCACTGTTTTTTACAAGTTAAAAATATGCTTATAATATTTTAAGTGCCTTCATGAATTCATGACTTCCAGTCCCCAAGTTGGTTTTTTGTATGAGTAAAAATTGCGCAGGGACTGCTTTCTCCCTGTGGCAGAATTTTTTTCAGGCTTTCTGCGACAAATTTTCCTATCACTAATATTTTGCAAAAACAATTATAATAATTACTAATTTAAAGTAACAGAAACGTTGTGTTTACAGAAGAAAGTATGAAATTAATATGTATAAAAATTTTTTAATTGTAAAAGTAATATTTTTTAAATTCGAATATTATAGGCAATATTCTCGCATTTTGTAGGCAGAAAAATGCACTAATTATTTCCTCTTTCGAATTTTGTAAATCATTTCACAAATTAAAATTCGTAAATAAATGAAACGTTAATAAATTCAAATTTATACATGAATTAAAAATCATAGCATCCGTATAGTAACTCCCAAAATAAAGATCGACAATGAAATCAAGTCAATAGCAATTTTTAAAAAAGAGATACTCAAATAAGTGTATGTAAAACAAGATGTTCTTTAAAGGGAAAAAATGAAAGAAGGAATATCATATCTAGAGAAAACTGCCTTTTAAACTTTCACGATTTCTGAATTTTTTATTTTATGTTATTAATTTGAATTCTAGCTAAAGCCAGTAATTACTGATTTTTTAAAAAAATCTTAAATGAGAACAGAAGAATCACTATCATTCATTTCCTCTCTGATGCCCAAGAAAGACATCTTTGAAAAAAATTCTACAGAAATAAAACAAGCATTTTTTGAAAAATGTTTTAGAAAGGAAAACCAGAATTTTTCCCTTTCCAAATGAAAAATCTTTCTTCGAAAACTTTGAAACATTGTGCGACAATGTCGCCGCAATTTCATCACAGGACGCTTTCTTATTTCCAATAGTTTTAAAATATATAGCATTACGTATTTTAAGTGCAATACTGTTTTGAACTCACCACTTCGATGTTCCAAATTGACTTTTGCCAGGGGTAAAAGCTGTTACAAGTCCATAATCTAAGTGTTGTGTTGGGAAAAAATTTCAGGAAGGCTTTGTTGAAATGGTGTAGGTTTCAATAAAACGTAATACTGAATATGAAGTAAAAAATGTATTGATGTGCTTTAAGATTTATATTTTATGTGCGAACTGGTCAAAATACTGAAAATTTTGCATATTGATTACTTTTCTTTGTTGTCATTATTTTAATTTATTTCATAGAAAAGCTTATTTTTTTTTTTACAGTTGGATTTGGCTCAATCTGAATTGGATCTTTGTTTAAGTTCAGAAAGAAAGGAAATTGAAAAATTAGAATCTATGCAAACTGACTATGATAAAGTTACTTCTTTAATTCAGGATGAAGACAGGTAATTTTAAAAATCCTTTTTCTTTAATTAGTTTGATATGTAATTTCTTAATTTCATTAAAATAAAAACTGAGATATATTCATAATTTTTTTATTTTGTTTTTGATTATGTAATAATTACTTTTTTTAGAGCCATTAAAAAAGCAAATGAAAGATTACCTGAAGTTCAGTGTAAATTGAAATCAGCAAAAGTGGAGTTAGTTGAAAAAGAAAAGAACGAAAACACTCTTAATGAAGAAGTATACATTTTCTTTCTTTTATAAAAGGATACTTTTTTACATTCCACTTCTTCCAATTTTTTATTTTAATTTTAGAGCTAATAATTTCTTTCTACGTTTGTTGTATTAGATGCTTCTGAGTTTTCTTATATGAAATTATTGTAAGCCTTGGATTGTCTCTATCTGTGATTTTCATTGTCCTTCGCTTGTAATTGTTTTTACATAAATAAAAACAAACAATTTTATTGCATGTTTGACAATCACAATCTAGGAAGACATCAAGACAAACTATACTTAGTTTCCCTTGGTATGAATTATCAAAAAGCAAACTTTCTGTGGAACGACTATCTTTTGTTAGATAACAAAACGTTGTTCAATATGAAAGAATTATAATTTTTTTTACATGTTTTATTTTTTTCCACATTATTTGCGTTGTATAAATGTAATAAAATTAGATTTTAAAAAAAAAGGTCTGTACAGATCCTAAATTTTCCAAACAGCTAGTTATAACAGTGTGGGACTTCATTTTCTAGTAAAAGCTTTTGCATATAACTGTTATAATAATGATTTAAATATTGATTTAAATATTGATTAACATTATTATTTGTTAATTTTTATTTAAAATTACACTTTTTTCAGAAAGGGTTCATTAAAATTTTTATAAAAAATGTATGAGTAGAGTAACATTTCTTTAAATTATATTTTATAAAATAACTTGTCCAATCTCTTTTTTTTTTTAAGCAAGTAGTAACATATCTTTTTTTACTATGTCAGTAATATTGATGCAATGTAAGTAAGATTTCTTGTAGAAAATCGGGGGTGGTTAACTCTTAGTATTTCATGCTTGAATAATCAAACACATGTGTATATATATNATATATATATAAAAGCATAAAGAGCTTTACCAATTCTTTTATGTTATTTCTTTATCTAAATTTTCTTTCTTAATTTATTATTCAAAACGAAATGCGTTGTCACATTTAGTATTCATATCCGGCATTTTAGTTCTAAATTTAATTAGAGTATGCTACGCTACGTAAAGTATTAACGTACTTTAAGTTTTTCTCTCACTTAAGTGTGAGAACTGAAGATATCCATTAACTTTTTTTTTTTTGAACAAGTTATGAGAAATAATAATTCCCTTTTTACATCTGACTTAAGAGTTTATCAAGACTTGTTTGCAAGATTTACCCTAATTTTTATACAGAAGCATTTCGATTTTGTGTTACTTGGATGATAGCTCTTTTCACAATAATGGCTAAATAATGATGTGCTTTTACCGACCTGTGCCTGTCTTTCCTACTCTCCCAGGCTGCCTTTCTATGTATGCAGATTAATTGTTATATTACTGTTAAATTTAATTTTATTTGATTGATTTTATTTTGTTAAATATGATTTCTTTTGTTAAATTTTTTTTTTGCAACTTAAAAAAATATATTCTTTCTTTGCTGCAATATAAAATTTTTTTAATTAAAAAAATTAATGAGGTATTTTAAGTAATATTAAGTATTTGTGTGTTAACTAGTGTATGATTTGGTATATTGTAAATTAAGCCTAAAATATTTTAACATTAATCATAAATATTTATGACTTTATTTTAATCTTTATCTAATTTTTTTATTATTTAATCTCTAGTATAGTATTTAAATCTTATCTTTAAATAGTATACTATTATCTTATCATATACTAGTATACTATTATAATAGTATCTTATTTTAATCTTTGTCTAATTTTTTTTATTATATAATCTCTAGTATACTATTTAGAAGTAATTTTAAATGAGCTTTGTGTAAATTCCTTTTATAGAGTGTAATCTTGTTTTTCAAAATTTTAATTTGACTAAAATTATTTTAATATGAAAATTAGTACTAGAAACTATATTCCTTGAATTCTTGTTTTCAGTTGAAGCACTTGCGAATTAAACTTGATGAGACTACAAATTCCTTAAGTTCTTCACAGAATCGAAGTACTTTGACCAAAGCCTTCTTAGATGAGAAAAAGAAGGGTAGACTAACTGGAGTTTATGGGCGACTGGTAAAGTATTTCACCGATTAACCTCTCCCTCTCTCTCTATATATATAAAGTTCGAAATGTAGAGAAAACAAGGGAAAATTACAGAGCAATAAAAAAAAGGGGAAAAAATAAAAATAACTAAATGTGAGTAATTTTGTAATAGCTAACAATAATTATGCAATCTTCTGTAAAAAAATTCTATGTTGAACTTTTAAATACGGAATTAAAAAACAGTAAAAATTTTAAACTTAGTAATTTAAATAATTGTCATTAAAAAAATTTGAGCTTTATATAAGAGATTAAAAATTAAAATTAGCAATATATAATTTCCTTACTTAATTATCAGTCCTAAATTTCATAAAATTCCTGTAAAATTTAGAACTATCACATGTGGATTTAATACTTATCTAACTAAGCCTGGCACCATTTTCTCTAACTACTTAAATAAAATAATTAACAATATTTCTGAAGAAGGTTTCTCTTGGATTATCACTAATAATCAACCAAATTTAGAATTCATTAAACATGATAAAATTAATTCTATTGCGACTTTTGATTTCCAGGATCTTTTCAATAGCATTCCCCCTTTTAAACTAAAAGATGTCCTTTTGAATTATTACTATGATTTTAAAAATATCCTTTGTTGCGATTTCGATTATTGGGAAATTCTGATTAATTTTTGTCTTTTTAGTAATTATCTTTACAATGGAAGGGATATTTTTCTTCAAATTGATGGAATACCGCAAGGATCTAATTATTCATCTCTTTTAGCTAACTTATTTTTGCATTATTATGAAAATAATTATACTCTTAGTATTAAATTTGTTTTTAGATTTATTGATGATTTAATTATCTTTAATTTTCAAGATTATACTATTTTATTAAATAATATTTACACCAAGGAATTAATCTTGCTTCGTAATCATGATGATAATATTAATTTCAATTTTTTGGATTTGGGTATTATAAAAGAAGAAAATATCTACTTTGTTGATTTGTACGATAAAAGAAATTATTTTAATTTTAATATAAATAAACTAATTACTTGGAATTCTAATGTTTCTAGGAACATCTATTTAAATACCACCTTTAATGAAATGAATGGAATTAAAAGAATATGTAGTAATATTTATTTATCTAAAAAACAATTAGATAAACTCTTTCAAAATTTGATAAAAAGCAGTGGATACCCAACTAAAGTAATAAAATTCTATATAAAATCATTGAGTTAATCATATATTATTGTAGATACATTTACAAAAATTTTCTTTGTTAATTTATATAATTTTTCCATGTGCAAATCCATTTCGGGCAAATCCGTGGCTAAAATTATGTGGAAAACAGGCAATTCATGTTTCTTTCTCTTTTCTATTTTATATATTTTTTTTCATAAATAAATATTTATTTTCAAAAATTATTTCTTGTCAACTTCTTTAAATTATCCAGTATAATATTACCTTGCGCACATCCATTTTCAGGTCCATCCTTGGTAACTAACAAATCAAACACATTTCAGTAATGCAGCAAGAACACACTTTAATACAAACTCCCCTAGTTACACTTTTAGCTCAATTTGCGCTTTTGTTTTCATTTTTTTGCAATCTGACAATCTTATTACGAAAAAATTTTAAATCATTCTTGAAAAATTTCCCTTTCATGTAAGTTCATTTGAATTCGCTACTCGCTTTATGGATTTCATTTCATGTTTTATTCTGTTTTTTCTTTATAATTTATTTTCTGCTTTTACATGATGATATTTTTACTTATTGTGTTCTATTTTATTTGTTGTAATTTTTTTGTAGGTAATTTTTTTGGAGTGCTTCTCACAGTATTGTATTGATATATTTTGCTTAGGCTATATTGATGCAATATTAGAAAGCACTCATTTTTGCGGATATAATCGTGTGAGCTGAAGAAAAGATTATATCTTTTATTTTCTGGATTTTAAATTTTTTTGTCCCCCCCCCCTGCTTTTTGTTATTTTTATTATTTTTCCTTTTTTTCATTGTTCTGTAATTTTTCCTTGTTTTCTCTACATTTTGAACTTATTTTATGAGTTCTATTTACTGGCAGCTCTATGGCCAATAATTAAAACTTATTGTTTTTCTTAATTTTCTTCGTGTTTTTTGTTTTTATTTATTACGTTATATATATATAAGTTCAAAAAGAAGAGAAGACAAAGGAAAATTACAGGCATATGCAAAAGGGGGGGATAATAATTAATGAAAAGAATAACAAACAACTAATTAAAAAAAAAGGATGAAATTGTTTTAAAAAAACAACTGAAAATAAGATATAATCTTTTCATCAGTCCACACGATTATATCCNTTTTAAGTTTAGAATACTTTTTAACCTATCGACAATTTTTCTAAATTGAGAAGAATAAATAATACCCCCTACATCTGGAGACCATATTTAATTTACAACCTTTTTAGCAGTTTTCTTATAGTTGCCATACATGCATGTATTGTGATACAGGTAAACCTACATACCCCTTTAGCCCTTTACAACAGAAAATTATCTTCCAAGAACTTCATTTTGATAGTCTATAATGGTTGGAACGCAGAAGGAGTTTATGAATTGATAAGTTCTGAAGTTCTATAATTGGGGAATGGGTAGTTGTAACTTATGGTAAATAATTAGTGATTACAGTGCTTGGAATCTTAAATCTTGGAATAAAATTCTTAACAGAAAAACAAACGAAACTGAAGTTTCTGAACCAGTAGATCTTTCGGATGAAAATGATGAAATTGTTGCTGAAATTTTGAATGAAAATGGGAACTCTACAGACGAAGTGAAAGAAGTAGGTGATCAAGTTCAAGACAGTGGACCTTCTCATATAGAAGCATGCAATCCATTAGATTTCGCAATGAAGTGGCTAGAACGTCAAAATGATGTCGATCCAGTTCAGTTGATTTACTTAAAAAGAATAAGGGATGAATGGCTGCTAAAAAAAACGATAAGGGATAAATGGCTGCTAAAAAAACGCGTCTTCTTTGATACGAGATCTTTGCTGGATTTCTCTTGCAATGGAAAATAATGAAAAATGTTTTAAAATCAGTAATTGACAAAAAAATTATAAAAAACTTAAATATGATAAAAATAATTCAAAATGAAAAAAAAAATATTAAAAATATTTAAAAATTGAAAAAGGAAAAAAATTTTAAACACCCCAGACAACATAGTACTGCCAGTCCTAACCCTACAAAAGGTGCGAAGGGAAGTTAATGCATAAATAATAATCATTTACACTAGATTTTAAACAACTTTCCAATTATCCGAACTTTTCATTATCCGAACCATGTTCGGTCCCGAGCAGTTCTGATAATCGGCGCTCTACTGTACTTGTAACTTCCTATCCGACGTATATCTCCGTCAGAAATTGAATCGCCAGAGCAATAGTATTTTAAAAGTTAGGTGTCAAAAATGATGACTAGGTTTAGTTTTTTAAGTAACATGAAAAGCTTTAACTAATTTTTTATATTATTCCTTTATCTAAATCTTTTTCTTAATTTATTATTCAAAACGAAAAGCTCTTTTTCATGCTTTAATATTTACACCCTGTCTTTTAATTTGTTTTTGCATTGGTTAATATTTATGCGTTTTCCCCTTTGCTAACTTGTGGAAAAGAATAACTCCCACGACCCATTTAATAGACCAATTAAAATTAGAAATGTTTCCCTTTTTCCCTGAGACCTAAAACAATAGAGAGAAACACTTATGCTACTTTCCCTAAGATAAAAGCTCTAGCACTCAGATTTCAGAGTGTGATTTGGACTCTGCTAATGCTTGAAATTATTTAAATAGGCTAAGTGAAGCTCTGTCATCTTTTTACAATGACTTTAAATAAATATAATTTTCCATCCAACTGTTTGCCTGCGTTCTTGAACATTTGACCATGGCTGCCATCATCATTTATATATAAATATATTGTAAAAATTTAAAAAAAAATAAAATTACATTCAACTTGAAACTTTCAAAAGATATATTGAATGAAAACTTCTTGTTATTTTCTTTTGAAATAATATTGTTTCTGCATATTATTATGTATAGCAAAAAATAAATTTGCAGCTAAAAGATACATATGCTAACCTCTCTTGTTTTCTAAGTATTATTTAAATATTTTTGTTTTCTCATTTAGGGAGATCTTGGAGCTATTGATCCGAAATATGACATAGCTATATCTACAGCTTGTGGACCTTTAGATAACATTGTTACAGATACTATAGATACTGCTCAAGATTGTGTTGAATATTTGAAACAGAATAACTTAGGATATACTACATTTATAGCATTAGATAAGGTAAATGTTCTATCTTTGGTGCATGTTTTGTTTTATTAAAAAGTTATGGATAAATTTTTAATATTTAAAATTAAGTTAAAATTGTAGAAATTATTCATTAATTTTATTAATTTTAAGACATTCAAATGTATGTTTAAGTTTAGAATTATAACTGATAAATAATTAGTTTTAAAGGGACTAAAATTATTTTTTGCATTTCTTCAAAAGTAGTAAATTATTCTTGTTTACATTAATTAAAGCAGTTATAATCCATTTAATTAAATTTGTGATAAAATTAGTTTTTTAAAAAAAATTTAATTTAGATTGTTCATTAGTTTGGCAGAGCAGTGGTCTATTTATGATTAGAATTATTGGATTTTAACTCAGCCTAGAATTTTATTAGCAACCTAATTATCTTTTGAACTCTATATAGTTTAATAATTGTGTTTACCTTATAAGCTGTAAGGAATGTTGTTTCTATGATATAGACATTTTATACCCAAAGCTGTCAGTGAATAAATTTTTATTGTTTTATATAGTTTTTAATTTATTCATATTGTTTGGCTACTACAAAATGGCATTTAATATGCTTTATTGCTGAAGAAATTGTTTAGAGAAAGTTAATCTTAATTTCTAATTTTAACCATAGATAAATATTTGTCCTATAGTTCTATGAAATTAAAATGTTTTCATAACAATTTGACATCTTTAACGATGTGTAAACATTAAATTTTATTATTTACCTATATTTTGATAAAAATATTATAGTATTACCCATCTAGTCATTCTAATTTGTTTAACATAAATAATGGAAACATTAAAATAAGCTTGTTTTTAATCTGCTGAACGATTAGTCAAATGATTAGTTAAAGTGTAACACTGATCCAAATTTAGTTATCTATGGGTGTTTTTAGTGATTTTAACTGCATGAGTTTACTTGACCGCTGAACATTATTATTATATTAAATATAAAATTTATATATTAAAATATTAAACAATATATTAAATTTATTAAACAATGAATATAATTGATTTTTTACCTAACAAAACAGAAAATAATTAATTGTATAATAACTTTGATTAATTTCATACTGATGACAGCTGAAATTAATTCATTATTCTTTGTTTATTGTGGTTCATTTATGAGATTTGCTTGTGTAATAAGGATAGTCAACGCAGGTTGTTTTAGATGTGGACATTAAGTTTGGATAATGAGTAGTATAATGTAATTATCTATACTGTAAAATTGTGTTTTTATTTTTGTTTATTTGTGTAGATGAAGATTTACGAACCACACACCAAAGAAAAAATGTCTACGTATGTATGACCTTAGTTTTAATAGTTATTGGTTTCTATATTTGTATGTGTAGTGCATATAATACAACTGTAATTTTACTTTTAGCCCAGAAAATGTTCCACGATTATTTGATCTGATAACAGTGAAAGATAAGAACATTTTGCCAGCTTTTTACTATGCCTTAGGGAATACATTGGTTGCAAAGGATCTTGAACAGGCAACAAGAGTTGGTCTACAGGGAGATACTCGCCACAGAGTTGTAACTTTGAAGGGAGAACTCGTTGATGTATCAGGTATGTTTTTCTAAGAATCACGGCAATTTGTGTTAGTTCTAAGTCCAAGTTGTATTGTGAACCTTGTTCAGCATCGACAAATTTTGTCTTGAGTTAATTTTTGTTTATCAACCATAATTGTGTAAGCATGCAGCATGTTCCTCATTGTTGGAGTGAAGAATGTTAGCTCAACAAAATTTTTAGGATTGTGAATACTTATCTTGTTGATTGTTAGCAAATTTTAGTGAGCATTAAACAGAGTTTCTTAGTTTCATTGTAGTTGTATTCTTTTATCCTGAGACAGTTATGGGTACATAAATAATTACAATGAATAGTGAGTATTATGGAACTTTTCAAAATATCTATCAAACTGACCATTTACATTTCAAGGTTCCTCAATAGTTAGGATTCTTTTTTATATAATAAGTCTTTTTAATGCTCATTAACACACCTCAAACCCCATATTAATATAATACAGTAAGACAATATATATATAAAAGTACTCAGGAAACAGAAAAAGGCTCATTTGTTCTGTTCTCTTGCTAAATCCGGATTAAAAGTTTAAAAAAAAATTTTTTACTCAAATAAACAACTTTCATAAATTGTTTCAAGATAATCTTCATTGAGAAGGGAAACTACATTTATTTTGTTTCAGTCTCAGTTTGTTTATTACAACATTTTAAGCATTAAATATTTCATCGTATGTATTTTCTATAGCTTCAAAGCACTGTGAGAGGTTTTGTCATGCTGTCTCATCACTAGAACATGTCATTTTTTTTTGGCAAGGTTTCTTCTTCTGAGCCACTATAATTTCATTTGCTTTATTTTTGACACTTTTATAAATGAAATTTTTATATTCAACATTTTAAAGAGCTAAATATAGAGGACGCTTTTAAGAAAAGGTAAGTATCCGGAAAGTACGTTTCTTACTGGTGACTCCCAAAAATGCTTCTGCAATTAGGTATTTCTCTAATAATATTAAAACCCCCTCAAAATTCTTTACATTTTGATGAAGCGAAATAATGGGCTGGACTTTGGTTTTAAAATTAAAAATGGCACAGAAACTTATTTCATCAGTTTTTCATCTTTTCTGATACTATTTAAATTTTTTTAAATATTTTGCCTTTGTAAAATCCGAGATACTTTGAAAGAATTTCTCACTAAAAGACAATATTCTTATGTATTTATGTTACTGTATGAAGCAAAAAATATTTCAATTCAGTCATTAAATCCTGGTTTGTTACATGTGGGTTCTGTTGTATAATAGATGTGATATTGAAATACATTTAACATAAAAATTTCAATATACTCTAGAATAGAAAATGCCAGAAACAATACATGGCAGAAGAGTATGAAAAATGTCCTCTTTTATTCTTGTGTAGAAGTGACAGTGACGAAGGTTAATGAATTGCATGTTGTGAGAAAGTATAATAATTATAGAAGTTTAGAAATTAGTTTGAAAAAAAGAGATTAATACAGATTTCACTAAAGGTCTTTCAAATTCCTGGCTTTCACAGCAACACTTTTACTCTTAAAATAATTCAGAGTCTTTCACAGTGAGCTCAATATTATAATAGAATTATTTAAAACATTATTTCATTATTTAGAGATGTTTGTCAATTCCATTGTCTTATTTTAATTGTTTTCATTTTGTGAAAATCGCTATGTGTTAGAATGAGTAGTTTTAAAGTTTTTACTTTTATCATTAAGGTACAATGAGTGGAGGTGGAGGAAAAGTTCTTAAAGGTCGAATGGGACAATGTATTGTTGAAAATGTGTCTCAAGAAGAAGTTGATCAGCTTAACAAGGAAATTAATTCTATAGTTTCTAAACTAGCTGATATTAAGAGAACAAAAAAGGAGCTAGGAGAGCTAGTTGAACAAGCTACTAAGGAGATAGGCACTTTGCAACTTTCTATTAAAAAAAGCCAGATGAATTATGATGTAAGTATCGATTTTCAAGTTCAAAGCTTACAGTGTACAAGGTATCCGCGCAGCTGGAAAGTCTTAAAAAATCATGGAAAGTCATGCTTTTCGTTATTGAACAAAATTTGTCATAAAATGTCATGATTTTAACTATTTTTTTAAAAAAAATTCATGGAAAGTCATGAATTTAGAAATCAAAAAATCTAATTTTTAAAATGAAATTTACCCTTTGCCCAAATTTCATGATGTTCTGAATATCTGAATTAGTAACAAAATCCCCACTCACAGTCATATTTTATTAAAATAAAAAATGTTTTTATAATTTTCTTTCAAAATTATGGTGTTCTTTAAAAAAAATGAAAGAAAAGTTTCATCAAAGTTCAAGGAAGGCCTCATTTTTAGAGCGAATTATCTTTTAAACTTCTGTGATTTCAGAATTTTTGTTATTATTAATTTTTTTATTTTATAAATTTAAAATTCTAGCTGAAGCAAACCAGTCATTGGCAAATTTTTTTATAATCTGAAATAAAAACAGAAAAATCAGGAGTATTTCTTTCCTTTCCGAGGAACAAGAAAAGTATCTTTAGAATATAATTCTGCAGAAAAAAAGAAAAGAAAAATATTTTGCTTATGCATTTTATTCAGCTATTTTATTGCTTCAACTCTTTCTTTACCCTGTTTTTTTAATTTAAAATCTACAAATATGAGGATGCAGAATATAACAGTTTTGATTATACTTATCATTTCAACTGATGTCATGATGCTTTTTAAATTTATTGTTGTGTATTTGTTGGAGAAAGTAGTAACTTCGTTAACTCATGAAAAATTCTTGGAATTAGTCATGGAAAGTCATGAATTTGAAAATCTAAAATGTAGCAGATACCCTGAGTGTGGCTTCCCTTTCTGGAATCGGGGGGAAAAGTCTGGAAGTTTCAAGGAATGCGAAACTACCACTGGAAAATGTGAATATATCTGGAAAATTCATCATCTACTCTGAAAATTCTTACAGTTTTACAATATATAAGGCACACAAAACTTTACACTCTAAGTGTGTTTCACTCTATTATTACTGGACATTAAAAGAGTTTTATGTAACCAATTGTACCTTACAAAATGCAGTGCTAAATATTTTTTTTCCTTGTCAGCATTTCTATTTTAATAAGTAATTCTGATTAATAGTTTTGTTGTTTTAGCTTTTAACTGAAGAATTTTTTTTATTTTTAATTTAAATCTCTTAAAACATTATAATCATTTTTTAAAAATTAATTCCTTGTTAGATCTTTTAATAGAATTAAAAATCAGTAAATTTTGTAAATAAAAATTTGTTTATTGTCATTAAATTTATGAATAAAATTAATAAACAATTTTAGCATGAAAAAATTAGCAATTTTAATTAAAAAAAATTATACATTAATTCTTAATATATATAAATATACACATCCATATAATTTTTTAAATTTAATAAGTAAAATGCGTTAATTTAAACTGTGAAACTTTTTAAATTTAATTCTAGAAATCTCAAGGAATTTGCATTTGTTTGGAAAGTAATCACCACTAAATTTATTAATCATGTAAGGTTTTTTATTTATAAGAATGCATTTTTAGGGCTATATTGATCAAGAAAAGAGCTTAAAACATCAAATTTCTGACCAAGAGAAGAATATTGTTGCTGCTGCCCCTGATAAAAAGCTAGTTAAAAAGCTTGAGAAAGAGATTGCTCAGCATCAAGAAAGTATGATTTTGTTCCTATTCCTATATCTCTTTTCAACTGCTTTTATTAAAATTAATGTAAATTCTTGGTATGTTTTTATTGGCTTTATCTTTGTGATAACAAATTGTTTGATATTTATGTTTTAATTAATTAAAAATCTTTGGCAAATCTCTTAAAAGGTGTGAATTGTTGTTTAGATCAAAATTTGAATGAATCTTGGTTTTATTCCTTTCTTCTTATTTTAAATACCCCTAATAAAAATTTAAGACCAGCTTACTTAGTTCTGCTTAGCCGTTAGGTTGCTGTAGTGATTTTTGTTCATCAATGATGCAATTTTAGCAAGACATTAAATGCATTTTGTTCATGGGTGGTTAGATAGAGATTACAAATTACACATTAAAAATATTTATGTTTTATCAAAACTTCTTTAAAGATTTCGTATTAAATACTGAAGTTATTGTTATGCGAAGATATATAAAAGCAATTTTTAATTGTATAATTTTTGTTGTTGATATTCTTAAAATTTTTTTCATATGAAATCACAGGAAGATAAGATTGGCACAAATATCTATTAAAATAAAGATATACATAAAATTCTGATTTTGAAAGACAACACTTGATTTTATTTTTCAAAGTCATCTCTTAGAATGAATTACTGTTGTGTCAGTTTCAGTCAATTTCTGTATTTAGTGAAAAAAATGTTTTTAGTCTGTAAACCTTAAAATATTTTAAGGTTTTCTCATTATTGTTCTTAATACTTTGATTAATTGTTGAAAAAATTAACTTTTTTTTCGTTTCATTTTTATGCCCTCTTTATATTATCTGCTTTCCTGTAATTATATCTAAAAGCTTTTGATTTGGCAGTAATTTAAAAAAAAAAAAATGAATTTTTTTATTTTTAGCATCTATATTAACAATTTGAGAAAATATCGTTTATTCATAAATTTTTTATGATTAATACAGAGTTCACAACTAAATGAATGTTTCAATATTTTGAAATTTTATAAATGTATAATTCTAAAGATATTTAAACTATATATTTATAAGGAGTTCAAAACATTGAAACATTCATTATAATGTCCACAATAACATAAATTTTCTTTTTTTTTTCCATAAAAAATTGTATATTAAAAAAGTGTTAACGCAATTTTTGTTCAACAAGTCTTCGTTTCTTGAAAATCCCCACCTTATTTTTCCACAGTTTTAATGAAAACAACTATTCTGGTTACCAAATTCAGAGCTGCATTGATCAATTAACAATTAAGCTTCATTACTTTGACTATGTTTCTTCAATTCATATCTTTCAAAAATAGTTTAAAATATTGAAATTTATATCTAATAAATGCCTATCTTATTTCTTTCCTAGATTATGCTAAAGCTACAAGCACAGCCTCTGTGGTCGAAAATAAAGTTAAAAGGTAAGACTTAATTCAATGAATCAGCAATAATTTTCAATAGGACTTTTGGTACATTTCTCTTTTTTTAAAAAAAATTTAAATCATATGATGAACATCTCATTTGAATCAACTATTTTCTAAATTGAGGTCTTTTTTTTCTGTTTAATTTACTTACATTAAAAATGTAGTCCAGTAAAACTAGTAAATGCTTTACTTTTCTCTGTTCTTTATAATTAGAATTTCTTATTTTATTAGTAATGTTAAATAAATCATATTTTTTATGTAATTTTTCTTGTAATTTTATCATACTTTTGTTAATTTCTTTAAAATTTTACTTCAAGCATTCAAGATCAAATTCTGGCCGTGACAAAAGGAAAATATGGGGCCGCTCAAAAGAAAATTGATTCTTTGGCAAAGGAAATAGCTTCAATAACTCAAAATATTACCAAAAATTCTGCTTTACTGAAAAATTCTGACAAGTAAGTTTTTTATTTGGTGGGTAAATATTGAATATTTAAATCATGGGTAAATGCCTTTAAAATTATCTACATAGCAAGTGGCAGAGCACCATGTTTACTGTCGGTCATCTATCATAATAACCGCAAGCAATAATTATAATTTTTGTGTGTATATATATTTATATATTGATCTAGAAAAATAAATTCAACATTTCGCTAACTTTTTAAATTGTATATTTAGTTTAAATTCGTTTCTTAAGTCAAGATTTTTATAAATATTGAGTTTTTGCTAATTCAAGATTGTTGCGAAAATTGTAAACAAGTACTAAATATTGAGTTTGTAAATTATTATTTTTGTTCACCATGGAAATTGTTTGTGGATTTTACCTACTATTAAATTAAATATAAAATGCATAAAAAAGGAAAAATAATTATTTTTACATAAATAGGAAAAGAAGTTTTACAAGCTTTATGTATTCATTTTTCTGATTTCTCTTTCATTTTTCTTAAAAAAGCAATTCAAAAGTTAAATTCAAAATCTACGTCTACTGGGTCTTGCCTTGATTGCTGGAGAATATGATTCGAAAGAACATTGAAAGAAACAGATTCACATCTTATTCTGTATGGTGTTATAAAAGTATTGTATACTAAAATGAACTAAACCTATTATTGCTAACATGTAGATGAACAATATTGTGATGAGAGGGATAATGTTAAATGACATTCATGCATGTTTACACTGTTCAGTCTAACATTAAACTACTAAATAGGTTTTGTGGTGAAGCATGTAAATAAATAAACAAATAAATAAAAATTTTCAGGGAAAAAATAGCTGAGTAACTTCAAGTTTCATGCATCAGTTCAGGGTCTTAAAACAATCATCATAATAATAATTCATATAAAACGATGATTAAAAGGAAAATTGCTTCACTGAACTGAAAAATTCATATTGTTTTAACTTTACCAAGGATTTTACTTTTGCAATTTTAATAAGCTAATAACATAAATGAATAAAAGCTGATAAATAACGAGTGTTCAATATTTTTTGTAATATTGATTAAATTGTTTAGAAATGTTTATTCAAATACTTGAATATTCAAATTACTTTGAAAAGAGTAAAGACTTAATGTTGTTAATTTTCTGTATCGTTCTGTACATCATTTTATTCGTACTGTTATTTGATACTGTTATTGTTTAACAGCTTATCAACCTTAAACCCTGATCTGCTATATAAAAAATAAATGTATTGATATTTTGATAGAAACTGACTTTCAAGATGTTTTTAATTTAAAAATAAAATTTAATTATAGCCTAATTTATTTACTAGAAGTATAATAATTCTATTAAGAAAATTTTCAAGCATTTTATTCTATATTATCCTATTAACTTTTTTGATTTTTTAATAATATTTTTTTAAAAAAAAAATCTAAATTATACTCTTCTTCTAACACACACTTTATTAGAAATTTAAAGAAAGCAGAAGAGAAAATAGCATCACTGAAGGAAGAAATAGAAAAGTGTGATAAAGCAAAAGAATCACTAAAGGAAGAATTAAAAACCTTGGAAACAAAAGGAGCTGAAGTTACTCAAAAGAAAAGTGTTGCAGAGGTATGAGAACTAAATTTAATATCTTGTAATGTTTTTAAATGTACTGAATGTTTTTTTTATTTTTTAATTCAAACTAAAAGCTTCATGTGATTTTTATCAGATTCTAATTACATTAACCATTATAAAAATAAGAATATATCTTTTACTTCTCAATGTCATTCTATGTATATTGTTAAGAAGTTTTGTTAATCAGCATTATTAATTGTTTCCCTCAAGACTAAATAAAAATGAATTTTACAGATGATATTATACGTCTATATTTAAATTCACTTTTGAAGTCAAACTTCTAATGCGACTTCCAACAAAGTTGCGTTAAACGTTTAACGCTACCATGGAATAGTAATGCAGTTTGCGAGGGATAAGTAATGCAGTTTTTGCAAGAAATATTGAAAAAATAGTACTCAAATATTTCGTATCTTACTTTAATTATCATAATCCCATTGTAAATGTTATAGATTTGGATATTTCTCCACTCGAAAAAGATAATTAAAATATGTGATCAATTGTGAATTGTAAGAAATGTTAATAAAGTTTGTCTTAAAGAAACAATATGATTTCACTAAAAATCAATTTCTACACATTACACATCTATCATCCACATTACGAAGTTTCACTTCTACCGTTCGGAGGGACTCCACGCACTATTTTTTATGCAAAATTGCTACCCAAAATTCTTCTGCTTATAAATTTACTTGTAAGATAAATATTTGGTAGATATATGCCACATCATCTAATTGATAAGCTTCACTCTTGGAAAGCATCACTTACAATAAGTATATATACTGTAGTTCCATTTTTAGTTTTAATCACTAAACTACTGTAAAAGTAATCACATATCGTGATTCGTAATAATTTAATTTAAAAATCCAATAGCGAGATTTGTATTCATGAGATTTTAAATAAATCAAACATCCTGATTCATATTCACACGATTTTATCAAGCATAGACTTATGAGATTTAAAAGAAACACGTTGTGATTCATTTTCACAAAATTTGAAAATCAACGGTTAAAAATCACGCAATTTAAAAATTCACAATTAAAAATCACACAATTTGAAAATCAAACAGCATGATATGTATTTCCTTGTTTTTAAATTTAAATATAACTATTTATTATTCACTCTTCTTAAAAATTGCAACATGTATTAACGTAATTTTAAAATCAAACACCTTGATTAGTATTCCCTTGTTTTTAAGTTTAAATATCACTATTCTTATTCACTCTTTAGAATTCAAAATCGCAATATGTATTCATGTGATTTTAAAATCATACACCTTGATTCGTATTCACATGATTTTAAAACCAAACATCGTGATTCTTATTCACACAATTTTAAAATCAAATATCACATTATTTGAACATTGAAATGGTTGTACCTAAATACAGTTGAATTTAATTTTTCATTCCTTGTGTTTAATTTTTATTATAAAAGAATTTTAAAATTCACTAATTGCATTTGACGATGCAATCGTATTATATACTCAAATTAAACTCTCAAAAATATATTTCCATGTTTTTAAAAATTGTAATTCTAAATTGTTCTTTGTATCATTGCATATTTCAGTTAAATTAGTTATTTTAAATAGTTTTAATAAAAGCTAAAGTGTTTCTTTGTTTTCGAGTAAGCTAGTTGATTTTAAGGGGTGGATGAAGAAAGTATAATTAATACATGATAACATTAGTATTCAACAATCTCAACTAAGTAACTCATGCCAAACTGTCAGTGTTTTGAAACAGGGCTAATTTATGTCCCATTTGTATTCAACAAAGCTAATTTCGGTTGATGATAGATCATATCTTTCATTCCCTTATGCCTTCATTTAATAGCTACTCTTCATATTTTTAACGTTTCTTTTAAATAATGTCTTAATTATTTAATGATATTATTTTAAAATATTTATAGGAAGCATTAAGGGAGCAAGAAGAACTGAAAATGAAAGTATCTGTGGAAATCAAAAGTCTCACTAAAGCTGTTACTCAAGTCAAAAGTGAAATTCTAGATCTAAAAAATCAGGTTAAATTAACTGATATAGAAATAAAAACAAATGAAGGTCGAATTAAAGGTTTCAAATCACAGGTGATTTCTTTTTTTTATATTGTGTAATATATCATTTTAAAAATTTTAACAATGATGTAATTCCCTTATTTACAAATTGTTGCATTTTAAAATTTTTTTCTTTACCCTTATAACTTTGAGCATGAAACACTGCTTCATGTTATGATTAACCTATATGAAATTAAACAAAAATTGTTTATAGATACCAGCAAAAGAGTCATCTCACACTAAATTATTTGTTTTATGTTATTTCTTTTCATTTTTATAACGCTCATTCTCAAAAAGGCAGAAATTTCTCTACCAATTTTTATTTAATAAAAAAAATCATAAGTTCATATGTAAAAGCGATTTTAGCTTAAGTAATAACATCATCACTTCATCATCAGGTCATTTACACAAATTAGTTGAGCCACTTAGAGATAAATAAAATGTCAACAATTGTTGGCAATAGATATAATTAATATAAAAATAGATACATTTATTTATACTCATCTTATTACATGAATTTTGTTAGCTCCTCAGACATTGCTTGTTTATTTCAAAACTTAATCGCAAAAAAGTAAAAAATAAATAAAGAAATTATCTTTATAGAGTTAAAGAAATTGTCTCATGTGGATTAGAGTCATGAACAATAAAAATGCATTTATGATTCTTTTGTTTCTGTTCAAAGATATGACTTATTACTCTGGACTCTTTTTAACTTGAAATTTAGAATACATTAAAATTTATAATTTTTTTTCTTTTAAGTACTGCATTTTAAATATATTCTTAATCAATCAAAAACGTTATTTACTAAGATAATGAAATGTTTTTTTTTTTTTTACTAACTGTAAGACTGATGAATAAACATTGTGTCTAGAGAATTTTTCTAAATTTAAAATTAGTATGTTTTTTATAAGTTTTATGACTTTTTAAAGTGTATTTATATCACGTAAGAAAAGTTTAATTAATCTGGTGGCAGAAATGCCTTTCTTTTCTAACAGAGATCCTTAAGACAGGCCACTGTTCCGCATATGTGTGAAATTCTGCTTTTTTCCCCATATTTCCACCATAAGACATATTAACAATTCTAAAGTGTAATATGTTGACCTGGGGAATCATTCACAAAATGTGGAAAATTTATCAAAGTATCTTATCTGTTCTAATCAATTTGTTGTTTCAGAATTTTTAAGACCCTTGATTTGTATGATAAAGAAAACAAAAAAAACTCAAAATTTTTCTATGATGAAATTTTATAAGGGAGTGTTGGGGTCATGTACTAATTTAATATTTTTAAAAGATGAAATCAAATCTTGTGTGATGAAGGTTAGTTGTTCCAAGTAACTCTGTTTCGTTTATTTAAAATAAATTTAATTCGATGTATAGTTCATTAACCATAGAATTTTTAGAATGGTGAACAGAAAAGGAAAAAATATCTTTATTAGTGACTCAGCTATTTTACCTTTACCAATTGTGTTTATTTTAGTTTATGTTAAAGTATGTCTTTCTTTTTCAGCACCTTTTTCAAAATCAATAACTTTTAAATTATCTAAATTAGTGATTCGTTTACAACATGCCTATTATTTTTATCATTAAAAATATTTTTTTTTCTTCCTTTAATCTACTTTTAAAATCTATTTACAGAAATTTCCTGTATCAACTCTACTTTCCTGTATTAAATAAGGAGTTAAGACATAAAAAATTAGATAAATTTTTTTTTTTAAATAATGAAAATAAATAGTTTTTAGTATACATCTCAAGGGTAATTTTTATTGAATATTTAAGAGCGATTTTTGTACTGGTTCTTAGGTGAACTAACCTATTTCTTGAGCAAATAAGTTTCTACTGTTATTTTTTTGCCAAATGATTAGTTATTGCTGTTTGATAACTACCAGAGACTGAATAAAATTTTATGGACAGTTCTGAAATAGATTTATTTTTTATAATTGGTTTATTAGGTTAAAATTATTAGGTTATTTAATTATTAATCTAATTTTATTTAATAATATATGAATTGTNTATATAAATATATATATATATATAATATATTTCCTGACATTTAAAAACTAAATTATTATTTCATTTAATCCTTTTCTTAATAAACAAAAAGTATTAATATAATCGGCAATCTTTTTATACCAAAATCTGGAATTGAGGGTAGAATAAAATTTAATTTTAGGGATTCCCTCTACAATTACCTTATATTGTACATTTCTATAAAATTCAAAAACTGTTATATGGTTATTAAATGTTTAGATTTTATTATAATTAAGGCTAATAAAAAGCAATAATTTAAAGCAATTAATAGCCAAAACATGGATTCCTTTACTTTTCTTGCAAAAACTATTCTAATGTATACATGTTACTAGCATATTTGATTTCTTAATGGACAAAGATGTCCCGTAGGGCTTACCCTGGCAGTCACATCTTGAAGGCCATTTTCAAAATTAATAACTTTATTGTTTTTGTTATTAATCCCATTTTACTTGTCATTTAAATAATTTGCTTCTTGAATATATATGTTTTCTTCGTTGTGAGAAGGAAAATGAACAATTGGGTAAAAATTTTGTTATACGCTACATTAATCTTCATCAATATATTTTAAGCACTGCTTTCCACAAACAACCATTTCTTCTTTAATAGATGGTAATCAACATCTATGGGAGAAATAATCTGCTTTCCTACACCAGCTACAAATTCTTATTTTACAATAAGGAAGACTTCACATGAAAAGTAAATTTGTCTAAATTAGATTTAAACATTGCAAATGTATACATTTACCTGTCACCAGCTATCAATTTTTGGCTACAAAGATTAGATTGTAATGCTTTGTGAACATTTTTAAAAAAAATTCTATTTCTTTCTTGTAGCTGTCAAAACTTGAGTTGCAGCAAATTGAGGATGAATCAACTGAATTACCTGTTTTAACATCTGAAGAACTGGATGAAGTTAATGTTAACAAAATGAACTATAAAATTGGTGAGCTTCAAAGCAGAGTTAAAGAAATGAATCCTGATTTAAGAGCTATAGAGGAGTTTAAGAAAAAGGTATTTTCTCTTTTCATTCTAAATTAACTGTTTGGTTTATTCATGAAAGTGCTAAAATAAAATTCTTTGTTTTATCTCATTGTGTAGCTTAGTTGATATGTAACTTACTTAAAAAAAAACAACAACATTAAAAGTAAAAATTTTTGAGAATATTTCACTACTTATATATGTGTGAATATTTTGTCATAATATAATTTCAATGATTTCTTAAATCGCAAGATCAAAAAAATTAGTGATTTTACTTATTGATGCAATTCATGTATGTTAATAAGTGAAGTTGAAAGCACAGCAAGGGTCTGGATTTGTGTAAATGCTTGTGATTAACGCCTGAGAACCAGATTAAAGTTAAATATATATATTATTATTACAAATTATTTGAATGGAAAATATTGTTTTAAGTGTAAAGATAGTGAACATTGACTTCATTATTGAATGAAAACTTTTCCGTTTAAGTTTTCTATAATTTTCCATGTTGGCTTCCTTAAAAATATAACACTTGTGCCTAAAACTTTGACAAACTTCAAATTTAAGTATTCTGTGAATATAGGCACATTTTAATTACTCTCACACTGTATATATTTAAAATTATTTAGGAAGAAATGTATAGGGCGAAACTGAAGGATTTGGAAATGGCAGTTGCTGAGCGAGATCACTTCAGACAACATTACGAAACTCTGCGCAAATTTAGAATGCAAGAATTCATGAGAGGCTTTAACATTATTACATTAAAAGTTAAAGAGCTTTATCAAATGATGACTTTGGGAGGTGATGCAGAATTAGAGCTTGTTGATTCACTTGATCCATTTTCAGAAGGAATAGAATACAGGTTGGTACTTATTAGAGTTTCTCTTTTTTTCAATTGGCTTTATGTGCGTTTTATAGTCTCAATTACTTAGAAAATAGAATGATAATCACAACTATTGTTAGTTGGCTACAGTGACACGTCAGTCCGTGATCATTTTTTAAGCTATTTATCCAAGCTATATTTATTAAGCTATTTATTTTTTTAAACTTGGACAATTCTTTCAGCAAGATAGTATATATAGTTTAACATTAAAGCTTTACATAGGTTTAAAGCAATCAAACTGTGGCTTTTTGTTATTTCCTTGGTGGAAGAGTTTCAATGAACATTTGTAAATTGGCTCTAATTTTTTTAAGTGTATTGTTGGGACTATGTCTTCTAGATTGCTGCTATATATATAAGTCGAAAATTCGAATTTATTGATAAGAATGCAGATAAAATAATCTTTTTTATTTGTGTTTAATTTTATAATTCAAAATGTTGTCACCTTCAATTTATTAACTTATAATCTTAATTTATTATATCACCTTTACTTGATTAACTTCAAATTAAGAAAATTGAATTTCAGTATGTAAAAAAAATCAGTTAAAAACTATTCAGGATCTAATATTTCTTATTCTGCATGTTGTAGGAAGTCATTAATTTGAATTTCTATGAAAGATTAAGTTAAAGATTTTTCAACTATGTGATCAAAACTAAATTGAAAATTTTTTCCAGTGTTCGACCACTAAGAAAATCCTGGAAAATGATTCGCAATCTATCTGGTGGAGAAAAAACTCTTAGTTCTTTATCTCTAGTGTTTGCATTACATTATTATAGAACAACTCCATTTTTCGTGATGGATGAAATCGATGCCGCTTTGGATTTTCGAAATGTATCCATCATAGGATCATATATTAAAGTACGTATTTTTAATAACAGAAAATACTTTATCCATGTAATTATTTGTTAAAAATATACATGTTTTTTTTTCTTCTTCTGCAGGATCGTACAAAAAATGCTCAATTTATTGTTATATCTTTGAGAGAAAACATGTTTTTGCTGGCTGATCATTTGGTAGGAATTTATAAAACAAACAATCGCACCAAAAATGTATATCTCAGTCCTCCAACTGAAACAGGTGAGAGTGATTCTATATCTGAATTAACAAAAGGTAGAAAAACTAACAATGTAAATGAAACTTCGAAAAATGGACGAGCAACTCGAGTGACTTTCAAATCACCCGAGAAAGAAAATGAAACTCGAACTACTCAAGGAACACCTCGAAATTCTCTTCAAAAGATTTCACAAAATACTGAACGAATAAGCACTCCTCCAGTTTTACACAATCATAGTACAGGTGATAGTTTACTCATTTCAACTCCAACAAAAACTCCTGATAAATCTAACCTCGATGAAAACAGACTGCACACTTCATTGGAATCGATTGAAAACGTAATTCCTCTTAATGAGGATGACAGTCTTATAATTGGAGTGGAAACTGAAAAAGAAAATAATTTAAATGAGAGCGACAGTTTTATTATTGCTGAAAAATGCTAACAAAACTTTTGTGCTTAAAAAAAGTAGAATATGTTTGTTTCTGTGTCATATAGTAGAGTCTTGATAATCAGGACCCAATTTGGATTACTAAAAAATTTAATAAGGACTTTTCTTTTATTAAATGAATATATTTTAAGCATTGAATTCATGCAATAAGAAGAAACAATGAGTTTTAGTGTGAATAAATTGAATTAGTCTTTAATTTTGTTCAATGGAATTTTTTTATAGTACTTTTTTTGTTCTGACATTCTGCTTCTAGCAGTGTTCCCTCACTAGAGCAACAGCTGTTTTATTATAAAATGCATTTAGAGCTACAGTGTTTTTTGTGAGAAAAATAATTTTCTGTATAAAAACATTTACATTTTCAATGTTTAAATGATTTTTACAATTAAGATGGTGAATTACTTTGTAACAGCCAGTTACTTTACTTGCTTAAATGCACTTGAAACTGCAATGTTTTTTGCATGACTAATAATTTTTTTTAACTTTAAGCACTCAATGTTTCAATATGTGATGTTATCAATAACTGAATGTTGTTTGCAGGTAACAAAGTGAATTATTAAAAGTCTGATATTTTACCACTTTTCCTTAACCTAAATCAATTCATGTTTATTAATAGGAACATATTTTCTAATCTATCATTTAAGTTATAGATAGATTATATGTATCAAATAAGCAATAAGTGGCATCTCAATATTTATGTAGTAGAACTTTCTTTTTAAATTTTTTTCACATTTCTGACACACCTTGAATTATTAAGACTCTACTAGATTCTGTTTACCTGATGAAATACTTTTTGGAATAAGTATGTCATATTTTTATTACCATATTTATATGTATCTTTTAAACATCTTATTTATATGTATATTTTATATATTCATATTTATATGTATTTTTTTATCATCTTTTAATAATACATTTGCAACTGGCATCTAAATGTTCACCTAATTAAAATTATTCATCATACTAGTTTTAAATGGAATTGGATTCAGTGATTTTTAAAACTATACTGAATGCATTCAATTTTCACTTTTATTTCAATTTTCATAAAAAAAATTAGTCATTTATATGCAATTCTATGAATCTAATTTAGTGTACTCATTGTAATTTTTTTTTGTAGCAGAAACAATTTTAGTAGTGAAAGTTGAAAATTTTAAGAATTTTTCACTGATACCAATGAACACTGTAATTAATAATATGTGATTAGAAAAAAAAATTTGAATACAGATCTTGCTACAAATTTTCAGCAGTTTAAACAGTGTTGAATAATTTTTAAATAAGAAGGGGACATTCCTATGAAAAGAAAGTTAATGTTGATTAGACTTATTTTTGATTCAATCATGCCTATTTTACTTTGATTTTATAATAGTTTATAGAAGCTAAACTGCTAAGTTTGCACAATTCTGGTAATTAGTGTCAGATAAAATTGAAAATTACTGAAAAGGGTTGACATAACATTATATTCAGGCTTATATGTAAGTATTTTTCTAAAATTGTAAATTGAAAAATAAAAAGTCATTTAATAATTATACAAATTTTATTAGGACTAAGGGTCTACAACAAATTGTCTTTTAAACTTCTTCATTCTTTCATATGGTAGTTTCATAAAATTGTCACCATAAATTTTGAATACATTTTCTCCTAATGTGAAACAAAAGATGCTACCTTTTTTCGGTACAGCTAAAATGGGGAAAAAAAAAGTCAAGATATCATTAGAAAACATTCACTTGTTGGCAAGAAATGCATGCATCCAAAATTTATTTAATGGGAAACTATTTGTATATATAACCATTTTACATGAATGCTAGTAAGTTTTTGTATCTCTCACAAGCAATGAATTATAAACAAATCATTGAAGAACGGTAATACAGAGTGTTCCGTATATGTTTGGACAAACTTCTAGGCACATCATAAGGATTAAGAATTACCTAGGAAACCAGGGCAGTAAATGTTATCGTATGCCGCTAAAGGCACTTTCCTATTATGAACTGTTACATAGTGTGCTTTTGAACATCAGGTACTTTTATTTATCTAAATTATTGTCAAAAACTGCTTTTAAATAGGTATAGTATTAAGTGCTTTATCTTAACCTAATGATTTGTCGACGACTCCATAATAGGAAAGTGCCCCTAGCAGCATAAGATGACTTTTATGGTCATAATTTCTTTGGTAATTCTTTATCCTTATGGGTTGTGCAAATTCCCCTAGAAGTTTGTTGCAAAATTTATGGAACACTTTGTATACTAATTCTAGTTCTTGTATTTAATCTGAAAACCTACAATAGCATACCTGCCAAGTCTCCTGTTTTTTAACAAAGACACCCGTATTTTGCGACTCTGTCCTATTATCCCGTATATTCTCAAATTTCTCTGAATTTATTGAAGAAATTTAAAATTTTGGCAATAAAATATCCGCTAATGGCAAAAATACTTCGTATTTCTCAACAGATGATGCTGTTGCCAGTACTGCCATGTGTTGAGTGTTTATAGTTTAAGTAATTATAAATAATGGTTTAAAAAAATCTTCTTTAGATTAAGATTAATATACATATTTTTTACTTCGCTAAATGTAAGTGCTTATGTTATTTCCAATTTTGACTTCCATGATTATGCATAAAACATTTTTTAAAGATTTGTTGTTTTGTGCAAATTTTTATATTTGGTATTAGCATTATTATTAATCTTTGTATGTTATGTATAATAAATGAGGTATTTAATTTATGCTGAAGCTATATTCTTTAATAAAATTCAAAAACTTTACCCTGTATAATCAAAAGTCACTATGTAGTCCATTACTAAATTAATATAAAAAGAGTAAATCCAATTTAAAATATCCCTGTTTAAGATGATATGCTTAAAGAATTCTTTAAGTATTTTGATTTGGTGAGTATATATCTTATAGACCAACGAGAAATAAATTTTAGTTCCAAAACATAGCCGATAGGTGGCAAATTAGTAGACTAACTAGATATCTCAACTTTTGACTTAGCATTAGAACTGACATTTTAAATGTATATATAATTAATGTTGGCACAAATGAAATCACTTCTATTGTGTGCTGCCAGAACCTGACACTAATAATAAGCTCATTAAAAAAATGTTTTTTTGTATATTCTGTTTCATTTAGTATTTAGAAAACAGTTTATCTTTTTTGTTCTGTTTGTAAAATAAATCTTAAATGTCAATAAGTAACCGAAGTTTTAAAAACAATTTTTAACATTAAAAATTAATAAATAAAATTTACCAATAAAAATAAAATTTATCAATACAATTTATCAATGTAATAAATAAAATTTAAATTAATTGGATGTATGCTAATTATTCAAAATTTTTAAATATTTCTATTATTTATAAGCCACAAAAATGCCATTTAATATTTTTTTCAAAATTCATAAAATGATATTTTTTACTAAAAAAGTAATAATTTGGTTAATTAGGATTTCTAAGCTAAAAATCTTCAGAGGAACACCTTTTTTTAAAAAAATTTATCAATATTTCAATTTATTTCTGGATCAACTGTGAAGACCCAAGTATACACTGAACTAGCATAGAAGAGTTGGTAAGTTATTATGCTGTGCATCAAACTTCAGCACAGTATTAAGAAAAGTTCAATGTTCTACTATTAACTTTTAAAAAATATTATTGGTAAAAATTATTTATTAACTCGATTTTTAAAACTGTAACCGCAAATATGAATAATGATTTGGGAAATATTAATATACAAAGCCATAATTTTATTTCATTAATAAGCATTTAGTTGATATCAAATTTATTCAATAGTGTACAAAAAGATGTTTTCGATACTACAGTGTGTCCTAACCTAATAAAACCACATTGATTTTGTACTCTAATTGGGCACAATAGAAACAATGCATAAATATTATACATATTTACTAAGAGAAACTTACTTTCTGCCCCTCCTAGGGAGAAAAAAGTTTCGAATATGTAAAAAAAAAAAGGAAAAAAGTGTCCCACTACCGAGATATATCCACTATATATATGACATTGCATACCATTTACCGATTCCTGGACGGCATTAGCATATCAAGTATTATCCCAGGTTTTAACGATAGCAGCCTATCTTAGGCATATATACAGCCTTACTGAGGATGTTTTCTTGGGGATTCGGTAGAAGGGCAGGTTTCATACATGCTCCTTACTAACCAAAAAACAAACCAGTAAAGATTCTGGAACATGAATGGAGTCATTGTTTTGCTGGAATATCTAACATGGGCCATCAATTATCTCTGTAAATGGCAATAAACAAGTTTCTAGAATTTTTAGTGTGCAGTAGCCTTCATGTGCCAGGAAGAAAATTCAAATTAAGTTTACCACCATAGCCAAAACTTCCCGCACTATTAATAAGACTATCTTGCTGTATAACAGCGAGGAAATTTGCTTGTTTTCTCATGACATTGCACACACAACTATTTGGACAATTCAAAATTTTTTTTTTATACTCATCTTTGTTTTTACAATAAATAAAATAAAACAGTATATGAGAAAAATGGGGAAATCTTCTCTAATGTGAGGGCTCATTATTGGTATCGGAAGGTTTTGGCTAACTTAATTTCGTTTCTCCACTGAATAGCCTGAAAGCTTCAGATTACAAACGCATACAAAGAAGAAAAAAAGTTCTAGAATCTCATTTACTGTTATTTGTAGAGATTATTGGTGACCTAAGTTGTTAAAAAATCCAACTCGGTGACCCAAATTGAATTTTCTAACTATACAATGCCTAAACTCATGTTGTGAAAACGTTCACTGATATGGTGTGTGGATATTAAGGTGCATGTCATGGGATAGCCTGCCTTTTTCCCTGAGCTCGATTCCCTAGAAAACGAGAGGGGGTGACCTTAGTAGGACTGTGTATGTCATCATTAAAACCTGGGACAATATAGGTGCTACTGCTTTCTTTCAATTGGTAAATGGTATATTTCAAATCATATTGAAATCTGGAGGATATTACAGAAGTAGGTTTATTTCAAAGGGAAACTTTTTTCCTTCTTTTTTATATTCAAAATTTTTTTGTGTCAAGGAGAAGCAAAAAGTGAGTTACTGTTTATGAATATGTATACACACAATTACATACACAATATGTATACATACATATAATATATTTATATGCACAATTTGTTAATATTCATGTTTTGTTCCCATTGATTAATTTTCTGTCCTTTTATGGCACAAAACCAAGGTAGCTTTATATTTGTGTGGCACATACTGTCTCATGTGGTATTCTATTGTGGTCACATTCAGTGATGAAATGACCCTTGTATCATTGCACAACATAAAAACAGTATAAACTAAAATTGAACTTATAAAATAAAAATATTTACCTTGTAGATATATATTTTATTTGGTTTTAATTTAGAAGCTTGCCATTCATTTATAAACATTCAGTAAATTTTTCTTTATTAAAAAAAAACTATATTTGGAAAAAGTTAAAAGTTTAAATGGTACATGAAAGTCAGAGCTCATTCTAGGCAGGGCAAACAGGGCGCAGCACCCTGCTGCCCTTTTAGTCAAAAGAATCCACCTTGTTGCCCCTGAAGTAAATTAGTGCCTTGATGTAATAGACTCCATACCCTTTTTGCCCTTTCTGTCCTTAACCCTTTATTTTTTCCCCAAACTCTACAATGGTTTTCTTAAACTTTTGTTGTTTTTAACTCTTTTTATTTAGTTTGTCATTGCTGTCAATACATAGATTTATATGGGAAAGGAAAAATAGCCATCACATCCCCTTGCTGCATTTGTCTTTGAAAGTTTGCAGTTACTTCCACTATCATTAAATCATAATTATTATTAATCATTTTAATTATTAAATCATAACTACACACACTTAAAAGCCTACATTTATTATTTTATTAATATATGCATGCATTTTAAATAAATTACTAAGCTAATTAGCTCATTAACTCGATATATATGTAAATTTATTAATAAAAATTAGTAATTACAGTAGGGAACCGATTATCCGGAACGATCGGGACCATCACTATTCCGGATAACTGATTTTTCCGGTTTTCTGAATCGCTACACAAAGCCGTTTTTTTATTGTTTAACCCAACTAAAAAAAAAAAATTTTTTTTTGGAAATAATCTTAAAAAGAAGAAGAAACGATGAAGTAATACACTAATGATTATTTCCAAAATGATAGTAAGGTGAAAATCTTTCAAAAAAGAAAGAAAAATCCTAAAATCTTAAGAGGAAAAAAAAATTTTTTTTAAAAAAATGACGGGAAAATTTATCGAATTTCGTTCCGGTTTTTTGGTTTTCCGATTTCCGGATAACGGGTTCTGTACTGTAATATGATTGCTTTGCTACTTTTAGTAAAGTTAAAAAAAAATTCTTTTACTAATTGACAATGAAATTTAATAGAACCTGTAAAGCCCATAGAAAGAAATTATTGCCTTTTTAGAATAATAATGCCTTTTTTTTAAACTTTTGCATCCTACCCTTTTTCCTGCCTAGAATGAGCTCTGTGAAAGTTTTATAAGCTTGTGTGTAGATGGTACGCAAGATATAAAATTTTGATTTTTACTGATCTGCAGTGCCTATGCAACAAGATATTCATTAAGGTACAAAGTGTAGTAAAATATATGTTATTAAATAGTAAAATTAAAAGAAGAAACTTACTTTTTACTTTATCTTCTGGTGTAATAATCCTGAAAACATTTTTTGTTTCTTGTATCACAATACCACGAATACCAACATAATGTGGGCAAATAGATGATGCTACTACTATCATACATCCATGATAATCAGCTTTAGCAAGTTTGATATGTACATTGGATAAATCACTAGGTAAAGATCTGCAAAATATAAAATAATTTTTCATAAGAAAAAATATACTTCCATCACGGTTAAACACAGGAAGTATTAAATTTGCATTAAAAAATGACGCAATTTTAAAACTTTATGCCTTCAAAACTGAGAAAACTCTTATGTTCAAAAATACATGAAAATGACAATAACACAATAGTAAATAGTTTGTTTTGTAGATTTATACTGCCAATAGTTTTCAATACAAAATACTTTGAGTGTTTTAAGGAATAATGGTTCATAAACAAGATCATTTATAAAATCTCATAAAAAGAAGTAAACTGGTAAATATAGAAGGAAAAATGCGAATTGTAAAAAATATATAGAAAGAACTTGACAGGGTTGTGTATAAAAGAAACAGACATTGAACATTCATAACCAATATATAAAAGGACACTGTAATATAAATTTTGATAACAAGTATTTTACAACTTTGATTGCATTTAAGTAAGAATGAAGGAATAAATCATACCAAATTCCTTGTTTTATTTTAAAATTTGATCCATAAAGCAATTATCCACAGATTATTATAAAAGCTACAAATTTATTCAACCGTAAGATGTGTACGTTTTGCCATATTATATAAGTTACAAATTTATTCATTCACAAGATGAGTACCAGCATTTTAAAAAATACTAAAATCTAATTTTAGAAATGGGATAAGAAAATATTTATATTTTTTACTCTTTATTGAACTGTAGAAAAGTAGTCTTTTTTTCTTTCCAATTTTGAAAAATCTCTAAATGTAGCTCTTTTTTGTAAATGTTTCCAAATTTTAAAACTTTTATTCATATGCTATTGTTTACAAAGTTTGCATTGGTGAATTTTCAGGTTCACATCTGATATTTGATAAAACTACAAACAGTTTTTTTTTTTTTAATTTACTGTTTATGTAAGATTAAAACTATAATTTAATGCTTGGGGGGTCATATTTTTAGATTTTCTCCTTTTTGCTTTCTGACAACTGTCATCGCTCATCCCTAAGGGGATAATGAAATAAAGACAGCTCTGTCAACTGGGAATAAATGTTTCTTCACACCTTTTTTTTAAAAAATCTTCATACAAAATAAAATACTTCTTAAAAAAAGTTTAAAAAAAAGTAACTAAAAATTACAAAGCATAAAAAATATAAGATGTACAGAAAATAAGCTATGAATTTACATCTATTTCATAAACTCAGATAATTTAGTTTTATTATGGTAATTTTGATTTACTATACAAGAGCTAAAAATATTTCTTGAAAAATAAATTCGAAGGAGTCTCTTTTTGATTTATTTAGGTACGTACCGACCCGGGTAGAAGAACAAGGTAAGAAACTTTTTATTTGATACCTGTTCCATTGAAGTAGATAAAGAAATAAGTTATCTTTATTATCACCTGCCTTAGCCAGGCTCTGTGCATGGTTAGGGAGTATGGTGTAAGAGAACAAGTTATGCAATCTGTTAGGCTAACTTTAATTTCTTATTTTATTTAATATTATTATTTTCTATTTACCTACCATTTTTTACAGTCATGTATTTTTTACACTATAAAAAAGACATGTATCAATTTATTAATAGTTAATGAATAATAAACTTACTCTTTTAATTCCAACATATTTTTCATATACTGCTTCCATAATTCATTAATAGGAATGAAGTTCTGGAATCTAAATTAAAAGAAATGTACAATCAAATATTTTAGATTATAATAACAATGAATCAAAAATTAATTAAAAAAAAAGTATTTTAAAAGTTAAATTATTTTGATTTATTTAAATTAAGTTGCAATTTAACCTTTTTAAACTGTCACACAATGGAAAAGATTATTGATAAAGCAACAATCAATATATATATAAAAGAACTGCAAACCAAAACTCTGTTACTGTATTGAAGTTGTGGATTGATAGCAAAACACCATGCATAATAAAACTTTTAAGACTTTAAAAATAGAAACAAACAATTACCAATTACGGTTGCATACAGTAGTAATTATCATTTTGAGAAACATAGGTACAGTACATAACTGTGTGAATCTGATCTTTTATTTAACAAAGAAAATAGTGTAATTGATAACCCACACAATGTAGCTGAATTTGCAAAACTTTGTTGACTTATATATTATCAATCAACAAGAAAAAACAATGACAACCATCTCTTTGTAACAATTAATTATTTAGCTTAAGATAACTGGATACAATTGCTTGTTTACCAAGATGTCAATTTAAATTCCCCTTAAAGATTCTATCATTAAGATTCTATCATTGTTTTAAATTTCTTGCTTTCTAGCTTCTTTATAATATATAATAAATTGTAATTAGGAAGCTAGATTATCTTTAACATTTTTATTAGCTGTATTTTTAGTATTGTGCTTATTTGAAATATCATAATGTAAATTACTTACTTTGTTGCATTGGGATCCAATTTAAAAATGGCCAATTCACGTTGTTCATGCGCATTCAATAAAGTTTTTCTTTTCTTCCGTTGAATAGCTTTGTTTCTTTTCTTAAATTTATCAAAACTAAAAATATATTGTTTGTAATCATCTAATTTGTAAGAAGAGTTTGGCAATATTTCCTTCAAAAAAGATTTAATATAATCATCTGGCACTTTCTGCAAACAGAAATAGAATACATAAGAAAGGCTATTTATTTTTGGAACTTCCATTTTCAAATTAAGATATCAGACAGCATTTCAGTTAAATTATAAATATACAACCATCTAATTTCACAAATGCAAAATAATGATACAGGTTAAATTTGAAAATTGCTTGTTGATTGATGAAGAGCTTGTTGATTTGGAATTTTATTTTATTTTATTCAAAATAGGGCAAACTCATTTTCCTGTTACATCATTTTCGTTACAACTATTAGACAGATAAACTATTCTTATCATAATTTATATGCCACCCACTTGATTTCTAGTGTCAATAATACAGATTCAAATAAATTTTAATAATAATTAACTGTCAATGATTGCACACAACTTGAATAATAAATAGCAATATCTATCACATACAATTTTTTAACAGTGGTGTAATTAGGGTATAGTTAGCATGGCAAATGCTATAGGCGCATTATGTAGAAAAGGTGCAAAATCAATAAACATCATTTTTTTTTTTCCTACTGAAAAATTTCAATTTTTTTATATTATTAGTTAGGGTAGAATTAAAAAAAAAACATATAAAAGAATGGCCAGAATGCAGAGGATAAATGATCCCCGGATTAACAATTCACAATATTGTGAACCTATGTTCAAACGATGTTTTTATTTCATATTGTATATAAAAAAAGAGTGAATATAAATATTTTAGGAACCATTTCGAGATTTACTTTCCATAGATATGTCTCTGTTGTCTAATAATATCAAGTATGCTTTATTTTTAAATTATTTTATGTATTATTTTTATCAAGTAAGTCTTACTTTTATTATTGCTTATTAAAATTGTGATTTATTAAAATGTTAGAAAAATCATGATTAAATATTAGTGCATACAACAAAATTAAAAGTTTTAAACACAAACAAGAAAATCTTTGAAAATATTTTTTTCTTCTCAGTCGCAGTTTCTGTATCAAACAACATAAGAGAGAGTAGGAGAAAAATGCAAACTGTAAGTCAGAATTCTACACACGCAGCCTTTAGAGTTTTATAAAAAATTTTACAATTGTAACAAAAATCTTGAACATTTTCATTATAATATACACTTTTTCATATGAATTCAGTTGATTCACTAGAATATGATTTTTGTACTAAGATAAATAATGGACAAAAGGATATTTATTTGCAGAAAAATTATTATTTCATTACAAAAATAAACATTAAAATACACAAAATTTATCAAGCATTACATACCCTCAGACCTATTTTGTCACTAAGTTTTAAAATTGACGGCGGAAGAGAGCCTGTAAAAACAAAGATAAGTTTTAAATATCAGGCGGTATTAGTAAAGGATAATGATTTAAAAAGAAACAACAATGTGCAAAATGATCAAGCATTCTGACTGGAGGTCTTATCTTTTTTCTAGAGACATCTGACTCGTTGAAGATAAACTGCTTAATGGGATTTTTATTCACTGATCTAAATAAGTGTCCAAGGTATACTTTGTTGGATTTTGATGACTTTTATTATGTCTGGTAGTTTATTATATGAATTCAATCAATGTTTTAAATGTTTATTATATAAATTTCAAGATTATAAAAATTCCGTTAAGCCATATTTTTTGGACGTTACAAAAAATTTTGCTTAGTGTTTAATATTTTACAAACATTGGCTTAAGTTCTACTGCTAGTGAGTTGGGAGTTTAATTTGTTTATTTAAAGAACATTAATTTGTATAAATCAAACAAAACTAGATTCTATTTTGATAGCTTCAAGACTTTCCAGAATACTTTTATATTTAGAGTGTTAGCAAAATTTATGCTCTACGACTCTCCCATTTCTGGACTCATAAATTTAATCTAGAATGATTTTGACCCCCCACTATAAATGAGCTCATTAAACATACATAGCATGATAATGGTACGATGTTTATAAAAATATTTTGGCCTAACTACAATTTATATTTTGACTCTTATTTCTCTATTACTTGGGAAAAATAAAATTTGGCTAAATCAGAGTATTATCAGTTCATTTTTAACATAAACTACCAGAATTTCCAACTACAATGATATCTTCAGTGGCCCCCCCAAAGCTCTTGGGCAAATTCTAAATTCCCCCCTAAACTATTCGTTTTATTTAGTGTAAAAATTCCCCCCCCCAAGCTTTAAGTGGGCGCATCATGCTCCCACCTTCCCCCTGATGGGGCCCCCTGGATATCTTGATAATTATATTAATCATTTTTCGCTGATTGATTAAATGATTCATCTATAACATATTCGTCTATGACATAAAATATAAAAGTTACTAGTATATGCTTTGCTTCCGTCTATTTTGGTGAAACAGTATTGCGCTTAAAGATAATCCTACTGTCGTAATGATAAATTTCTAAGTTAAAGCGAACTATGTAGCTAAATATTTCTGGTAATTAATTGCTTCGGGGGTGGTAAAGAGCCTATCACCACTTTAACTATAATCCTACATTAGGTCTCTATATCACTAACTCAGTAGTAAAACCTAAATTAATTAAGCGTCAATAATAGTTTGGCGATTTTTTTACAGCCCTTTAGCAACGTATAAATGGCGTAGTTTTTAATTTAATTTTTTTAAGTTAAATTCTTTTTAAAACTCAAATCATATTTATTAAATTTAAGTGAAAATTTTAAAAATTACAAACTTGTAGCCCGATTTTTTCCTTTTTCAAATTTCTTTCCGGCCATACTTTATTGTTTATATTTACTTCTTTTTCATGCTACTTCGACTTTGCTGTTTTCGAGAAATCAGCTTTTATCTCTATTGCTTTTAAAAAGATGCTGCGTTTCTGCTACCGAGTCGTAGAATGGAGAGCTTATATGTGACGTCATTAGTGATCAGAGTGCTACAGGTAGCAAATAGCAGAACTCTTTAGTAGTATGTTTAATTATGTATAAATTTTCAAAGCGGTTGAAATTTTCATATTTGGACATTATAAGAAACTCAAAACTACATTTAATGTAGCACTTTAAGTACTTTAGCTTACGTAAGTGCTGGGGAGACATGGAATCGGTGTTCTCTCCATTAGGCGTATTTTGGGTGTTGCTATCACGAAAAAAATGGTTCCTTCTAAACTAAGAGTGGAAACGAAAGAGTCCCGCAGTGGACTGATCGTTAAGACACGGTTCCCAGTAGATCATCGAAGTCAAGCATCACTGGCCGCGGTCAGTGTGCGGGTGGGTGACCACTTGGATTAGTCTGCGTAGGGACCGAGGGTGTGCGGTATTGGTCCTCGTTAAACTGTTCTACCGTAAAGTACTCGACTTCGCGTGCAGGTCGTCGGGCTACCGAAGCGGGGGTGCCATCCCCTCTGCAGAGGATCAAAATTGTGATGGCATGTCTTCAAATCATCCTCAGGGATGTCTCCCAGACCGTCGCCAATAGCCCATTGTGCAGTTCTAGTGCGACGTAAATTAACTACAACAACAACAAACGAAAGAATTCGAATTAAAATGTACTTTGTTCAATTAATGTTTCAAATGTGAGGTATACATGATTATTGTCCTTTTTTAATAAATAGATTTTAAGAATTTGCCTTGATACATAAATCTATGGCACCTGAAATATAGGACTTAAAAATCGGAATCTTTCATAAATCTATTCCCTTGAATGGATGGAGAATCCTAGGGACCGATCAAGAAAAATTCAGGTCCAAGGCCCACCAAATTTTCCGGTCCCCTTACAAGACATTTTTGAAATTAAATTACTGAAGAGTAGTCCTAAAAATAAAAAGGAATCTATTGAACTCCATGATTCAAGAGAAACATTCTAGGAAATTTTGAAAGCAAACAATTGAAGATTATTTTTCTAAGAGAAAGTTTATGTATCTATGAATTAAAGCAATATATAAAACAACAAAAAATGATATATCAAAATAAAAATAGTTAGGTGACCACAAACAATTGAAATCAGCGATTTTCGATAAAAGTAACTGATTAGCTGAATTATTTTTTATTATAGGCTATAATTATTTTTTATTTAATACTTAAACCAACTTAAAGCTAGCCAACCTTTACTAATTTTCGAGGCCCCTAAGGAATTGTGCGCCCTAGGCCCATGTCTATTGGGCCTAGGGGATAATCAGGCCCTGGAGAATCCTCTAAAGTTAAGCACATTATAGCGCTAATGGTCACAATTCATAACAAGATTTCCGGGTTACTACTTTTGATTTATTTTTATACCTTATCTTAAAAAAAAACGTTATTTTGTATTGTTATTTATAACAATAAAGAATAGCGCTATTCATGATTTGTGCTATTCATCATTAAATTTGGAATTTAAATTTTTAGCTTAAGTTATAAAAAACAAACGATAACACTCAAAGCACGACAACTATCATGTTTAATGGCCATGTTAGGCCATGGCTTCTGACTTTTTAGGAACATCACTTGAATTAATATGTATATTATAAAATTAGCGAGTACATTTAGTGTTAATTAATTTTTGAAATATTAAGTTTAATAAAATCCATAAAATTTGCTGAAAAATTGAACTTAATTTTCGTATAATTAATATTAAATTTATACCCTAAAAGTTAAACTTAAATAAAGTTCAATAAAATCATAAACTTATTATTTGCGAATTAGTGATTTGACAGACTCGTTTATACATAATTTAAATAGTTGATAAGCGTATAAACAATGACCACATTTTATTTGTTTATTTATTAGGTAAACCTATTTAACTTTATATTCTGGTGTTGCTTTATTTTTTCTTATTTAAGATGGAACTATTTCTCTCGAATTGTTATTTTTTCTTCACTTTATTCCTGCTTCGCAAAACATTGCACAAATAAAAAAAAACTAGTCGTATGTTTTAGAGTTTTGACAAATACTATATTATGTAACTCTTAAGGGCCAATCTCACTGAATGTGAAAAAAAAAAATTGGAGAATCTGATTTGTAAGTTTTTTTTCCACACATAATATATTTCGAGAATCAGGTAGTTTCACATTCATCTGCGCTAATTTTTTTTTTCGCATGTAGTGTGAACGTTCCTGTTTGAAGGTTCACTTATTACGAATATAAAACCATATCTGCAAAATTCAATGTGGTTAATACAATAGTTGGTGTAAAAGGAATATATTGACGATATCTTACAATAAAGGAATCTATTTATTTACGGGAATCCTGATTGTTAAAATAATGTCAAGTTTTTATAGTTATTGTTTGAGTTCTTATAGTTATTGAGATTTTATAGTTATTGAAAATAAATTTTAACTTATACAAATTCAAGGTATAAAGTTTGATCTGTTAATATAGTAAAAGGGATTGGAAATTAAAGATTATTTTCTGAAAAATTAACAAAAAATGCATATAATTGAAAACATGTTTACTTATCATGCATTGCATGCTAGAAAATTAAGAAATATCACTCTAGTTGTATATTTTTTTAAAAATAATAAAATAATATCATTTTATTATTTATCTATTCATTTAGATGTACCAAAAACTTCGTACTTGCATGAATAGTTTTTTGCAAAATCAACATAAATTAGAGCGATTTTGTCCTTTGTTTTAGAATTTTTTTGATTCAAGAGGATAAAGGGTCCAAATAATTTCGATATTGTTTAGCTTGATGTCTTTTCACATAGCAATGCTCTAGAAATGTCGGCACAAGTTTACAGATAAGCAGTATCAATTCTCCAAGGTTCCCTTCTTCGTTTATTTTTTAAATATTGTCTCTAAAATAGTTTAGTTCATAATCCAACAAAGGCAGACATTTTTAAATATGTAAATTGCGTTGCCAAATTTTTTAATGCAAGCATAGAAATTGAAAATATTACGACTATAAAAATATATTAATTTTGATGCTCTTTGATTTTATTCTTTCTTTGTCCCTGTTTTCATGGATATACCCTTATGACTTTTTCTTATATTTTTGACATTTGGTCAGCTTTTTTTTTCTGTTTTGCTTCAAACCACAAATGCGTCGCCGTTTCTTTCTGTATTTACTTTCTCTCTCACTCTGGAACAAGTTTTACTGTGCTTGTCTATTCTCTAAGAAACTAAGGCAAGGTACTTTTTTTAGATGCGAAATGTTTACATATGATTTAGATTTTTCGTAATTATAGTTAATTACAAAATAAATATAATTATGAAGAACTGTCTGACGATTTTAGAAATAATTTACACACTTTATGTTGTGATAAATGTATATACTATTGCACATGTACAGTCCGCAAAAAAAAAAACG